AAAATGTGGTGTACCCGATGGGGATCGACCACGACCCGTTGATTATTAGCCATATATTGCTACCATTACACCAACGAGAGAAAGGAGTAACTACGACGGGCTAGTTACTCGTGAGATAATGTTTGAAAAACAAAGTGTTCCTTTTTGTAAATAATGTATTAAACAATTATTGTCTGTAGTGCATGCAAGTGGTACATCTATATCTATACTAATCTAAAGAGTTATAATAAATCTGAAGAGTTTGCTTGTTTGAACGCGCTAATCTCAGGAACGCCTGGTTCGAATTGAAAAATTATTTATTTTGTTGGTTCGAGCAATTATCGAGAAAGGATATGGGCTATAAAACAATAATAATATAGCTATAAAAGCGTCTAATAGGAGCGAAGAAGCAGCGAAAATGCGGTGAAAAAGGAGAACATCTTTGCAGCTTTCCGATGCGTACGCTGCGACAATGTTTCAAGATACACAAAAAATATGTATGAAAGAATGAACTGAAATAAAGGACCTGAAAAATGTCCGCGACAAGATCAGTGTCTCGTTGGAACCGACCGACGGGTCGTGAGCGACAGGACGCGTCCGATGACGTAGGTAACAGTTTGCAAAACAATTTTGGATGCCCAAAATATCTACTCTACGCGGGCGAAGTTGCTGACTCAGCTAGTATTAAAATAAAACAATTTTTATTCAAAAATACATGGGCTAACTCATACGTACATTTCGAATTTAAAACCGTCTTAAGTGTTTACACAGCCGTGTTAAGAATCACGCTTCAGCAATAACCTAGCTAAACAGATAGTGTGTATGTATTTTTCGCGTAGTGTCACTGAAAGTATATTACAGGAAACGCAATGAACAACAAAGTGTCAGTTTCAGTGGTAAAATAGTTATGTTCAGTGAGTGTAGTCGCCGGAACACAGTTTATAGTCGACTCTAATCGTGGAAAAGCAGGTAGGATCGGTACAAAAATAGACGCGTTTCCGTTGACGCGAGGTCCTAAGATAGAGAATTACGGCGGTATAAACTTAAATAATTTTTTTTGAGATGAGACTTTCAAAACATCTTTTACTTACAAAAAAAGAAATACAAAGTAAACAAAACATAAAAAACTGTTCAAGTTGTTTTAAGCAGAAAGTAAGTTAAAAATTGCATGTTTGGAGTTGTTAATTTAAATAACGTGCATAACTTGTGAAAAGATTTAAGTTTTGAAATTGAAAATTTATTTCCATTGCACTTTGATTTGGCACGTTTTCTAGCTTAAATTATATTGTACACATTTCTCTCGATCGATCTTGCCACTTAGCATTATAAGTATTACAAGTACAGTACATAATAAGTAGTACACTTTTAAATTAAACGGTTTGAAACGGAAAACATATTAAGTCAACATAGTATAATTTTTAATTAATCTACGGCCCAACTCCAGTTGCAGATTCTTTGAAGCAGTTATGGTCACGAGGGGACTGAAGATGGAGGATGTCACTAATGTCAATGTCAACACTACTACGCTAGCGCTATCTGTTTTGTGGCAGTTGAAGTAGGAGAAACTGCCTGGGTCCTTATAGACACAGTTTTTCAATTTAGCAATAATCTAAGCGTTCGTAAGCACGTTTATAGTAAGCTTAACTGAAAATCCGTAAAAAATTGAATATGTCGAAATTCAAATACTTTAATTTCTTTTTTTACTCTTGTCTGACCCATCCATTATTAATGTTGCACAATGTTGCAAAGCACATTATTAATGTTGGTAGTCCAAAATCCACGCTACGCAATTGTCGACACTGCTTTTCACTCCTCCATTTGTAACTTGGACCAGCGTTTAAAGACTACGCCCAGTATAAGGTGCGGCCTGCATACACTGTTACTAATGGATTGCTTTTCATGCCCTTTACTATCGTCACAGATTATAAATACCGCTCCATTACACCAGGGATGGACCAGCTTACATTGTTATTCATTGAGAATAGGTAAAACCTCAGAAGTTAGCTTCTGAAGCGCAAGAGATGGTGCGAGATCATCGTTTCGACCTAGAACGAAAACTATATAAAGAAAATATTCTAACGGTTTAAAACGCGATATATATATTAGTTTTGGAAGCTTTACAATGGTCGTGATCGGGTTAAAGTACACACTACTCGCGTAAACTACAGACAGTATTATAAACTAGTACTAGTTTAGTTAAAATCATACAAAAATCTGTTATGTCGTTTTTTTTGTAGTTCTATGTAGATTTATTATGATTCAGTGGTTTATGATAGTGATGCTCAAAAAAAACCAGTCATAACAGTTTTAAATCTATATCTATACTAATACATAAAGCTGGAGCTATTTGTTTGAACGCAATCCCAAGAACTTCTGATTCAAAGTGAACATTTATTTGTGTTGTTTAGACCATTTAGCGAAGAATACTTTAGGCTGAAACACAACGATGCGATCAATGGAAGCCAAGAAACAATGGGAAATGTGGAAAAACCGTGGTAATTTATTCATCTTTGAGAGTTTTCATTGCGTGCGCTGCGGGAACTGTTAAAGATACCCAAAAAATATGTGAAAATAATGATTCCTCTTTAATGTCTAAACATGTTCGGGACACATTATGCCTATGTTTTAAGATTAACTTGCAAGAAAGACGAGACGTGACCGACATCGTGGGTAATAGCTTTATTTCACAAAGTTAAAGGCGGTTGAAAAAACAAATTTTGAAGGCCAAAATAGCTATTCTACCCGGACTAAGTCGCTGACACAGCTAGTGTGATATACGAATAAGATTGGATGGGAATGACGTTCTACCGGTGACTGTGACGAATAAAAAAAAAATTTAACAAAAACATATTTAACATTTATTAATGTCGCTAAAAATCAAAAGTGAGTCACTGTGGTTCCGTATATAGGTCGCAAGTGTCTATTTTAAATTCATAGCATAAGTTTCCACTATAATGGTGCCAGTCAGTACCGCGTGAATTAATGATAAGCTTGTTATACATTAGCGATAAATCTTTTGAATTGTCTAAAGTAAAACTTCTACATAAATCTAGTATAAAGTAGAATTTTTTATATGCCGTTTTTTCCATGGGACAGATAAATTTCAGCCTATACAATCAGTTACTAAACGAAGAACGAACTAAGTCTTTTTTACAAGCACTTTGATTAAGACAGGTACAGATGCCTTGTTTGGCCGTAACAATTATATTTTTAGTGTTCGAACTCACAACCTCTTACGCCTAACGTGTTTCTAGGAAGCGGTCTAATGTATGTATTGTTTAAAAATAGGTAATCGCGTTAAATTTTCCAGATTATATTATGTGCACATGGCCTATCCACGTGGCACTTCACAAAGAAATCAAATGAAACCACGTTCCAAAATCAAAACGGTCGCCTAGTAACCAAATAACAAATTAGCAATATCTCGATTTTCCAAACTTGAACAAGCCACAGTGGTATCGTACAAGTGTCACTGGCTACACGTGAAAATTTTTTGTTTAATTAAAAACTAAAACCTCATTAGATAAAAAAAACTTTTATACGATCAGTATTGTAACTGGCCATATTTAAAAAAAGGTTTTATATAACTTTTAAATTGTTTAAAATCGTAAATCTGTTTGAGAATTGCATTATAAATATTAAATAATATTATATTTCTGTAAGTGAAAAGTAATCGATATGGGTGACCTTAACATTTGAAATGGTGCAATGTATTGATTGAAGCCGTTTCCTTAGAAGTAGGGCAGGTGAGTCTTTGTCTAGTTGTGTAAGAATACGATAAATACATCGTTCGTTTTCAATATTGACTTGATAATAACTATACAACGTTTGAAAACTTTAATATTCACAATACGATCGATTCATGTAAATTATTAGATAAAAGAAAATTAACGACACGGGCGGGACTTGAACCGGTACCCGAAGAATTCTGTGGTATCCTAACGTATTGAGCTACCGTGTCGTCAATTTTTATAAATAAATAAATCTCTTTATTTAGCGTTTTTTGCACATTCATTAGAAGTAGTCCCTAGTAGAAATAAATGTAATTATAATAAAAAAATACGACATGAATTAATTCAATTTGAATAAAAGTGATGAAAAAAGGGTCTTGCTTCAGGATGAGTTGCAGCACGATTATGCTACAACACTGATTTTCAGCAAAACCCTACTGTGATCGTCTTTTATCAATCTACATAGATAACACATAATAGTTTAACTACGAGAGCTCCTAGCTTAGAATTTCAGGGAAAAAAATGTCTTGTTTCGGTAAGGGAAGGGCAAAGATGCCTTATCAATGTTCCTGTCAATAAAATCAATCTTAGAAACGGACACAGAGGTGTGCTCACCCCATATCTTGTGTAATAGGGGGAAACGGCTTTTACTCTACGATTCTTATCCACATAAATTATTAAAAATCCTAAATCCTATGTAGGACAGAGAATTTACTTACAAACAAGCTTAAGTGTTTAAATATTCAAACTTGTGTGCTCTGACCGGGATATTATCGAATTCCCCGGGATTCGAACCCAATTCTCTAGATCTCTTCTATCTTTAAAAAATAGTACTTAGTTTGTTTATCTTGTTCTAGCTGTGCCAGCGACTTCGTCCGCGAGAATCGATGTTTTGGGCCTCCAAATTCGTTTTTGTAAACCCCTTCATCTTTATAGACTTAAGCTGTTACCCACGACGACGGTCGCGTCCCTTCCCGTCGTTCTTGCAAGTGAATCTTAAAAGATAGACAGACATAGAAGGTGAAATAAACCAGCCATATAACATCTAAGCAAGATGTGTTATCTATGGTGGCCAGTTCAAGACCCGCTCTTGCTTGTCTGCCTTGATTTTTAATATATAGAGTGCCATCATGTGCAATAACATGTGAAAAATATTAAAGTTTTCAAACTTAATACTAATTGCTAATGGACAATAGAGTATGATAATGATACACAAATGGATTTTATAGTTAAGTCTCCTAGCCTCATAGATCTGTGAATTATAGCATGAAATCAATTTCAGCCTCCAACATGGACGACCGTACAGTGGATTTAATATTTGCGGGTTCTCTGAAGTCCTTGCCGCCTGTAAGCTCTAAAATCGTGAGGATTTTCACCAGCTCCACATTCACAGGTAAAGCCGTTAGACCAATAGATATTTGACTATGGATTGACAATGTATATCTAAACGGATATGTTAGATTCCCACCGGGCCCAACATTTTTCTAAAAATATAACGCCTTAGAACGAATGAATGAAATCAATATATCATTCCTGTCATATCTACCATCTGTTTTATTTACAAGCTACATTACACGTCTGTGCCCTATTCAACTGAGAGTATTTGCTTTGAAATCTAATAGAATTCTCGGTAACTAACTAGTCAAACTTTTACTCTGTCATCTTTAATCTTTCTTGCCTGTTTAACTGAGCATTATCTGTAGTATACGGGTATACAATTAAAAAATTGAGATTTGAAATATCTACATTAGTTAAATTTAAATAAACTTTTAACGGTACAAGACGCGAAATGATATTTAGTGCGTTAAAAGTGTTACACATATTTAAGCTTAACTAATATATTTCGAGTACTAAATATATATCTACTAGCATTTGTGTACTAGTTGTGATAACTACAGACAATACTGTATCAGTTACGTTTTTATTCATGACCCGACGTTTCGGATGATTTCAGCAGCTCGAGAAAGGACTAAAAATGGTTGGCTTCCGTATTATCAAATAGTTTCTAGGATTGATGTAGAAAGCCATGGATTTAGCGTAGCACATTCGTTGTCATATATTTCGAATTTTTACCGTTAAAAGTTTTAAAACAAATAAATGGCGAAAAGCATTTGAAACGTCGGGTTGAAGTTAAAATATAATAAAAATAAAGTTAACTAATACATTTCGCGTTTTAAACGGTTGAAGGTGCCATTCACTTGTAATCATTGAAAGGCCACTCAAACTCCTCGGTCTGCATTTCCGCCAGGGCTTTATAAAAGTACGCTTAATTACTAATTTTGCATAAATGAATTTCGCGATAAAATTTCGCTATCAGATAATGTAAATAATGAAAGCGCTCGTGACGCACTCGATAAATGGCTTTTAGCTGCCATTTTAAATTAATTTTCATTTCCCCAAGAGGGGCGAACACGATTATTTCAAAGTTGAAATACTTTTAAATAAAACACTTTAACACGATGTATCTTAGTTAAACTTATTTGAAAATTATTTTAACTACAGCCCAATATTTCGGATAGTTTGCAGCAGCCGTGGTCACGGGGAGACTAAAGATGGAGGGTGTCTCTGACGTCAAAGTAAAAACTGTTACGCTAGCGCCACCCGTTCTGTCAAGTTCATGAGTTAATGGCGTAGCGAAGCAATGCATCCGAAACGTCCTGCCGTAGTTAAAATAATTTTCAAATAAGTTTACCTAATATATATCGCGTTTTAAACCGTTAAAGTGTTTTATTCAAACATTATACTTAGGTGAGAAGATACTATTCTGCTAGTTATTTTATAATAAATTATATGTTTTATGGTTAAATAAATTGCCCCAGAATTCAAACTTAAACTATAAGCTCAAATTCTGGTCACCACCAACGCTGGGTCCGCAGTAACCATAGCAACGGGTGTGCCAACAGAAAAATGAAAGACCTTAGTATGATACCATCGTTATATACGGCTAATAATCAACAGTCGTGGGTCAGATCCTCACCAACATTTTTTAAATCTATTTATATATTTTTTTAATCATGTTGGACTGGCGATCTGAATATTAAATAGGTGCTGTTTATCGAAATTCTATCCAGATCAAGAACCAGCAACACACCAGCCACAGAATAAAGCCGTGAAGCTTAATCGCGTTTCGGTTCCAGTCGGTGGCATATCCAAAGCCAAAATAGGTCAACAGCGCGTTTGCTTATATGTGACTAGCTGTGTCAGCGACTTCGTTCGCATACAACAGTTATTTTGAGCACCAAAGTTTGTTTTGACATACTTCCTTCATCTTTATAAATTTCAACCGTATCGACTACATCGGTTGCTTCCCGTCTTTCTTGGTTCTCGATCTCAAAAGATACACACATAGTGCCGCGGACATTTTTTTTAGATAATTTAATGAGAAATCATACATATTTTTTGAGTATCTTAAGCATTTTTTGCAACGTACGCATCGGAAAAACACAGAGATGAAATTTTCCCCCGTATCTTTATGAATTTCCCACTGGTTCTTATAAGTTACAGCGCAATGTTTTATCCTATAGCCTTCCTCGATAAATGCTCTAACCAACACAAAAATATTTTTTCAATTCGAACCCGTAGTTCCTTAAATTAGCGCGTTCAATCTCTTTAGCTTTATATATGAGTATAGATATTAGCTGGGCTGTTTCATCGACCATCGAGTGAACCCTGTGCTTGTCTATCCTCCTTTATCATAGAAACCACACATTCCTGACGTAGATTGTTAAAGAATGAGGACACAACTTGACATCGGTGGTCGCCTGCCAAGCTCAAAGTACAAATAGGTTAGGTTAAGATGTCTGCTCTTTACTTTGTTTGGGGTTACTTGCCAACGCAAATCGTTAACATATTTAAACACTACACATTTAATTAGAAAGAAAAGGTATTTGAAGTAATAAAAGACATAAGGAAATTAGATTTATTTTGCGCGAAAGGTGCATGTATCGATAGGTTGAAAAACAAAGATGGCGTTAGGGCACATTAGCTCAATGCGTTAGGATGCCGGTTCAAATTCGGCTAGCGTCGATAATTTTCTTCAGTCTAAGTAGATTTTTAATTTATATAAAAGAATTACAATAATAAACAAATTAAGATTGAAAATCTATTACACGGGCGGGACTCGAATCTACACAGTTTCGTGCGGTTACCAACTAATCGGAAAAATATAGAAGCTAGTGGAAAATAATAGTCAAACATCGAGAACCATTTATCAACACCGACAGATGAAAAGTTAACTAATTGCTTTCTAAAATGTCCGCGAAAGCCTTATACGATTGATGGATAGATGTTTGACTTCTTTTTCTTTAGAAAAAATCAATCCAATTTAATAACAATGGCTTATATACTGTTACGTAACTTAAATTAAAATTATACATTCCCATGGGGCATGGGGACCGCCTCTGTAGCTAAATGGTTAAACGTGTTACCTAGCATTGCGTTAAGCGCGAGAGATCCTGGGTAAACAGTAAATTGTTTGTGTCGGGCAGGGCACAGAAGTCTGATCAATTACTAGCCTGTAAATAAAACCTATCCATGAAACGGACACAGAAATGTGTTCGCCCTATTCACGATGGGAACCCGGATTTCACACTATGGGGCATGGGGCGAACATCGTGCTTCCGTGTTCTGCGATCTAAACAAATTTATGATTCTCCAGGATCGAACCAAAGATTGCTTTAATTCTAGTGACTAACACACACTAATATACGAAATTCAAAGTGTTAAACCCAACTAACACTTAATTAGAAAAAAATATCAATGGTTTGGAAAATCAATTATAATTATTATATTTCTTTACTGATAGAGGTGGACAGGTAAGCGTGGGGCTTACTTGATGGTAGGTAATATACCCCCTATAGCATCTAATCAAGATGCGATGTCGACACATTTCGGCTTTGGCTATTCGGAAATCCACAGACTGAAAGCGAAACGCGATTAAACTTCAATGTTATTCATCTGTGGCCGGTGGTCGTGGAAAATCTACATTCCTACCCCCCCCCCCTTAGATTGTCAACAGGTTTAAAAAAAAATATATAAATTGAATGAAATGACAAATTAAACATGTCGAGCCCGATGGGGATCCAACCCCACCACCACCGCTACCACGGACCCCTCTCATTCTTCAAGCTACGTATATATATTATTCTTATGTATTAATCTATATTGATTATTTTCTGTTTCAGATACAACGATGGAAAGAAATACGTTAATGGCGAAATGTTATCCTAGAATTAAGGATTACTGCAGGGAGAAACACGGCCTGGAGTTTCAGGTAAACTAAGTATATATTACGAAAAAATATCATTATTAGTACTTACAATAAACTTCAGACGATACTTGTCTGTAGTATACGCGAGTGCTACACATTTAAATACACTTTTAACGGTTTGAAACGTGACATTAGTAAACTTCAAAACAAATCCAACAACTCCACATTCAATGCAGTATGCAATACAGAAAAGTAACATAAAATTAGGTGTATGTAGAGGGACACCATTCAGATTTAAGTTGTATCTGAAAGAACGCCGATTTTCAGTGATGTCCTACATTACGAACACTTTAAACTACGACCCGACGTTTCAAATGCTTTGGGGCAGCCTTATAGGTTCTTTTCACTTCCCGTTTTATGTATATATAACAAGTTTACGAATTTTAAATAAATATCGTTTTCCACGAATTGAATGTGGTTTTAATAAACAGATATCATAAAAATTTATGTCTTCCCCGTCCGCGTCGTTTTAAATCCTACGAGGAGTTAAGGTGCAGGCCTATATAAATAAACCCGGACGGAATCTCGATATTCTATCAACTCAAATACTCCAAATGAAAACCAACTGTCTGTAGTTCACGGGAGTAGTACACATTAGAAAAACGCTTTAACGGTTTAAAACGCGATATATATTAGTAAAACTTGTTTGAAAATTATTTTTAACTACGGCCCGACGTCTCGACGATCGAGTTTTAAACCGTTAAAGGGTTTTATTTGAAGGTTTAGATACATGTAAGGCCTGAAATCAGAGAAGACCTGAGATCATTCACCAAGATATTTGTTATCATTGGCACAACGAGTGTAATTAAACAATTGTATTTACTTATAAAAAATAATATATATATATGTACATACATGGCTCGAGTTCACGTGCCATCAAATAAACGTCTTGTCTGTTCTTTTCTTTCATAAAATTATAACATACTTATCCCACAGGGGATTAGAAGGGGATAATAAATATATTTTATTACTAGTTGTTTACGCGAACACACATTTAAATAAAACACTTTAAACGTTTTTTTTAATGAAATCGTAGTATATTTCGTGTTAACTTATCTAAAATTGATTTTCGAATGCTTTGTTTACTTTAAAATTACTGTTTAAGAATATTCTTTACTTTAAAACAGTTTTTTATGATAGAAGTGGATAGAGAAGCAGGAAGTTTACTTGAGGGTTTGTGAAATTTCCCAGCCATATAACCAAGATGAACAGTCAAACTTTTTTGGCTTTGGATATTCGGAAATCCACAGACTGAAACAGAAACGCGATTAAACATGACGGCTTTTTCATCCCGGAATATACAGATTTCCAGACAAAGTCTAAAATGTGTTAGTAAAATTATAATTTCATTTAAAAAATCCCGACCGGGTGGGACCACGACCCGTTGATTAGTCAAAATACATATACAGTAAAAATCTGCTATTTTCAGTCAAACACAGTGACCCTACCCTTAACATCTGCAAGATTTATTCCCGTAATCTCTCAATAACCCAAGTAAGAACTGGTACGATCTTGAATACAGATAAAAAGGCTGGATCGAATCGTTCTTGCGCATTTAATTAATCCTTCAAAAGCGAGATTTTCTTAAGCCGATTCTGTGGGCATAGAAAGTGTATTGGTCGCCGATGTCTGTTTGTTCTTGTCTGCTTTATTGGTCTGTCTTGTGGTAAGCACACATAAGCATGAAGTTCCCTCGATGGAAGGATAAAATTCGTTAATTTTCAAGATACATTTTTCTAAGATTTAGTTCCTTTAATATAAATACTGTCCGCCTCTGTAACTTAGTGTATCATGTTGCCTATCATTGTGTTAAGGGCGAGAGGTCCTGGGTTCGTGAGAGAGACAATAGATTCTTTTGATCGGGCAGGGCACAGAATTCTGACCAACTATTTGTATGTAAATGAACCGATGAGTGTAATGGACACATAAATGTTTTCGCCCCATGCTCCACGAGGGGAAACGGGGGGAAAAAAAAAATTGACGCCCAAAATAATTATACTACGCGGACGAAGTCACTGACACAGCTAGTTTTGATATATAACACATATAAGAACGCAGTCTGTTACGATTTGGCCTTTGTTCTTTAAGCTTTCAAATTATTGTTTTAAGTGCACGATAGTTCCTAGCAATGCTCATTCCAGACTATATCCGAACGGGATACATTTTATAAACAAAACTGACGAATCGGGCTAGGTTTATTTCAGTCGTCGGAAGCGTAGCACGTGTGACTATATAACTATATTTACTAACACTGTACTGTAAATGGGAATTTACAGTTCAAACTAACAAATGACCTTTAAGCAAGAGAAGTTAGATATAGTTTAATATTATCGTGGAAGAGCGTATATTTAAGTTAAAATTCCTATTTTCCGCTGTGGGGCTAACACATTTTAGTGTCCGGACTTCTGTGCCCTGGCCGACCGAATCTTTAACAGGCAAATAGTTGATCGGACTTCTGTGCCCTGCCCGACCGAAACATTTTTTTGTTTCCCTGGGATTTGAAGCCAGGACCTCTCGCGCTTAACGCAATGCTGGAAATACGTTTAACCATTTGGCTACAGGGGCGATCGTCTTGATATGTAATGGGTTTAAAAGATTTTTTAATTTACCCCTCCATAAATTCATTTAGCTACATAACTCTATTTATATACTTAATGCTCAATAATACGGTAATTTCGTTGACACATATGTAATGAAACTAACCTCAAAACTATTTTTGACGATATTAAAATATATGAGCTTTTTAAGCTATGTTTTTCGTTCAGGGTCGCATTTAATACATCGAAGTAAATCAAACCCTTTGTTTTACTGGTCGCGAATATTACAGGTGGTGGATATGCGTTGGGGCGTCCGTGATGAAGCCACCGATGACCACATGACCACAGAGCTATGCATGAGAGAGATAAAGAACTGCCAGCGCTTGTCTATGGGACCTAACTTCGTTGTGTTTTTGGGGCAGAAGTATGGATATAGGTACGATGTGGATGCAATACTGATAATGACGCTTTAGAGCTGATAAAATCCTCTTATAACCGACTAGCTGTGTCAGCGACTGCGTCTGCGTATAATAGTTATTTTGGGCATCCTAATTTGTTTTTGCAAACCTCCCCCTCATCTTTATAAATTTATGCCGTTACCCACGACGTCGGTTGGTCGTATAGTATCTTATACCGCACAATCGTCAGTCGTGATCGTAGTGTAGTCTGAAATCCACAAAGTTGAATAATTTTCCCCTATTAGTCATAGCGCGACGTTTTATAGCCTATAATCTTCCTCAATAAATGATCTAACCAACACAAAAATAATTTTGAGACCGCCTTTGCCGGAGAACCGCTTTTGAGCGTTTCGCGTACCGCTTACTCGGGTGAGCATTTATCCAGCTCTTCTACGCTGCCAACCATATTGTGGTGGCCCAAGCCGAGGCCGATTTTCCCCTCGGGGAAATTCGCCCCACCCTTGCTTTAAGCGTGAGGTTAGTGTTGAAAGACATAATACGTCATAAACATTGAAAAAAATCTTATAGTCGTTTAAATAAAACACGTTAACGGTTTAAAACGCGATATATTAGTAGGCCTGACGTTTTAGATGCTTTCCAGTAGCCGTGGTGACGGGGAGACTATAGATGGAGAGTGCTCCCGACGTTTTGACGTCTAGAAAAAATAAATATAGCTAGCGCCATCTATTTCGTCGGGCCGTAGTTAAAATAATTCTTAAATAAATTTAATCGACTGATTTTAATTTTCTGATGTTTTAGACCAATCCCGACATATGTCCTCTCATCGGAGCTGCAAATGCTGCGAGATGAGCTTGCAGCTGGCGGTGTGGACGTAATTCTCCTGGACACCTGGTACAAGAAGGACTCGAATGCTGTGCCCCCCGTGTCCGTGTTACAGCCGATATCGTCAATCCTTATCAATTTTAACAACAAGGTAAGTAACTTAAATACAAGAAATCGAATTGAACGAAATATTACTTTAGAAAGTTATGTAAGTGGAAATAGAAAACAGAACTATATTAACAAATACTATTAGACGAAAAAAAAAATGAATATATGTGTAATTTAAGTAATTTTATTAAAATTACGTCTCTTAACTGAAGCCACAAAGTAAAGATAAGTAAGTGTAAGTATTTTGCTAAGCAGTTGTTTATTTTATACCTATACCTATAATAATAATAAATATATTTTTTGTTATTGTTGAGTATTTGTGGATAAATGTACTAAATTAACAATGTCTTGCTTATGTTAGCTCAGCCTCTGATGGGACCGCAGAATAATGTATTGGAACTTTAGACCCAAAGTAGCTGAGTGGACTTCTTTTCATTCATTTATGATTTAAATAAAACACTTTAACGGTTCAAAACGCGATATATTAGTTAAACTTATTTGAAAATGATATTTAAAATCGGCCCGACGTTTCGGATCTTTGCAGCAGCCGTGGTACTCCCCGTGACCACGGCTGATCAAATAAATGTGTACTACTCGCGTAAACTATAGACAGTTTTTCATTTATGATTGTTAAATGTTTTGTTTTGTTTCTCTATAAACGTATTTCTACTTCTATGTAAATCGTTTAAACCCACAATATATATCTAAACTTATTTTTAAACCGACGTTTTACCCCCGAGACCATGGATTTCGCAAAGCAACGTCGGTTCGTAGTTAAAAGTAAGGTAACAAATGTAATAAGCGTTTTAAACCCGTTAACAGTGTTTCATTAAATATATTCACGAATTTATTTCAAATAATTTTAAAAAATGCGTAAAATAAATCGAGACAATAGAGGCGGGACGCGAACCCATACAATAGTGATCTGGACTACTAGAATTTGAGCTAGCTCGTCTCATTTGTGAATCACCCACACATTCACCTTCCGCACAATGCAACTTCAATCTTATGACTTAGGCTTTGAGGTTCAAAGTCCTACGCTTTCCAGTGTATGATTATAGGGAATTTATAAATATTTAACAGACTTAATACACTACTATTTACGAAAATGCTTCATATACTTCCGTTTGTATATTTATATGCAAATTGTAATTAAATCCTGAATAGAAATTGGAAAATTTAATATTGTGTTAAGCTTGGCTTTGTAATAATTGCTTTTAGTTTCAGCTAAGTGTCTTAAAAGAGTACTTAGTATTTTAGGAATATAAGTATTATTATTTTAGATATCATATAATTAATTTTTTTCAAACCTGACGGGGTTAAGCTTTGTAAATTATAGCTTTTACCAACGACGTCGTCCGCGTCCCGTCGCGTCGTTTTCACAGGTTAATCTTAAAAGATAGACATATATTGTCGTGGACATTTTTTTAGATCATTCCTATCTTTAGATAAAACATTTTTTTACGCTTTTTTTAGTTATCTTAAACCGTTTTCGCGTCACGCGCAACAAAACCAAAGATAAAAAATCCCGTGTTTTACGTTTTCCATTGTTTATTCGCTTCTATTGGTCGCATAGTGATGTTTGAAATCCTAAAGCCGTTCTCGATAAATGGTCCAACCAACATAAAAATATTTTTTCAATTCAAACCAGAAGTCACTGCGAATACTGCGTTCAAACAAACAAATTATGATTGTGTAAACATGTTCTCGCATACTTCACATCACATAATTTGATATCAGCAATGTATTTAATATTCTCCAGCGGGTTCCAAAATTACAAGCAGAGGATCAGGCTATATGGTGGGACACATTGGGCAAGATGCAGAAACTCTTTCGCAAGGCATCTTTGCAACTCTACAATTCTGGAAAGATAGACAAGGACACGATGCACAATTACTTTATGTCAGGTAATGATATGTTTATAGAAATACAGAGATGTGTTAAATAAAACTGTTCTAACGGTTTAAAATACGAAATTGTTCGTTAACTTATTTTAACTACGAGGGCGCTGACGACGGAGAGTGTCCTTATTTTCAAAGGAAAATTGCTACGCTAGCGCCATCAGTAAATTAAATTAAAAATAAGTAAACAGGTAATCATAATAATATATCGCGTTTAATTAATATAATAAATACCTGTCATTGTGTTGCGTTAAGCTTGAGAGGTCTACGGTTCAAATCCAAGGTAAAAAACGTAAATATATTGTATAGTTTGGCTACAAATTGAAAAAAAAAATGTTTTTTATTAAATCTGACTCGTGCCCGACTTGAACCGTGCTCCACAGCGTTCCGTGCTGTTGCTGGATGGATGGATACATGGAGCCGTTTTAAGTCCTGCTCGAGTCGATTTTTTTAAATATATATAATTGAGTTTCAATTTATATAGTGCCATCATGTAAAAAATATTAGTTTCCAAATGCAAGTACCTTTTTTCAGTTACCGAACGAGAAGTAATAAACGGCGTTTTAAACGTGAAGAATACGAAAAATCATTGTTTGGCGTACGTTCGTTATATCAATAACATTAATTTACAAAATCTGAAGAAGGCCAGCAATTTCGTGGACATCCTCAACAGAAGCTTAGATGCTGAAGCTTCGAAGTTATTAGCTGATCTTCGAGATGTAAGATTACCAGAGAAAATTGAAACGACAAATATACAAAAGTGAGAAACATTTTAAAATAAAACTAATATAAAAAGCGATATAAAACACAAATCTATACGAATATTATAATGCTGAAGAGTTTGCTCGTTTGCACGCATTTATCTCGGGAACTACTGGATCGAATTCATTTAACGATTAGACCAATAGAAGCGAGTAAAAATGTGGATAAAATGGGCAGAACTTTTTAGATTTCCGTTGCGTAAGCTGCGAAAATTGTCCAAGGTACCCAAAAAATATCAAGAAAAAATGATTCCTTTTTAAACGATCTAAAAAAAATGTACGCGACAGTATATGTATATATATCTATCTTCTAATATTAACCTTCAACAACGACGGGACGCGAACGATATCGTGGGTTTTTTATATATTGATTGTAACGTATTGGGCCCGGGGCCTCGAATACTAACGGTGTAGAAAGCGGCCCGGGCCACCAGTGGGTTCGGATGCGAACAAGGCTTTTTTAAAGAAGCGTTCGGACGTTGTCATCGTAGGTTACAGTTATAATTTATGTAATGGCGGCTCCAGACTCTCGCGAGGCGCCTCCTAGAGGCTCTCGCCACGAGTCTTGACAAGCGGAGACTGCACGAGTGCTAGTCATCCACACTCTCCATTTTACTTAGTTAGTCGTTACGTCTAGTGCAAGATGGACGGCAGCAGTCAACAAATAAGTAAGCGAGCGGGAGAGTATGGTTGGCTCCCTCGCCTCACGCTCTCGCGTCCTTTGACTCGCGCTCGAAATACCGACAGAAAGCGGAGCGCTAGCGAGGCGAGGCGAGGGGACACGAGCGCGCACCGTCCACACTCTCGCATTCGCGTTCCCTCGCATCGCCTCGTAGAGAGTGTGGATCGGCCATAAGATAAGGAGGAGGTTTGCAAGAACAAATTTTGATGCCATGCGTTCTACCCGGACATATCGCGGCCTCGAATAGTTTATAAATTAATTAATACTATTACCCGAGTGTTTTTTCAGATACACAGTGGAATGGATCGGACGCGAAGGTCTGGACAACGAAACGCACGGAGAATACCTGAATCACTTTATTGCACATTTCTACAAAAACATAATTAAACTTGTGGATAGGTTTGTATTTTATATATTTATTTTAATTTACAGTTCCCATATAAAATGATGAATTCGGAATTTAACGTAATATATAAAGAAATACTGAAGTGTCATAGAAAATAACAAGAATAAAAACCAATACATATTTTGTAGTTTTTCGTGATAAGAAAATAAATATGTGTTACTTGATAGAAGTGTTTATTGTTGTTTTGTCTTTGTATGTTGTTGAGGTACTAGGTACCTCTGTTTTGAAATCTCTTCTAATCTTTCTCAAATCGAAAACCTTGACATTTAAACATAAAAACATACAACAAATTAATACACATATTTTTTTACTAGTAAGATATCATGACACTATAGTCCACATGAAATATGTGCCAATTGCTACTTTACTCATAAAGCTTCTTTGTTTGTTTGTTTGAACGCACTAATCTCATGAACTACTGCTTTGAATTGAAATATTCTTTTCGTCTTGGTTACACCATTTAGAGTTTTATGACCAGTTGAATTTAATTTATTTTGAACTAACATAATATTATTTCTTAGAGCAATGCGAAAGGAGGACAGCAGTGCCCAGGGTCAGATAGTCACGGAAATTCTTCAACATCTCCACGCTTGCAATAATTCTGTAAAGGTCTTCCATGGGCGACAAGATGATCTGCAATTCATTGAGAATTATATGAAAAATTCCTCTGATAAACCATTAGTATTATATGGAGAAGGTATTGTCTTCTTACTACTTTTAATAAACATAACGGTTTAAAGCGCAATGTCTGTAGTTTACGCGAATAGTACACATTTTAATAAAACACTTTAACGGTTTAAAACGCGAAATATATAAGTTACACTTATTTCAAAATTATTTTAACTACGGGTGGGCAAAACATCCGAACCGTCTGGCTTTAGTTTGTAAGTTGGTATTGGTAAGGTGTAGTTGGATATATAGTTTTTTAATAAAACACCTTAACGGTTTAAAACGCGATATATAATCGTTAACCTTATTTGAAAATTATTTTAACTACGGCTGCAAGTTTCGGGTACATTGCTTTGCTATGCCATCGACTCATGAACTCGACGGAACAGATGGCGCTAGAGTAGCAGTTTTTACTTTGACGTCAGAGACACCCTCCATCTTTATTTTCCCCGTGACCACAGCTGCTGCAAAATATGCAAAACGTCGGGCAGTAGTAAAAATAATCTTAAAATAAGTGTAACTATTATATATCGCGTTTTAAACCGTTAAAGTGATTTATTAAAATGTGCACTATTCGCGTAAACTACAGCCAGTATTTGAAATACAGAAACCAAATATTTGATAAAATGCCAATAAGTAATATCTGTCGAAATCCGTTCCAGGTGGATGCGGCAAAACAAGTCTCCTGGCAAAGAGTTCAGCCACGTCCCTGAACACGTGGTTCGCGGAATGTCGGCCGACGAACATCATACGGTTTCTAGGAACCACTCCTGACTCTAGTGCGCTTACGCCCACACTTATATCTATCTGTCAACAGGTTTGAAATCGACTTGAATTGATCTATAATCGACGAGTGATTTTTTAAATATACATATTGGTCACAATGGTCTTGGTATAGACTATAGAGCATTATGAATCATTGCACATATTAGAATAAAATAATTTTAACGGTTTATAACGTGAAATATATAGTTAAATTATTATTTATTTATTTTATGGATATTCGATGCTCTGCAGCAGTTGTCACGGGGTGACTGAAAATGGAGGAAATCCCTACTATCTAAGCTAAATCTTCTACCATCTGTTAAACTCGGGCTTAAATATGTTAATATTTATTTGAAACGATATTTTAGAAAAATTAACGTCACGAAGACGTCCAGGTCCAGGGTTCAAATCCCTGGGAAACAATAACTGTTCCGGGTGCGACACAAATGTCTGATCAACATGAGAACCAAATCCAAATAATATGGACAAACAGCATTAACATCCAGACAGCTTTCTTTTTGAAAGCTTTAATATTTTGGACATGATCACTTTATATAAAATAAACAATTAGATTGAAAAACTACACGGTCGGAGCTGGCATCCGCTACCGTGCTGTACGGTGCGTTTTTAAACTTTCATCTTTTTAATTCCAGATCTCATACAACTTCGCTCTTCCGTTCGAGAGCATTCCTGATGACCTCGTACCATTGACAGCCCACTTCAAACAGCTCCTAACGATGGCCACGCAGCAACAGCCTCTCCTGTTGTTCATGGATTCCGTCGATCAGCTCACAGGAATCGGGACTGAGAACAACAAGGTTTCGTGGTTGCCTACCAGGCTACCACCACATTGTAAGGTAGATCTGGTTTTATTTATACTGACAGTCTCGTTTCCCTGTTCATCCATAACAGAATTGTACATTGTATAAATACTAATGAATTAATAAATTTAGTGTCCTAACAAAAAAATCTTTGTAAATGGTACAAAAAAGAGAAGACGAACTCCTATTCAAAATTGACATACATAATATTTAAAGAATTAATACAATAGACTCGTTGGTAACAATGGTAACAATGTGTCTACGGGTCGTGGATTCGATCCCCACCGGGTCCAAGTTTCTAATTAAATTAACATTTTTTGAAACGTAAGTGTGTGTGTGTGTGTGTAGTGGGTGTAAGTGGTGGATTCGAAATTCCGTCTGGTTCACAAATCACTATCCACAAATGAAAAAGCCGTCAAGTTTAATAGCGTTTCGGCCGCCTCCCTGTTGATTATTATATACATATTTTTTTTGTATATCTTATTTTTCTCAGATCATTGTTACGTGTGCTTGTGAAGAAGCTAATCCAGAGGTATCTAAAGAGTATGACGTACTGCGTCGTATGATCGACTCCGAAGACAATTTCTTGGAAGTGAAGGCTTTAGGAGAAGATCTCGCCATGCAAGTATTGAAGTGAGTTGCTTTAAAGGTTAGATGTCTTATGCTTTGCAGGTTAAGAAAATCATTGAAGGTAAAATTACAAATTTATAAAGTATGCGAACTTTTTTACATGTATTTCGCATGAGAGGTATATAAATTTGAAAAAGATGTTTTTGACTCTAACATATAAAATAAAAGTTTCAATAGCTGTATTTGTAATGATTGTATTTTTTGGACAAATCAAAGAAACAAACAAAGTCAACAAAGGTAACGAACCTTGCAAACAAGAAATAATTTTAAATGTTATTCTCTATTCACTGATACAAATGTCAGTCTTTCTTTTTTTAAACGTACAAAGAATTTTATTAAACGTACAGAAAATAAGTCTTTAGTTATATAAATAATGATATTTTACGTATTCAGGTTATGGATGGCAGCTGCTGCACGAGATCTTAGCAATTACCAATGGAGGCTGGTATCCAACGCGATAGGACAATGTTCCTTACCTATCTTCGTCAAGCTGGTTTTTGCAGAGGTAAGTCCTTATTTATTTATCACAGAGACAAAGACCGACATCTAATTAAAATGCGACACCATTTTTGGCTCTGCGAATCCGGATATCAACAGAATGAAGCCGAAACGCGAATATATATATACACCCTATCCAATCTGGCGACTTCGTAACTTAGATGGAATTTCAATCTTCTTTTTAATAGTTCAACGTAATAAAAAATCACGTTGTTCCAGGCAAGAGCTGTACCCATGATTTTGTTTTTTATTAGTCGCACATCAAAAAGCTCCTGTTGGCATCTATAAAATTTTCCCACCACATTTCTATATGTGTATATTTAAATATATATAACTCCTAGTAAACGACAATATTTCCCACTTTTCAGGTTTGTCGATGGAGAAGTTACACAAAGCCTCAAGACACACATTTGGCATCTACTGTTATGGACTCTATCATGATGCTCTTCGAAAGGATCGAGAAACAGGTACCTGAACAAAGCATGCTATACTACTATCTGACAACGTAAGTCTTTACGGAGCAAAAGTGTACTAAATAACTAATAAATGGGGGAAAGTAACCAACTTAAGTAACTAAGGAAACTTCTAGCTAGACTAGTAAAATAGAAGTTTTTTTTTATGATAGAGGACAGACACGTGGGATTCACTTGATGGTAGATGAAATACCCCAGCCTATAGCATCTAAATAAGATGCGCTATCGACCTATTTTGGCTTTGGATATTCGGAAATCCAAAGACTGAAACCAAAACGTTTGTAACTCATTGAATATCCAGATTTCCTGACAAAGTCCAACTTGTTTCAGAAGAATTCGATCATGACCCGTACGTTGCTAGCATTACACCAACGTGGCCGTTATATTTTAACTAAGATTTTCTTAAATTTAACCATAAAGTTACGAAATGTTCACTTCTAGCATGGCCGTCTATTAGTCTTCCACGCTCTCGCCTATATAACAGCTGCACGGAGTGGTCTATCTGAAACGGAACTAGAGGATCTCATTTCACTTGACGACAGAGTGCTAGACGATGTATACCAATACCATCTGCCACCTGTGAGACGTATACCACCTTTGCTCTGGACGAGGTAGGTCGTAAAATATCGATCCTGATCCTTGCGAAGTTTAGTTTTTTTTATGACACAGGAAGGACAGCGTAGGGTTTAGTCAGTGATAGGTGACTTACCACAGCCATATTATAATATAAAAACAAGATGGCTGTAGTTTTGGACATTTTGAAACTTACTAAAACCAAATCGCAAGTATCTTTAAGAGCTTTTGCATCTGTGGATGAAGTCTAACAAATTAGAAACTTTTAACTGTTTTTAGAAACATGTTAAATCTAGTAGCAGCATTAGTCACACATTTAAATAAAACACTTTAACGGTTTAAAACGCGATATATTAGTTAAACTTATTTGTAAATGATTTTTAACTTCGGCCCGACGTTTCGAATGCTTTTCAGCAGTCGTGGTCACGGGGAGACATATATCGCGTTTTAAACCGTTAAAGTGTTTTATTTAATTGTGTACTACTCGCGTAAACTATAGACAGTATCTATTTCCCTGTTGTCTACTAGCAAACTGATCACAATTTTCTACTAGCGAGTCACCGTTTAGCAACGATTTAGGTCAATAGCCAATTAATCGGACTCGCCTGTGCTAACACGAAGTAATATATCGCGTTTTAAACCGTTAAAGTGTTTTATTTAAATGTGTACTACTCGCGTAAACTATAGACAGTATTTAGTCACACATTGCTACTGTTGGGCCAACAAATCGAACATCGTATTCAATCTGAATTAAGCTAGTATTTATCATTGTTTTCCTAATTTTAGGATCCGCAACGACCTTCCAAATTATTTATCTGAACGAGAGGCAGATGGTGTCTCTGTCATGAACTGGTACCACAGACAATTCCGCGATACAGCTAGAGAAAGATACTTCAAGAACATGAACATGGCTATGTACTTTCACTCTATGATTGCTGACTATTATTTGGGTTCGTATTAATAAGAAGATTACGTTTGTCATAAAAAAAGAGGTAAAAAGTTAATTAAAACACATGTAACATATGTAACACCTACACAAAGGTTTTACTGTAGCTAAGTGGTTTTAAAATTTGAGATTTAAGCTTTAACAAAACAAAGCGTTCAGTGTGGGTGCTCCACTAAAAGAACTACACGCTATAACAGTATCTATCTTCATCTTATGCATATCTGGCGCTATTTGATGTTTAAAATCTAGATATATCCTAGAAAACATTTAAAGATTAACGTATGACTTATGATGTTCTTGCTTTATCATATATTCTTCTATTTCCCCAGGTATTTGGGGAGGAGGTACTCCAAAACCTTTCAAGTACACTGAGATACAAAGACATAGATTCAATCTGGCTGATAAAGAAGGTGTTGCTGATCGAAAAGTACCCCTGCAGCCACTAGTGTTTACATCAGCTGATGGTTCCAGCAAGAGATACAATTTACGAAAAGTAAGCTTACCGCCGTACCAGAATTCTCATCAAGATTCTTTGGTCTTGTCTTGAAACGATTGTAAATACCATTTTCTCATTCAAAAAAGGCGTTTTTATGTATTTATAATTAATTACCACCTACCATTAATAACCAAAGCAAAAACTAAAATCTTAAATGACAACTAAATTTACATTCCTTTCTAATAAAATTAATTCACAAATTTGAAGTTTCTTTACATTATCAATTGGAATAAACTTATAAATTTTCGAAATTAAATATTTTACGTAATATCAAATAAGTTATTTACCAAAACAACTTAACACGTGTAAACATAGTTTACGGAGGCACATTAAGATAATTTTCATTGTTTTATTCTTTCCAGTTCGGTGAGCTGCCGTTCCATCTGGTTAGATCCAAGCGTTTTACTGATTTGTATGCTGAAGTACTGTTTAACTACGAATGGCTTCATGCAAAACTCAATTGCTGCCCACTTCAAGCCGTTCTTGCTGATTTCGAAGACTCCAAACTTCACGTTAACAAGGATGCTGTGAGGTAAGAGGTATTTTTTTCCTGATTCGTCTCACAAATAATTTCTTCAAGAGACCATTTCTTAAGTTGTTTTATGTATTGAAATAAGACCAAAGCTTGTTTCGTAGGGAACTCTCTATCTAACTTCTGATAATTAACTTAAAGCTATACTATGTATGTATGTATAAATGAAAATGTACTGCATGTTTGTAGTTTACACGAGTAGATTACATTTAAATAAAACACTTTAACGGTTTAAAACGCAATATATATTAGTAAACCTTATTTGAAAATTAGTTTAACTACGGCCCGACGTTTTGGATGCTTTGCAGCAGCCATGGTCGGCCTTCGTTGTCAGGCCGTAGTTGAAGTGAATATCAAATAAGTTAAACTAATATATTATATCGCGTTTTAAACCGTTAAAGTGTTTCATTTAAATGCGGTGCATCGTTCAAGTAGTTTTGTATAAGGTACTCGCCTGTAAATAAAATCGATTAGTCAAACGGACACATAAATGTGTTCGCTCCGTGCCCTACAGGGAGAAACGAGATTAGATACATATAGCTCAGTATTTATGACAGGCAAATGTGTGCATGCGTTATGTAGCATGAGTAAAAATGTAACCCGGATGTCTATTTTATATGACTGTGTTACCTTTCAGAGAACTGATGCTCGTTGCTGACGCGTTGCGTCTGGGAGGTGCTATATTAGGAACATACCCCGATATGCTAGCTCCTCAATTAGTTGGACGATTGTTACCCGAAGCTGGGCAGAATCCAGCCGTCTCTTCTCTGCTCAAACAGTGTCATGATAAGGGAAAAAATCATTGCGCATTGCTACCGTCTCACCATTGTCTTCATACACCTGGAGGCCCATTGAAAGTAAAGCATTTAATATGTTTCTGATTATTATTATCGTCATCATTATCACTATCTTCTTCTTTTTCAACAAATTAAGACTTGGTTGGGTCATGAACTTTCACGTGTCACGTTTTGGTATCAGTCTGTAGTCTGTGGGTCCGAATATCCGAAATCTAAAAATAGTTCGACAACACATCTTGTTGAGATGTTATATGTGGTATTTCACCTTCCATCAAGTAAAACCAATGCTTGTCTATACTCTTCTATCTTAAAAAAATATCTTCTTTGGGAGAAGAGACCCATAACCCTTAGTGGAATTTCAATACCTTGAGACTAAAATTTATTCATTATTTCAGTATTCCCTCGAAGGGCACCAATTTGCAGTGTTCGCGTTCCGTTTAAGCTCCGATAAACGTTACGTGGTGTCTATATCTAGTCGCGTCATCTCATGGGACTTGTCTACGTCGGACCTGGCCAGGGACCTTTGTCCACAGCTGGAAGGAATCATGCAGAACCTTGAATTGTCCCCTGACAATAAATGGGCTGCCGCTTCTACTAATAACTCAGTTGTAAGTTTATTTGATATTGTCTGTAGTTTATGGGATATCACATATATAAATAAAACAATTTTAACGGATTCAAACGCAAAATGAATCCCACGTGACTGCGACAGCTGCAAACTATCCGTGAAAATAGACTGTAAATAAGTTTTACTAAGCGTTTTAAGCCGTTAAAAGTGCCTTAAATAAGTTTATTTGATTCTAAATGGTTAAACAATTTCCGAGGCAACTACAAAACGGCCTTCAAGATATATTATGTTACAGCTTTTATAAGTACCTACTACCTACATCTTTATATTTTTACAAGACAATACAAGAGCTTATAAAAAGTTCACAACCGGAATTTGAAACCGTACCGTACCGTGCTGTTGCTTCACCAACAGAACAACTGTCCTCTGGGTGTGTGTGTATTGGTTAAATAGATTAGAGCAACAGCACAGTTCGCTGTTTGTCGGAGTTCAAGTCACACCTTTCATATTTTTTAAAATTTTTAAGAAAAAGTTATATATATTGAAAAAGAGAATATACATTTGACTATTATGCACTCATAATTATTACCTTTGTTTAGTCCATCTTGCTGAATATGCTGACAAGTGAATACATCACCATTGAAAATCCGTTAGATGAAGGTAAGCATTTAGTCTTGTTATTTCTTAAAAACTTAATATAATAAAATATTTTATCGGTTTAAAACGTAATATATGTTATAGAAATGCAACGGATATCCGGATGTTCGGCTGGTGATGAGGACGAATGTTTTATTTAATGTGCACCACTCACGAAAACAATCAGAATAAACTAGCTTGAAATTCTTTGGGGATAAATTTAAGCATTATCTAGTAATTCATTTCAGGCGAAACAGTCCGCGGTGTTTTCGTCTTAAACCACCACATGGTAATCTACGGTCCGCAATCGTGGGTTCAGTACAATACTCGTGGGGAGCACGAAGACACCATCCCAGCACCGACAACTGAACCATATGATGATTTCAAATGGGAAATTCTATGTAAGCTGTAATAATATAAAATTTTGCTTATCTACAGGGCCTATGAAATAATGTGGACATGGAGGACAGAAATTCCTCAGCCATATAACGTCTAAACAAGATACGCTATCGACCTATTTTGACTTTGGATATCCGGAAATCCACAGACTCAATCCGAAACGCGATTAAACTTCACGGCTTCTTCTTAACGATACATACCTATATATTAAAAGCATTTTATTTATAGCTATGGACTTCAGGGATCTTGAAAACATCGTCCTTATAATGTGGAGTGGAGACTTGGATGATGATAGGCTTTTGGTTCATTTCTGTAAAGCCGGTGCTTGGATGAAGCCGCTAAGGTGTAGAGGTGCTGTCAGTTTGGACAAGTACTGGAGTAGAATTTACAGTAGCGATCCCGAGAGAGGATATCAGGTATTTTTTATAACGGCATGGTGGGTTTGCCCATCAAGCGCCTCAGGTGATGTTAAGTAATGAATGAATGATATAAAAAAACCTTCCTCTCATTGTAATAATACTATATATGAAACTAAAATATACTTGATTCTCTTTAAAATTTCAACAATTATTTAGATGTTTGTATGTATGTCTGTCGTGATTCTTAAGAGTGTTCCATAGAGCAACATGACCGAGAAGAACACCCAAGAAACTCAGTCCGGCTTTTTAAAACATGTCTTATAAACTAATACATTTTTGTGAATTAATTAACGTAAGGAGCAATTCATATCACTGCCAGGCATTGCATAGATCGTTCCAACAATAATACGCCTTTTGAGACAAACGAAATTTTATGACTTTTTTTAAACTTATTGATAAATTTGCAACCTCAACAATTCCCCGCAAATGCATTCGTTATTTTATGAAGCCTTATAATTGGGGGTTTACGCTAATGACATTAAAATACCCTTTTAAACCGTTTAAAAGTCAAATAAAACACCCAACGCGTCATATAGTCATGGACACAAAATGAAAAAAAAAACACTTAAGTTTTACATCGTTAAAAGTGTAAACAGATAAATTGTAACCTTATTGTTCGTTATAACGATTCGAATCTGTTATTTATTTATATATTTGAAACATTTTTAACGGGTTAAAATTCGAAATATATTTGGAAACTTATCTTTATTTTATTTGGTTGCAACAACCGAGGTCACAAATAAAAAAGTTACTAATATATTTCGTATTTAAAACCATAAGTGTATTATTTAAATTTACTCACGTAAACTATAGACAATACTACGTATATAAATTAAAAACCGATGTTTGATTGAAAAAATTCTTACATCCTTATCGTTCTGTGCTGTTGCTGTAACCAAATGAGCTACCGTGTCCTAAACGTCGTCGTCGATTTTTTTTGGTACATGCAGCTCTCGCGCATCTACGTATATATTTTTACAGATAACTGCATATGAATTGGACGGAGAACAATCCACTTGGCAAAAAGTGGAAGAGCTCCAGCACCAAGAGACGGATACCGCGGAAGCTATGTTGCAGTTGAAAAGAGGGAAGAAGGACAGAATGCTACTTGGTAAGTAGTAATTATCTACTAGATTGTTAACCCTTTCTCATTTTTTGTTTATATATTGTTAAATTTTAGTTAAAATTAGTAAAAGTTGGTATCTATGTATTTTGAGTAACGGATAAAAAACCATCACGACGGTTTAAAAATTGTATGTCGGTTTTTGTGTACAAAATAAATAAATAAATAACCAGAGCTAAGCGCCGAGATACTACGTTGAAAACATAGATGATAATTTTTAATATATCCGAAATATTCTGCAGTAGTAAATAAATAAGGAAGTAAATATTTCGCATTTCAAACTATGTAACACTCGCGTAAACTATAAATATATTGTTTTAGTTTCTTATTTCTAAGATTCTATTAATAGTATTTCACAATTAAATAAAACTTTTATTACGGTTTAGAACACGAAATATATTACTTAACTATTTACAATTTCTTTAAAATATGGCCCTATGTCCTCCCGTGACCACGGCTGCCGCAAAGCATCCGAAACGTCAGGCCGTAGTTAAAACAAATTTTTAAATAAGTCAACAAATATAATTCTAGTTTTAAATTATGTATAAGTGTTTTAGTAAATTGTGTACTACTTAAACTGCAGATAGGACTTACAAAAATTCAGACAAATCCTAAGAATAAATGTAAATCTTAAAGCAAAAAAACTAAAATGATATTTTATCCTTTGTAGTTAAGTAGTAATAGTAAGTAGTAAGTAAGTAAGTTAAGTAGTAAGTAAAATTGCATATATTATGTAACCAGATAGCGCTTTAAAGAGCTCAGAACCTTATTTTGTTAGATCATTTCTGGCAAGGCGCTATATTTCCATCAGAGTGTACACGAAATCTGAACAATTGGCTGGCGCTGAGCCAAATCTTACGTTTCCTATGTTTTTTCTTTCCTTTAAAAAGGGTATAGTGGAAAATGCTTAAAGATTGGCAACTTTTAAAATTTACAGTTTTCCTGGCTATACTTTTTTAACAAACAAAGTAACGTAATTTATTATAGTACTAGCTTTGTCAGCGACCTCGTCCGCGTAGGATAGTTACTTTGGGCTACAAAATTTGGCTTTGCAAACCTCCTCTTCAACTTTATAGATTAAGCTGTTGTCCACGACGTTAGTCGTGTCCCGTCATTTTTGCAAGTTAATAATAAAATAAAATTCCCATTTTTTTCACATTTCTCGCTGTATCTGCGCTTGTTTTAGTCACAGGGCGATGTTTTATAGCCTATAGCCTTCCTCGATAAGTGCTCTTACCAACACAAAATAATTTTTCAATTTGAGCCGTAGTTCCTGAGATTAGCGTGTTCAAACAAACAAACAAATAAATAAACTCTACATCACATATTTTCAGCAACAACAACATATAGTTTTGTTGTCTGGGATTTCAACAACTACATACCACGTGGAAACCACGAAATCACAAATGAAAAATCTAAAGATGAAGACAAGGCTGAGATTGAGGAAGTAAGCCATAATATTAAAATAATTCTAATCATAGGAAATGGGATATTTTAAAAAAATATAGTTCGGATTAACTTATTACGACACCACAATGATGTAAAAATAATGGTCTCAATGTTTAGGAGGAAGAAAAAATAGACGCACCAGAAAAGGATCTCCGTTTGGAAGGAATCGTGTTAAAACTACCACACACCATACGAAATATATCCACCAAAATGACACAATCCAATTCGTTCATGATCAGTAAAAACTATAAGTATGCTGTGGCGGGGGTAAGGTGAGTCTTCAAAATCCTAATGTGTATGTACTTTATAAACTATTAAAATTTAATATCGTAATGGAAGTGACCATGGTACACAAGACTTACGACAAGAAACAATTTCAAACTGACCAGAAAAAAATCTTTGATCATAATGCTGGTACATAATATTAAGTCGGGATAAAATTAACTATTATTGTTGCTTTAGGTTAGCCACTACTACGTGTGTACATTCTTACCAAATTTCATCAATATCAGATCAGTTTTTAAATACTGTCTATAATTTACGCGAGTAAATAAAACACTTTAACGGTGTAAAACGCGATATATTAGTTGACTGTTAGTCTCCCCGTGACTACGGCTGCTGCAAAGCATCCGAAATTTCGGGCCGAAGTTAAAAATCATTTTCAAATAAGTTTAACTAATATATCGCGTTTTAAACCGTTACAGTGTTTATCTAAAAGATCAGTTCTTGCTTAAGAGCCACAAATTTAGGACTACAATAGCTAATCACTTCTTTTTAGAAAGAACCTATACGTCTGGAGTCTAGAGACGACGAAATTAATTAAGGTGCTGGACGCACACTTCGGTAGAATCGTGCAGTTGGAGCCCCTTACAGTAGGGACCTGGAACAACGTAATCACATCTTCCATAGACAGAACAGTGAAGATCTGGAATATAGATAACATTTTCGAGCAAGTGCATAAAATCGATAGACAGGAGTTGCCAATTGATTCAGTTAGGTAAGGAGATGTTTTTTTAATACTGTCTGGAGTTTCGCGAGTATTACATATTTAAATAAAACACTTTAACAGTTTAAAATGCGAAATATATTAAACTTCTTTAAACATTTTTTTTACAATGGCAACATAGATGGAGTATGTCTCTAAATCAAAGTAAAAACTGTTAATTTACCGCCATCTGTTCCGTCGAAGTTGGTATTTGGTGAAGCTGGCCAGGTCCTTTCAGAATATATTTCGTGTTTTAATCCGTAAAAGTGTTTTATTTAAAGATAATTTCGCCTTAAATATCAATATTACTTTCGATCCTTCCGTAACTCACTCGATAAACGTAGGGGCTACTATATAAAGAACGACATCTTCGGTCTTGGGACCGATTCTCAGAAACTAAGAAAATTCGCTTCGGTCCGACAGGACACAGATGCTGATGTTAGTCTAATAATTTTATTGCAGACACACAAATGTGTCATGCCTACACCCCACAAAGATGAAATAAAATCTTCTAAATGGAGATCATAAAGAAATGTTAAAATGTTTATTTTGAGCATCAATTTTAACATCTATCTAGTTAAGTCTCTTGTGGAACATTACAGCTTGGCTCGCGACAAACAGCTTGCAGTCACTGTAACACGCAGTTGCTGGGGTCTATGGGACACCAGCACTGGAAGACTCCTGGCACAGCTAGCTGAAGCACCTCTTGGGGCAATCGTGACTCATGCAATTATAACACCTAACGGAGAAACAGTCATCACGGCGGAATCTGGTAACGTGGTCATTTGGGACATTACCGATCAACAAGTAAGTTATATGATGTACCTACGATTGTTTTAAATGCTTACTAATAGATAATGATTTGTTGATATTGCAATGTGACGGGCACCTTGGTGTAATGGTAGCAAGGTATAACTACTAATGCGTTCGATTCTCAGTGGATCAAGATTTTCTAAAATATTTTTAGGCTTTTTCCGGAAATCCGAATATTAAATGGATTTGTAGGAATTTCGAAAATCAGTCTAAACCGTCCATAAATGACATAGTCATCAAGTTTGACCGCTTTTTATTTTTAGTCTGTGGATTTCCGAATATTCAAAGCTTGTTATATGACTCCATCAATCCAATGTGAAGTGTCTTGAATCGAAGCTCTCTATGAAATTTTAATTATATTTTGCTTTTAGTTTTGTTGTTATAGCGACAACTAATATATTATTAATCAATTGTTTATAATATTATATACATAGAAGTTTCTCTAGATACATCTTGGTGATAGACAGACATTGAAGTTTAATTGGGTCTCGTTCCCACCCTTTAGAAATTAGAATTCCTAATATGTAATCGTTTTAAAAATTCATAAATTTTATTTCCTTTATTAGGTGGTTTTCAAAGAAGAACAGAAAGGCGTGAAGCAACTTCTACTTCTAGAAGATGGGACTAAATTGGTGACTATTTCGATGCGGATACCACCAGATAATACTGACAATGTGGCAACTGCGCTTATTGTGGCTCGAACCATTCCAGGTTTTTATCGTATGCCTTTGTAAAACTGTACAAAGTCATAATTGAAGTAAATGATAAGTTTAGATAACACTTTAACGGTTTAAAACGCGATATATATTGGTTAAACTTACTTTAACTACAGTCCGACGTTGCGCCGCTAATATATATCGCGTTTTAAACCGTTGAAGTGTTTTATTAAAATGTGTACCACTCGCGTAAACTACAGACAGTAAATGATAAGTTTAATTTCCCACTTCTTCATTGTTGCTATATTCGGACGATAAATGTTTTTTACTTTTACCCCGTTTTAAACGTTAAATATATATCTTATTAATATATTTCAGGTTTTCAATTTATAATTTTCTAATATACAATTTTTCATATTTAAGACGTTTTTAAATAAACAAACGTTAATTTGTTTCCCCCTAATGGTCATTGATTTCAGATGGTGAAAAAATCTATGCAGTGGATTACGAAGTTCGCGGAACAGGATACAAGTCAGCCGTGGTATCTATAGATGAGCACCATATCGTTGCTCCTGGGTTAGACAAGTCTTCACGAGAATGTCTTCATGTCTTCCATGCAAGAACTGGTGCAAGATTACATAGGTAACAATTCGCCTGGCATTATAGTCCAAATAATTACCTTGTTTATTTCTATGATGAGCTGTCGAGATCTATCTTGTTTTAGGACATTGGGAAATTCGCAGTGAGAAACCCAAATACGATATAACTTCACGGTTCAAAATTTAAAGATTAAAAATACCATTAGAAAGGTTTAAAAAAAACCTAACACTGTCCACAGAGGAAAAAACCGTGAAGATCAATCGCGATTCGGTTTCAGTTTGTGCATTTCTGTATATCCAAATTCAAAATAGGTCAACCGCACATCTAGTGGAATGTTATATGCTTGCCTCTCTAAAATTTTACGTTTCAGAATCCCAATAAAGAACAGTGGAATCAAGGATATGCAATCCATCGTGGCTTTACCTCACAAACCTCACTGGGTCGGTGTCGTAGGCAACGACAAAGCTGGCATTCTAGATATTAAGACTAAGAGACATGTCAGGTGATTATTATTTAAAAAAACGTCTGAATTGGCCTGAATTTTCCAGCGCTACTGCCATTTATATTATGCGGCCAAAATTCTACCAATTTCCATTCCACTATGAACTGGCTTTAGCCGAAAGCAAGTAATTTACTTTCTACGAATTTAAAAGAAAGGAAACGGTTAATTTGTTATCGTTGATTGCGAAGTATTTTTTTTTTATATTTGCGATAATTGTTCTAGCGTTCAGCCAATAAATTTCACTGCTTCTTGTCTATGCAGTGTGGAGTTTAAACTATTATTATAAAAATCTTCTCGATTTGATTAGTTTCAATAAATGTCGGTCATTTTCCTTGTGAAATTAACTATTTGTTTATCTTTTATTATACGAGCGAGTTTTTTGTCAATGGATGTTTGTCCGTTACCTGGATGGAATTACATTATTCCTACCACCTATTTAATATTCAGATTTTTTAAGCGAAGTCCAACATATTTCAGAATCAAGAATATTTCAAATTATATATTGAATACTGTCTGTACTTTACGCGAGTAGTACTTACTTACACATTTAAATGAAACAGTTTAACGGTTTAAAACGCGATGTATTTTAGTTAAACTTGTTTGAAAATTATGTTTAAGTACGGCCCGACGTTTTGGATGTTTTTTTTTAACTAAACGGAGTTTAACTATAATATATCGCGGTTTAAACCGTTAAAGTGTTTTATTTAAATTATATACCTATTGATGAAAAACATGTTGAACCGGATGGAGATGGAACTCATGAACTTTTATCGCTATCATTGCTATGACACCGAGGAGCCCACGAACTGAATTTTCCAGATTCGTGCCCCGCTGGAACGGCGCTTGCACAAAAGACGGTAAGACCGGTCTCTGCGCTCCGTCAAGAGGAGGTCTAGATCTGATAGAGTTAAAACGAGGGACATCAGTACAGCAGCTGATATCGCGAGCCGCTGAAGGCGTGTTCTCCATCATTACAATGTTCAGCTCTACTGATGAGTATGTCTTCTACTACCACAGCGGCAGAAAGACATTACGGGTTTTCAGGTATTTCTGACAATATTTTATATGCTTGTGTCAAAAACCGCAAAATATCTATTATCGTAATCTGTGGACGGTGGTTTGTGACCCGGACAGAATTTCGATATTTCACTCTTTTAATATCCAGACTACAGACTATAGCTACTATTAAACCAAGGGGACGTCAATCTTTTAAATTAACATAGTGTATAAATAGTGAAGCTGTTCCGATACAAGCTAGACGTGAGTTATTGAAACTGCCTCGAAACAAGTTGTAAATTAAATATTAAGAGACAGACTACATAAGCATCTTTAGGCATTTTTTTCGTTTGATCTTCATTGCAAAATGTAAAAGATAAATAATCAAAAAGTTCATCAAGTGTGCAAGAGTTTATTTATTCCTAAATAGCTTGAGTGAATAGAATTTTTCGTACATAACAAAACAATATTTTTTTAGGACGGTAGATGGTCGCGCGATAGCCGAATATCGTGCGCCAGCTGAAGTGACGGGAGTCGCAAGCGCACACGGCGGGCGCGCTGTCGCTATTGCGTCCCAAGATGGATGCCTGACCATACTAAATATTGTCGATCCGCACAAGTAGATAAATACCTTCAATAACTAAACTAAACTAAATAGTCATAGTAGTTAAGTAGCAGTTTAATTCTTAGGAATATACATGAATATTATATTACGCCATATTTAAAACTAGCCGTGCCAGCGACTTCGCCCGAGGAGAATAGTTATTTTAGGCATCAAAATTCATCTTTATAAATTGATGATGTTGCCCACGAGGTCACGTCGCGTCGTTCTAGCAAGTTAATTTTTAAAATATTTTCCCCTTTTGCTCTTACTGTTTTGCTTCTACTGTACGCAGGCTGATGTTTTAAAGCCTAGGTGTTTTAGAGCCTATCTCGAGAAACGCTTCGAGCCAGTAGTTCCTAAGATTAGCGCGTTCAAACAAACAAACTTTATAATATTAGTATAGATACAGTTTTTAGATTTCACGTAGATGTCTGTTGCTTGCAAGAGATAGATATAAAGGACAAAGCTAAAATTATATTGATTCAACTTTGTGTTATGTTCCGTTTCTATGTCACAATAAAGAATATTTGCATTTGTAGATGTAGAATAAATAAACAAAGTAATATACTGAATAGCGGATAATTCTGACTTACACAGAAACATATTACAGTTTAGCGACAAAAATACTACTGTACTATCATATTGTATTCATATTGCCTCTGTCGCACACAATAATACCAAATGGCTTTGCAAGAAGAAGACAACAATAGTTGTTAATTAATAACACGTTTATTAAAAATTACCTTACATTCTCTAATTTAGAAGATTGTCACTTTTAGAGTTTAGTTATAATAGAAAGGAACGTTAGTACAATGAAATGACTGTGATACAAAGGACTGTTTTGGAATTGTTTAAGTTTATATGAAGAAGTTAGTGTTAAATATATTAGTTATTAAGTTTACCGTAAACACTTTGTTTTATTTTTATGCCAACATGGAACGTTACAAATAAGTAAAATTCAAAAGAGATAGATTTTCAAAATAATTATTTAAAAAGAGTTTATAAGTAAAATGTCCTATAACACTATTAAAATATAAAGAGAAGATTAATTTTTACTGAAATGAATTTTTCAGAAAAAAATCCAGTAATTATGATTCATTAGTAGACACTATATTAAGTCTTGTTTCGGTTAAAACTTGCTTTAGACTAGCTGTGACCATAGCCCTATCTAATTTTTAGTCTGTGTCACTTTGATCTTTGTCAATTATATCTATGGTATCTATGTTTAAAAAAAGTGTTGACATTTGCAATTTAGTAAACATACAGCAATTAATATGTTTCCTTTATAAATAGTGAAATGCAATCAATTATTTATTAATTTACATAAAATACATTCTTTGTACATAAGCATTTTGTTAAAAAAACCATGAGCTACAATTCGAAGAGCTGCATTGCCTGTTTCAGTAATGAAAAAGTAACTGAATACAAAATGCGTAACGAACATTTAATCTCCCTTTTTCAGGTAAATGTTGGATTATTATACATTTATTACACAAAACTGGTACCTAAACCATTCTTAGTTTATTTAAAATATTTGTTAAACCTAAAAGTTTCCCTTAGAAAACCGTTTCGGCATTCAACTTCAAAATTATGCAAAGAATGTAATCTCGTAACAGTCAGGCAACTTTATATTATATCAACTTGTCGTCGCCATCTCGAAGCGCCATCAAAAACTAAAACATCTGAACAAACATCTTCAACACAACTAAAAGTTCAAGTTTCAGAGTCCGCTCAAACACTCTTGTTTTGCCCAACGATTTTTTACCTTTAGAGGTCCCTTCCTCCTATTTATTAATAAAAATATAATTAGCCCACTTCTTTTTCTACCCAATTAAATGGAATTATTAGAGTGTTTTTTCTAAAAGTAATTATATTCAAACAGAAAACTGTATTAATGTAATCATATAACTAAAATGTTTTCCATATTTTTAAGTTGAATTTTCTTATAATTATATACTTAGCATATAATAACTTTGTAAGTAGCTAAAAAATGTTCATTGTTTTTTAAAATGCACTGGAAGAGTTTAGCCGCCCACGACACTGGGAGTCCTAGGGTGGGGGCTAGCACACCCTATAATTAAATGTACACAATTTTGGTGAACAAAAACTTTGTATTTGATTATAGATTGTTAGTATTGTATGTTTTTTTCAGACAAATACGCTTAAATTATGTTATATATGCAAAAAACGTGCAAGGAATATGGAGTCTTTCATCCAAATCGTCAGGAGCAATCAAATTTTAATACAGAACATTCTCGATGTATGTATTCAGATAGTATATTTGCTTAATTGTTTATTAAAACACAACATTAATTGAACAGTTCATAATATTTAAATAAAACACTTTAACGGTTTAAAACGCTATATATATTAGATCAAGTAATCACAATAATTTGCAAATAAAACTAATATATATCGTGTTATAAACTGTTAAAGTGTTTTATTTAATTATGTACTTCTCATGTTAACTACAAATACTATCCAGTTATATTAAATATCAATTTTACTCGAAAAAATGTATGCAGATGCCAGATAGCAGTATAAAGTTGAAGCCACAGCCAGTTTTGCAAATGCAGACGAAGATGCTATACCCAGAAATCCCAGATACTACAGACACTTCTAAAACTAAAGAAATTTGTTATCTACTAGATAATATAGATGATGTATTAAAAGTTGAAAGAGATGATGAAACAAACATGGCTACAGATTTTCACGATGACCCAGGTATGGTGTTGAATTTTGTTCTTATGTTTCTTCTTGCTAGTGCTAAGCTAGTCTTTTCTATGTCCATGTTTTGATAACTTATAGTGTATGTAAATTTAGTCTTTTATTTTAACTGTATGTATGCACATTAACATACATTAATTGTCTATAGAAAGTTTGTTTTCAATAATTGTTGACTTTCTATAAACTAAATCTCGGACAATATTTAAAAATTTCTTATTAATAAACTATATTTGCATATTTTTCTAGACTTTGATATGCCACTGGTTAAAAAAGAAGCAAATGTTGATTTAAAACTAGAAGAGGATGATATTAGGTATTTAGAAAATAAAAATGGCACTAACAATTTAGAAGCGGAAGTCGCACAAGAGGGTATTATAGACATACAGTCCTCTGGAAATTCACCAATTTTTTCAGAAGAGTTGTTTGTCAAGAGAAAAAAGACTGCCAAGAAAAAGAAGAAGAAAAAAACAAATGATTTGGGTAAATAACAATCATTATTGAAAAGTATTATAAGCATTATAGTATACATTACATATCTACCATTACAGTACAATTTAACAGACATACACAGCTGCTGTACCAGTGACTTCCTACATTAAGAATATTAATTTTGGGCATCCAAATTCGTTGGGCAAAGCCCTTGATAATTATACACTTAAGCTGTTACCCACGAGTTCGGTCGCGGTCTTAAAAGATAGACATATTATAGCGTCGCGGACTTTTTGATCGTTCAAAGAAGAACGCCTCGGTAACCCGTAATAATGGATAATTTTCCCAATATTTTTCACATATCCAGCTGTATCTTCGCTTGTATTAGTCACAGGGCAATGTTTTATAGACTTCTTCGATAAATGCTCTAACCAACATAAAATAAATTTTTCAATTCGAACCTATAGTTGCTGAGATTAGCGCGGTCAAACAAACAAACTTTTCAGCTTTATATATTATAGATGAGAATAGTACAAAGTAGTAAATTTAATTAACAAAATATATAAAAAACACTAACAGTTTAACATGCCATAATTATCAGTTAACTTTCACTACGACTCTTCAGATGCTTTGCAGCGCTAGGTGGGGGAAATTTTAAGTTAGTTGATCTTGTTTCAAACTGTTAAGAATTATTTTATATGTGCTACTTGCGTAAGTTATAGATAATACTTTAAAGCATGTATTTAACTACCCTGCTGTATCAGGTGCATTTTAGCTTTGATGATTTAAATTACATTGGAACCAATTAAAACCTGATTTAACTGGGTTGTGAGAGTGGAATTAACTTTGTTTCTTACTATTTCAGATCTAACTTACATAGAAGTAGTGGACATTTCAAGAGAAGAATGCATGAAAGAGAGAGAGGAGAATGCAACAAAAAGTCTTTATTTAACAGCTCAATACAAATGTACGGATTGTGTTAAGGGATTTATGTATAAAGAGGTCTTTAATAAGCATATGACATTGCACCTTGAGGTAAGTTTTCTAGTACTTGGTGTCCGATCTAAAAAAGTGGGGATGGAGGGTCGTAACCCTGTGTTTATGTACCTTTTGGCCTCTGAAGTCAGTTGAAATACGGAACGACAATAAGTTCCTTTTCTACTGAGTTGAAGGCTTAAGGGTCTCTAGCTATTCTCTTTTTTACAATGCAGCAGGGCGTTTTTAAAGCGAAGAGAAAGAGAGTTTAGGAACAACTGTTCCTTATTTCTTAGTTGTTAAAATTTCTTTATTTTCGTTGAAAAATTTTCAAATCATTTTTGACCTACGCGATCATATTCAAAATTATTTTCAAATTATTCTCGCTTTAATTTCTGAACTATTGTCTAGTTACTAAGAAGACACCAACTACCTATTTTTCACCATCTACTTCTAGTGCTGATTCTGGTCCAGGGTTTTTTACTCCGAATCTAAATTCAAAGGTAATTGCAGATAACGAGAAAGACTATGTTTATTTGCAGTCTGGACAGGTAAAGACTTTTCCTTGAAAGTTGAAAAAATAGATTATTATAATGAATGTCCGCAACCAGAAAATATAGACCCACGAAAGTCCAGATATATGCCGCTTAGAATTACTTTTTACTAATTTTTACATTTATCTTTTAAAATTCATATTAAACTTAAATAATTTTTAAATTCGAATAAAATGCTTTGTTGAGCAGTAAAAAAATATGAACTGATGATATTGTTGTATTTGATGACAACTATGCCCTTAAATCTTGGACAATTAATTTCATTATGTATCAAATAAGAAACACTACTATACGATATACATATATTTTTTTAAAAGAAGCTCATTTATATATATGTTTATCGGTACTAGTACAAAACCCTCTGTGACCGCATAATTATTATAATATTGCAAGGACACACACACACGCACACTTTTGCGTCTGTGTGACTAAATTTCGATATGAAATACCTAAACTTGACATCGCGCGAAAGGTGTCAAACGCTCTTAAGAACCGTCTTCATCAACACTATAAATGCAGAACCTCCAACACACTGCAATAATCGTTTTTAATACTCAGTATTGTATAAGTTTGTATCTGTTCTTTAATAAAACAACAATTTTCAATTAATATAATCATAAGTAACCCTTTTTCTCGTTAAACTGTACGCTACTTAATCTAAAAGTGGAAACTTTCCTTATTTATGTCATGCTATACTTCATCTTATTTTTATTTACTTTTGGGGACACCGATAGAAAAGACCTGGCTGGTCACCAGTTTGCACTTTGCTAGCCATTTTTACACATTTAACGGGCTTCGGTTAAAGTTTGACGGGCCCGTCGGTCTAGTAATTGCTTCGTTTGGAAATCTGGATATTAAAAGGGGGGTACGAATATAGGAATTCCGTTGGGGTCACGAACCACCGTCCACAGATAAAATGAAGCCCTCCTCGCGTTTCTGTTTCGGCTGGTGGATTTCCGAGTATCAAAGCTAAAATAGGTCAACAGTTGGCATGTTGTTTAGACGTTAATAGCGGGGGATATTTCGCTTTCCACCGATGCCACGTTTGTCCTCCGTCATTCATAAACATACTTTATCTAACAATATTATTATTTATGTTGTTCGCAAAGAGAGAATTGTTTGAAGATTCAAATCCGACATTGCTTTGCCATATGTCTGCATGATTATATTTTTCTGTTTTGACACTTGCCCCTAAAAATGAATGCTTGATAATTTCATATATTTTTCAGTTTTTTTTTTGATTGAAAGGACAAAACCTTTTTCAGAGTAGCGGGCAGTATGAATGTGATATTTGCAAACAAAGGATGAAGACTGAGGAGAAATTCCAGAAGCACCTGAAGGTTCACAAAGTGTATGTCAAACCTTTTTGAAACTTCTATAGATCAATTGTGTTAAGTATTGGCTAGTATTGTGTAGTAACTCTTATGTTTGCCCCATGCCCCACAGGGGGATACGGAATTTCACTTTACTTATCAAAATATATAATGCCGTTGGATTTCGATTGGTGTAGTATTGAGAGAGATGCCAATTAAATAAAACATTTAACGGTTTAAAACGTTTAAAATAATTAATAATAAAAATGATTAATTTGTTTTAACTACGGCCGACATGTCATTTGATAACTTAAGTCTACTATAAATGTATAAAAAATAATCTAATTAGCCAATTAATATATTTCACGTTTTAAACCGTTAAAAAATGTTAATTATGTATTACTCACGTAAACTACAGAATAATTAGGTGGTTCTAATGTGTTATTTGCTTTTGAATTGCTTTCAACTTTTCTTTATTATTTCTTGGTTATAACACTACTTTAACTCTACTCGTCTACAGCCGATACAAATGCAAAGAATGCGGGGTCGTTAGATTGTATCGCGGAACGATTCAAGACCACTACGATCAAGTACATTTGTTGACGCACCTCATCTACAGCTGCGCGGAGTGTCCGAAGAAGTTCAAGTAAGTAGACCCAGGAATAAAAATTAATGACAGGGGAGGACAGGTTATAGAACATCTAAACGAGATTCGTTGTCAACCTGTTTTGGATATTCGATAATCCACAGACTGAAAACGAAACGCAGATTCCGAAATGAGAATCCATGGATGGTTTGACCCAGACGGAATTTTGATATTCCCACCAAATTTTTTACATTAATATTCTTCTGATTCGGAATCTAATCCACGACTTGTTGTATAACTTAATCTAACAGTATAGCAATGTTGTGTGCTGCATCTTGGTAAAACGATCGTACTCAGCTTATACCCTAAGGGGTCGTCCATTAATCACGTGAGGCTTGAAAGGGAGGGTAGGGGTTTTAAAAAAATCACGAAAATAACACAGGGGGGGTGTAGTAAGATATCGCGTGTATTTATTTTTTCGTTTTCAATTTCAATTTTTCGTTCGTCAAACGCGCGATTTTTAAACAATTGGTGTAGACATTTTTATTATGGTCTTTAACTTCTGAATAAAATAAGATTATAGTCTATACCTGTATTTAAATTAAGATAATATTCAGAAAATTTTAAGATTCTTTATAAGTAGGTACTAAAAATACACGTGATGTTTAGAAGGGGGAGGGGGGTTGTCTTAAACCTCACTACGTCTCACCAATGGGGAGGGGGGGTTAAAAAATTAAAAAAAAAAAGATCACGTGATTAATGGACAACCCCTAAGTTGACTTGGACTGCAGTGCCATATACTCGCTGTCTCTCTACCATAAAAAGTTACATAATCGAAATTCTGAGTTCTTTCTCTAAAGCTGGCTTTTATAAGTTGATTGTTACAGGACAAGAAAAGCACTCCGCAAGCATAAGAGCTACGCGCACAAATCGAACCGGGTCACATGCGACTATTGTAATAAAACCTATGTGAACAGGGACTATCTCCGGAGACACATCTTGTTGTGAGTATAGTTAAAATAAAAATCGATTATAAATTGAAAATTTTAGAATTCGGGCCTTGAACTGGCATCCATAGCGTTACGAGCACTTGATCTAACCAATTGAGCCACTGTGCCATGGATACAATACTATACGGTATGGTATGGTATGGTGCCACCATGTGCAATAACATCCGAAAAATATTAATTTATGTCAATATAAATACATTTGAAATGCTGATCATTGGATGTGGTACCCATTTAGACTCTTATTCCTATACCATAATATAGCAAAGCACATTGGAAATAACTACTGTGCAACGAGAATATCAAAATGTTTAATAACAATATTGCTTTTAGAAAGCACTCAGATGATAAGTCCTTCGAGAGACGACAAGAAGACCTGAAGACCCATCTCTGTGGTGACTGCGGGAAGGCTTTTACGGCCCCGTCCTACCTCAAGAACCACATGGTCAAACACGTCAAGGAAGGCAGCTACTACTGTGTTGAATGTAATAAGTGAGTAATTGCTAATTAGAACCAGCATTTTAGGTTTTATATAGTTTGTTAGAGGAGGACAGAAAGGGCTTGCTGATCTAATGGTTCCTAGTGGGTCTAACATTCAATATATAACTTTGCTAAACATGTTGTACATCATTGGTGGTAATACAAATCTGTCAGTGAATATCCAAAGCCTAAATAGATCGGCAGCATATCCTGTTAAGTTATTACATGGCTGGGGTATTAAAACTACCATCAAGACGTGTACTCGTAACTGTCTTACTTTTAAATAAAACACTTTAACGGTTTAAAACGCGATATATTAGTTAAACTTATTTAAAAATGATTTTTAACTTCGGCCCGACGTTTCGGATGCTTTGCAGCAGCCGTGGTCATGGGGAGTCTTACTTTGTTTATTAATTGCAAAATGACCTTTGAATAGTGTTTTTTAATTTTTTTTATATATTGTTGCCGTAAAATTTGATTATTTTTTATTGGAATCTATATTCGCCTAATCATATGTCATATTTTGTTTGTCATTTAACGTAATAAACATAATATCTCTATACACTAAGCTTTTGGTGCCAGCCATTATACAGATGTGCTTAATATTTGTCTCTTATACTTGTAATCTTCTTTCAGAAACTTCAAAACGGAAATGTCCTTGAATCAACATCTGAGATTGGCTTTACCGCACGTACGATATACTGATTTACCGTAAGTACCTTAAAATAAAACAAAATGGTTTAAACGGAAGATGACACGGCGCGCACAGATGGCGCTAGCGTAGCAGATGTGACTTTGATATTGGAGACACCCTCACTCTGGGACACTCCAGTCCCTCCATGGCCATGGCTGCTGCAAAACATCCGAAATCCGCTGTAGTTAACATAATTAATAAATTAGTTAACTAAAGTGTTTTAATTAAAACTATAGTTATGTCCTCCCCCCTCTAATCATACCCCAAAAACGGTAATTGTAGTACTTAACGAAACAATATTATTTCAGTCTTCAGTGTGATCACTGTGATAAACGTTTTGGTGTGAAGCGAAATCTCGCGCGACATATAAACAGAATCCACCTCAATAACAAACCCTACCAGTGCGACAGATGCGAAAAGGTAATCATATTTTATAACTACCCTCAAAATCATATTTAATATTTTAATGAAATCACATTGATACCAAATAAGATATCTGTCATAAGATCTATGTAAATATATATTTTCTCTTTTCATAAAAACTATTTATTCCCTGTTAATTTTTTCAACCTAAAAATAAGTTTAAATTTGATAAAATTAACAATAGTTAAATTTTACGACGGTAACTAGACCCGGCATTCATAGCGTTCCGTGTCTATACTCTTGTCAATTAAGCTACCGTTATCATTGCATTTGTTTAATCCACAGACACATGCACGTAATGTAAAATCAACCCTAGAGCCTACGCTTTTGGTTCAATATGCTTTGCAGCTTAAGAAGTCATTGAATATGACGGGTAGAACACTGTAGCTCAATTGGTAAAAGCAACGGCACGGGACGCCGTGGATGCCATTTCTTTGTATCGCCTAAAAGGAGTTCTCTTTCAGGCTTATCTAGATCAGTGGTCTCTGCAAAGCCATATACGTTACACCCACGAAGGTCATACGAAGGTGAGGAAATATCCTTGCACCTTTTGCGATAAGGTTTTTAAGGTGAGAAGTCATTGTCTAGAGCCGATAGCGTGAGGAAAATTAAAGAAAGCCTTGTTTATTGCACTTACGGCCTACATAGATTAGTATATTGTTTACCACGTCTTGAGTTAAACCAAGGAAATATCAAATACTTTCCTGATGTTATTTACCCTTTTAAATAAAGAACTTTAACGGTTTAAAAAGGCGATATATTAGTTAAACTTATTTTTAACTTCGGCCCGACATTTCGCTTGCTTTGCAGCAGTGTTTCGGATGCAATGATGTCATTTTCAAATAAGTTTAACTAATATATCGCGATTTATACCGTTAAAGTTCTTTATTTAAATGTGTACTACTCGCGTAAACTATAGACAGTATTTAATAGTTTATTAGTCAGACCATCGATCCATTTCCTAAATCTAATAATATATCTGTATATCATTAGAATTAGGTTTATATTATATGTTTTAGTCACTAGCTAACTTAAGAAACAGAATAAAAACAGTAAAATATAATTTATATTTACAGACAAGTAGCACATGCAAAATGCACATACGTACTCACACGGGGGAGCGGCCTTACAAATGTAAGGAGTGTCCCGCGGCTTTCTCCCAAGCGGGGATACTAAGCACACATGTGAAATTGGTCCACCTGAAACTCACGAGGGACGGAAAGCCTAAGACCATTACAACGGAGAGATCTCGATACGATTATAATTAAATGATTTTTTTTTTTATGATAGAGGATGAGAAACATGGGGTTGTAAGTTAGATACGCGGTCGGCCTATTTTGGTATTTATATTGTGTTAATAAATACATAAATAATAATATTCAAAGCTGAAATGGGTCAAGCGCATCTTTTTCTGGTGTTATATGTCTATGGCATTTCGCCTGCCAACAAATGTTTGCCTGTTCGTCGTTATCATGAAAAATAAAAATAAATAAATATTTTTTTAGTAACTTCTAAGATTTGTTTTATTTTTTGTATCCCCGCTGTATCTATTGTTTGTTGCATTTTCTGCAAGGACGTCCCGGCTTTAAATCCCCGAAGGACCATAACACAACTGTACTGTTGTATCTTATGATAGTAGTATTCAATAAAACTGTTGTAACCGGTTAAAACACGAAATCAATTATTAATTGAACTGTAAAGCGACGTTTCGGCTACGTTACAGCAGTCGTGGTTACGGAGGAAATACGTAACATCTGGTTTCAAATAAATGTATATATTTCGTGTTTTAAACCGTTCAGTGTTTTATTCAAACATAACATTGAAGGATTAGTTTCAAAAGATGAACAACGTTGAAGCATAGCTATTCTACTTTTGTTATTTAACCAAACAACCGAATTAATAGTACATAGGTACTTGGCTATATTTTTATTCTGAAGTTGATAGACTAGATAAGGTAAATCTCTATATCTATGAATGTGAAATACCGTTTCCCCTCGTGGGGCATAGGGCGAACACATTTTCGTGTCCATTTCACTGATCGGCCTTATTTACAGGCAAGTGGGTGATCAGACTTCTGTGCCCTGCCCGACCGAAACATTTTAACGTTTCCCCGGGATTCGAACACAGGACCTCTCGCGCTTAACGCAATGCTAAGCAACACGTAACCATTTAGCTACAGAGGCGGTCGAAATATCTTTACTAATATTACAAAGCTGAAGGAGTCTGTTTTGTTATTTGAACACTCCATTCTCATTAACTACTGGTTCGTGTTTAAATATTTCAGTTAGTGGGAGCTGTTATCTAGGAAGGCTTTAAGTAATAAAACAACATGCTGCGACCAATTGAAGCAAAAATGCGTGCGCTGCGAAAACAGCTGCAGATACCGAATAAATATGTAACGGAATTATTCTTTTTAAATATTAAAAAAAATATGTCCGCAACAGTATGTGTCTATCTTTTAAGATAAATTCACAAGAATTATTTTTAAAATCAAATTTAGTCGAAATACTTCATATGCTAAAAGTTAGCCAGATCATCTTGTATACAATGAAACAACACCCAAATATAAATACAAACATTTTTCAACTTATTTCTAGATCCACGGAAGTGGTTTAATTATACGTCCAATATAAATAGTTACTGATTGTATCTATGAACTGTGTTACACCAATGTAAAACAAAGGTGGGGGCGGCTAGATCCCACGGGAGCGCGAGAAACATCCTCCCGGCCCGGATGTCAACGGATCCGCTATACTACACGATGTGCGGATGTAAGGATGTGTCTGAAGATTTAATTAAACACTTGATCGGCTCGTTGGTCGATTGATAGCAGTGCATGGCTTTAAATCAACGGGTCGTGAGTTGGATTCCCAGCGGATTTAACATGTTTCTCAAAAATTAAATTGTAGCTTTGTCTGAATAATCTCATGGTCATAAACCACAATCTAGAGATGGAACAGTCGCGTTTCATACTCAGTCTGTCGATTTACGAATATTCAAATCCAAAGGATGACAGCGTATTTATATGTTATATGGATGATTATAATATTAACTTCCATCAAGTTGAATTACATGCTTGTCTGTAAAAAAGAAGATCCCTGTCTAGTATAGAATACAGACTGCACGAAACAGGAATTCAATTCATCTTACAGTAAAAATAATTACAGTTATAATATAATACATAAGTTAACAATAAGCTACGAAAGAAAACTAAATTATTATAAGTATGTGAGGATAGTGAAGTTAAAAGAGGCATAGAGCGCCGTTGATGATGATAGATTTAAAAAATAGGAGTTTTTGGTAGAAGGGCGACAATTTGAGGCTGTACGCACTTTGTAATGAAAATAAAAAATGTTAGACCACCATAAACAGAAGTGATTCTCAAACCTTACTGAATGCATAAAAAATTGTCAAGCCATTGCAGATGAGTATAGTAAACGAGTTATTGTTCTAGAAGTGGCTTACCAGCTCGAAGATGGTCGCAGTACGGTTTACTAACTCCTCTGAATCAAACCCTGCTCAACGTTATGCAATCCTATACTAAAAAAGCTATTACGTTATGCGTTACTTTAAAACAATGTATCAACATTATCTCGAGATCTGTCTAGATTTCGTTTCTCGTGTATATCAGTACGCCAGACGCACGTTCACACTTTGTTGGTCGGAAAACAATTACACACTTCCTCACTTCCTCTATGTGTTAAATTCAGGCAATGTCCATTTTGAAACAAATAAAGTATAGATACCAATAATATTTGAATAAATCTAAGAGTTTAAAAATAGAAAAAGAATCTACTTAGTAAGGAACTGAGCTTCGTCGCAGTTACGATAGTTCTGAAGGCTTTGCAACGTAGTTTTAGCAAGTAGTCGCACTCTATACTGTTTTTAAGTTTTGTATATTCTTCAAATAAGTTCCTAGGTGACCTGACAAGCGTTTTTTTGCCATATGATTGATTCGACCAAACTTTATTACCGCATAAATTCTTGTGGGTTAATCTCGCATTTAGAGAGTAATTCTTTCATACATATTTATGCGGGTGTCTTTTACCGTTTTCGCAAGGAACGCAGCGGAAAACGTTCAGAATAATTTTCCCCGTTTTTTCCACATTTCTCACTATTTCGTCGCTCCCATCGGTCTCGCGTGTTATATACTCTAAAGCCTTCCTCGATAAACTTCCTAACACAAAAATATTGATTTAATTTGAAACAGTCGTATCTAAGATAATGCGAGCTCAAATAAACTCTGCGGTTATATATATTAGATTTATGTGAGAGCCGTCTTAGGTTTGAATACCGACAAGACGTATTAGTTTCGATCGAGCAAGGCACAGAAGTGTTATAACTAATATATTTAAATAAAACACTTAACGGTAAATCTAATTTTCAAATATGTTTAACTAATATATGTATATCGCGTTTTAAACCGTTCAAGTGTGTAATTTAAATGTGTACCACTCGCGTAAACAACAGACAGTATTTATATGAATATATCTAAATTAACGCTTTCTTTCCATTTAAATAGATTTTTAAGTTGATAGTGTCTCAATTCTCCTGCAGATTTCACAAAACAACAAGAAGCGATCCAAAATAATAATAATAATATAATTAGAGTTCTGCATCTGTCAGCGGAACGAGAGCCGTCATGAACATTTTCGACCTTGTATCGATCCTTCGACCTAGTTCCCACGGTCTATGGGATCCTTTAAGCCATACATGGGACAAAATGTTTAGAGGTCGAACGGAGGCTGCAGAAATTTCCCAGGTTCCTGTAAGGAAGCTTAAATAAATATCAAGCAGAATACGTTTTTTTTCTCTTTAGTCGAAGTTGTGTAGTTCTGTTGTCTGTTGCTAGCGAGGAATAAATATTTAAATAAAACACTTTGAACGATTCAAAACATGAAATGCATTCTTGAGCCTATTGTTAAATACGACCACATAGTTGACCACCACGTAAGTCGTTATATTTACTGCAAAGCATTCATTGCAGTAGATATAACGACTTAGTTAAAATTAAGTTATCTCATATCTCTTGCGTTTTAAACCGTTAACTTATTTACTTTTGTCTTGACTACGTTTCGGATGCTTTGCAGCAACCGTGGTCACAGGGAAACCGTTCGTTCGACCCTACATCAGGGTGTCAAAGCTAAGGTAACTGATTTGTTTCGCTTTTTAGACCGTTAAAAGTGTTTAATTTGAATACGTCTCAATGTCTGTATACTGAGGTATAATTATATTGTAGAGAGCTGTTCAAATGCGATAACAGGGGGTCATTGTTTATTTCGTCCGAATCGTAATATTTTTATCTGCAACCTGCTAGGTAGATACTATAAAACTGAAATATTTGTCTGTTTGTGTGTAGAAGGTTTTACGAAGTCAATAAATTATTCAACCAGTTCTCCTCTGAGCATTGTATAAAGTTGACACATTTCTATGTCCGTTTCACCAATTCATTTTGTATACTAGCTATGGACACGACTTCGTCCGTGTAGGATAGTTCATCTTTATAGATTTAAGCTGTTTCCCACAACGCCGCCCGCGTTCCGTCGTTCTTTCGAGTTAATCTTAAAAGATATAAATACATACCTTCACATTTATTTTTTCACACATATTTTTGGCTTCTAGAAACTAATAATTTTGTCTGTTTCCATTTCCATTTGCATCTGCTTCTTCGTACCTATTGGTCGCAACCTCGTGTTTTAAAGCCTTTCTCGAATTCCTTTAATTTTTAAATTTGAATAGGTAGTTCCTGAGATTAGCGCGTCCGGACAAACAAACTTCATAATATTAATATAGATCAGACAAACAATTCTTAAATACTGTCTATAGTATAAGTTTATATATCGCGTTTTAAACCGTTAATGTGTTTTATTTGAACATACAATTCTTAATAACAGCTAATAGGCAAACAAACCAAAGTCGTATGCCTAGTATTGTAATTAAAAATCTCTACATGAACGCCCGTAGCTTGAACATAATATTCTGAACGTATTTTCAGTTAGGAATTTCACCTCGTATCTAAGCTTTGCAAGCACATCGACCTTGTAATTTTAATCTAAGCTTTTCTATGAGTTAAACAACAGAACAATTGTTAAGCGTCATTTACATGAAGTGAAATGCAACGTTTTTTAAAGTAAGTTTTTAAAAGTAAAGTAACTTGAAAAAATATTGCTCGAGTACATTAGATCGTGTATTAACAGAACGTCAAAACTAGACGATAAACGTTGTAACATATAGAACAACGGTAAATTATGAATATTAGAATATATAAGAAAAAATGACATTAAAACAGTCATTTAAAAACGCATTTTAAATCGTAGTTTTCAATCCATAAATTTCGTTAAACATGTTGGACTTCGTCTGGAAATCTGGATGTTAAATGAGTGGTGGGAATATCGAAGTTCCGTCCGGGTATCGAACCACCGTCCACAGATAAGAAAGCCGTGAAGCTTAATTCGGTTTCAGTCGGGGGATTTTTGAATATCCAAGATCTAAATATAGCTGGTGTTTTTTACCTACCAACAAGTGAATCTATGCTAGTTTATCATAAAAAAATACTGAAGTACTAGCAGAGAGTAATTACAAAACTTTTCCGAGAGACGATAGTAGGCGTCCTAGTAGCTTTCAGAGGCTGGAGGCTGTACGCATGCGCTGAAACCAGGAATTTACCTCTGAAATGGTCCTTTGTTTCACACCGCAAGTGGAGAGGTTGCCGTGTTGACGTCACTGCAATTTCAAATTCGGCGGGAAAGTAAGTACAAAGTAGATCCATAAGGTTTTGTCGAGATTTTTTCTTATTTGAAAATAAAAGTTAGGCAACCTATATAAACGTAAATAACTTATTTTTAATAGAGATAATCTATAATTCGTTCTTAATTTTAACTTCACGTTTTAATTTGTTTAATTTTAATTTTACATGTATTATTTACAGTCTGCAATTACCGCGAGTAATACACAATTCAATAAACTTTAAACGGTTTAAAACGGCATATTTGATGTAAGTGAATTATTATTAACCTAAAAATCGAAAATAAATTGAAAAAAATTTCGACTCGGGCAGGACTTGAACCGGCATCGTCAGCGTTCCGTGCTGTTGCTCTACCAATTGAGCTACCGAGTTATTATTAACCTGTTTCGCTTGTACGTATATTTCGCTTTTTAAGCCGTTTAATTCATTAAATCGGTTAAAGGCATGATTATGTTGTAACACCAAATTCATAATCTGCAAAATTATTCCTCTTTTTGTATTTAAAACTTTATGTTAGTAATACTGATAAATATAAAAATGGTATATATGCATATGACGTCAGTATTATATAATGTTGAACAGTGTACAACTAACGGAAATGAATGTCTATCGAAAGTAGTGTATATGAGAAGGGTAGGAAATAACTATATAGTAGATTTATGTTATAAAAGGTCTGCTACGCTTAGGCCAAAGAGATACTTCACGAGAGGGTATAACAAATGACATCCTTACGCCGCCATCTTGGTTTTCGAAGTTCCAATTACCGTTGGGATCAGATTTTGAATTAAGAAAAGAGCGCCATGTTGTCTAAATTTTATTATACGTGTATAATTTTGAATTTGGAACATTCAAAATGAAAATTTTGAATTTGGAACAGACACGTAGATCAAACTAACAATCGATCAATTGAAATAACCGGTGCAATGTCAGCCGACTAATAGCGCTCCCGCGGCCAACACCTTCCGGAGGGTCCCAATTGTCAGCGAACGCTCATAAATTCTTTCAACGGCTGACAGTTGGCCGGTTCACATGTATTCCTGTAGCCAGCGATGCCTGGAAGCACCACATTCGTGTCCAAGCATGTGGCGGGACAACACGCTTCTGTACAGTCCGCCTTTGCGCTTTTGACATTGGTCCAATCGTGAGTGTCTGACAATGTATCTGTGTGCTCGACTATAGTGTAGTGTGTGTGAAGGTTTATACGGTAGGTTGTGCGGGTAGTTGGATATTTGAGACGTTATCGCATCGTGTTTGGTAGTATTGTGGAATGTAACACGTAATTATTAAGGTAAGAAGCCTAACGTCGCTATTCTTGGGGGTAGAATTACCAATCGCAATAAACTAAGAAGAACATATGAATGAAAAATGCTGACTAACTAAATGACAGTACTGGTTAAGAGAAGTACGTTACTGTACTGTACAGTGTCCCGTTCGTGTCATATTTTTTCAAAGTGCAATGTGAAAATAACGTATATTCTTAAGCGATCCGTGCTTAGCGAAGATTTTAAATAAATCCATTTTGTTACTATCTGTTTAAATCTGACATCTAAATAGAGTTGGATACGTCGAGATTAAACGTAAGGACGAGATAGTTTGAATAATTGGATAAAGCCCGCATATCAATCATTGGATCAACTTCAGGATTACTATACCCCGCCTAATATAGAATGATGTGTTAGTGGCACTGTACTGTACATGCCTTTAAAGTATTTTTCATTAATATTTTGTAATGTACCACTTTGTAAGGTCCTCAAACGATCAACAATAAAATAAATAACAGACAATCGATGGTGGAATAAAATCAAACATTGAATATGCAAAGCCTAGGATATATATCTAAAGACTACAATAGGCCGACAGCGCATCTTGTTTAGATGTCATATGGCTGGCGTGTTTCACCTCCCATCAAATAAAGTATATTTAAAAACTTAATTTTATAAAAATTCGATGTTTTAAATAACCTCACAATTTATTAATTTGAATTTTGTTTTTGTACAAATATAACTATTCGATCCCCTACCTTTTGTCAATTGTCAAACTTACCCACCTTTATTTGGCAAGGTATAGCTGTTATTCTATTACGCTAATTGTATTCTTCAAGTCTACATATGAAAATAATTGACTAGGATATGGATGAAGGAAGACTCGATTTTTTTAAACCTAAGTTCAAACGTTTTTATAATTTAAATAAAAAAAATAAATTTGAACAACGCGGTAGCTCAATTGGTTATAGCAACAGCACGGAACGCGGTGAATGCCGGTTCAACTCCTGACTGTGTCGTAAAATTATTTCAATCTAAAATCGATTTTTAATTTTTATAGAATTATTTCGATATTAAATTAATAATTTGATTTAGAAGTAGACAAGAGGGATACGGAAGTAAGACGATAGCTAAATTGGTACGAGCAGCAGAACGGAACGCTGTAGAAGCCAGTTCAAGTCCCAAGTGTTGTCATTTTTTTCAATAGAAATAGATTGTTTATTAGAACAAAAGTATACAGTGAGTTAAAAAAAAACCAATCAACGTGCTGAGCTTTGCGCGCATTATCGTGAGTTCAAGTCCCGCTCGTGTCCATGTTTATAATCAAAATATTTTTTAAATTCATACAAGCTCTCATCTGCCTTAACATCTACAAATTATAACGAATGAAATAGTTAATTACTTTATGTCAAGTAAACTAATGTTAACTAAATTTAAGAGAACTTAGATACATAAGAAGTAAGCATGGTGAAAGAGATTTTAAATCAAATACTGTCTATAGTTTACGCGAGTAGTACACATTTAAATAAAACACTTAACGGTTTAAAACGCGATATATTAGTTAAACTTATTTGAAAATGATTTTTAACTTCGGCCCGACGTTTCGGATGCTTTGCAGCAGCAGGTCCTGCAAATAGGTTTAAATAATAATACTAATGCCTTTCAAATAAGTTTAACTAATATATCGCGTTTTAAACCGTTAAAGTGTTTTATTTAAATATGTCTGCTGTGGTCAAATGATCCCCATGCTCGAGACCTCTTTCATTAAAAAACTTAGTGTCCAAGTTTAAACTTTTAGTAAATGACTTTTTATTTGTTTGTGTCCTATGTAATAATATTGTTTAAGTTTTAGACAAAAAGAGAAATGTGTATAAACTATAGAACGAAAAACACGCGTTGAATGCTTAAATCTTTACCGTAGCCTTTTATCACAAAAACAATAACAGGATGGGCTTGAAGATTTTTCCAATTTTCCTTATCTACACGACAGGCAAAAGAGTTTTCATTGAGAATCGATATTTCTTCAACGCGTGATATCTAAAGCGGGGCCTACACTCGCGGCTTGAAGGCACTAATCACTTTTAACGGTTTAAAACGTATAAGTTAATTTGTTTATACGTTTACGTAAGAAGTGATTTATTTAATCGTGTACTGCTCGGCAATACTCTCGACTATGCGAAAGTGAGCGATAGGACTATCGGAATTCTGTCCCAGCCACAAACTTTGTCAACAGGTGGTCGTCGGGGCATCTTAAGTATCCATCGACTTAACCCTATGCTTCTCGGTCCCTTTGAGTAGTTAAAAAAACAAATAAAAATTACCTAATTGCGTGACAGAAAATAATGAGAAGTTCTACAACAGCACGAATGAATGTAAATACAAATCTGTATTTACATTCATTCGTGGACACTCTAGAATTTACAATCGCGGCTGCTAAACCAATATTTTGTTTCAGAACCAATTAACTAGTCCAAGTAGTTTACAATGTTAATACAGTTTCCTTGACTTACAATCTATTGGACGAAGATAGAAAAAGATTGAAGTGAATAGAAAAGCACGAGAGAAAAGAGTAAGAGATGGACACAAGAAACGATGGACACGGTGACGACATTGAACTTAGCGTTCAGGGAGCGAGCAAAGCCAGGTAATAAGCGAGTCAACTTTAATTAGCTTCTGGATGAGATGCTCTTCAAAGAAAACGTTTGAAGCACCCATACTAGAGATAAGCTTTGTACAACATCAGTATAAATAGGTCACGTCATTGTACATCCTAGGAGTGTAAGATCATCGTTTTTCCCACATTGTTCTATACTTCCCAAAACTGGATGTTGACGTTCTATGATATGTTCATGTCCTATGAAAGAAGTATAGGTAATTAAAGACAATAAAGAATTTAAAACAGTGTATTAAATTTAAAAAGAAATTTAATCATTTGAGTATTGCTGTCGGCGGGCTACCAGTATTCGACCAGCGGGCAGCGGTCTGTTTATCTTTGCTCCATACATATAATAACTTGCAGTGAGGCTGGTGACTTATTATTACATTCCATTGGTGACATCGATCGAAAGTGTCGGGCCGCATCAGTCCACATTATCTGCTCAACCGTTTCTCCCACTTCTCCAGGAGACTGAGTTATCTAGCTCTCACTGTGTCCCCTTCAAACCTTCCGGTTTCTTTGCCAAATCCAATCATTTCTTCCATCTATAATTCTTTGATATCATCTCCGTTGATATTGTCAGTTTCCCTATCTGTTTCCGTTAATATGAGTACATAGAGCATTCAGTGCAGTGATGATTGATTGATGATGATGATTTTTTCCGAATATCCAAAGCCATAATAGATCGACAGCGCATTTTGTTCTGATGCTATAGGCTGGGGTATTCACCTAGCACCAAGGGAGCCCATGTCTGTCTGTCCTACTCTATCATTAAAGAGAATGGATGCTTGTTTCCCAGAGAGTGTTTGCATTCAGGACGTAAACGGTCGGCTGGAGGTGGTATGGTTATATCTATAACAGGCACCAGGCTCTCACAACGTTATTAATTGTTAACAAGTTGTAAATATAATTGTTAGTTGTGAGTGCTGAATAAATTATTATTTGAAAACCTTAATATTCTTCACAAGTTATTGCACATGATGGCGCTATATTTTGCGCAAAAGGTGCATATATCAATATGTTGAAAAAACTCGACGATGACGTGTAGGACTCCGTAGCTCAATTGGTTACAGCAACAGCACGGAATGCTGTGGATGCCGGTTCAGGTGCTGCCCGAGTTGTATTTTTTTTCAATTTATAAACTGATTTTTTATTTAAATTATTTATATATAATTGCCCGACAGCAAGACTACCACGTCCATCATTACGGTTCACTTCTAAATTTTAACGCGCTTCTACCTTACAGCGACGCACCGAAGAAGTCAGATTTACCAGAAAGAGGATCATGGGCCAGCAAATTGGACTTCATCCTATCGGTTGTCGGCCTCGCCATAGGCTTGGGCAACGTGTGGAGATTTCCTTACCTATGCTACAAAAATGGGGGTGGCGCGTTTCTTATCCCATACTTCCTCACGCTGATCCTTGCTGGTATACCCATGTTCTTTATGGAGTTGGCTATGGGACAAATGCTTACGATCGGTGGCTTGGGAGTCTTCAAGATAGCGCCTATATTTAAAGGTTCGTCAAATTACTATCTATCTAATATTACTATCGGCCCGTGATTAAAACTAATTTAAAACAAGTTTAACTAATATGTAGCGCTCTGAACCGTTAAAGAGTTTTATTTAAAAGGTCATGTAGGACTAAAGTTTCCACAATAAAATTGAAAACAATAATTACAGTCCAAAAATTTTACAAGTACCTACGCTTAAATTTTCGGTCGTAAAATTAACAATCCAATTAAATTTAAGCTTTATTTTTCATCCTAATTGGGTCATAAGAATTAATACGAGAGTTGCACCATTAAATATGCCTTAATAATTTCCTACGAGCGATGTTTAACTCAACAAAGACTGCTATTAAAACATACTTACCTTACATAGGGCAATTCACCTTCATTCTCTTACCTTTGTCAAGCTTCTGACATTACGGTTGAAATTACTACGCTCTATCTTAGATTAAAATGATATTGAAATAAAACGCTTTAAAACATGATATATATTAAATACTGTCTATAGTTTACGCGAGTAGTACACATTTAAATGAAACACTTTAACGGTTTAAAACGCGATATATTAGTTAAACTTATTTGAAAATGATTTTTAACTTCGGCCCGTCTCCCCGTGACCACGGCTGCTGCAAAGCATCCGAAACGTCGGGCCGAAGTTAAAAATCATTTTCAAATAAGTTTAACTAATATATCGCGTTTTAAACCGTTAAAGTGTTTTATTTAAATGATATATATTAGTTAAACTTATTTGAAAATGATTTTTAACTTCGGCCGGACGTTTCGGATGCTTTGCAGCAGCCGTGGTCACGGGGAGGTGTTATAAAGTGTTTTATTTAAATGTGCACTACTCGCGTAAGCTATAGGCAGTATTTAAAATGATATTGATAAAATATTTGACGTTATTTCACGTTCAATGTTAGGAATGAATGAAAAATCGACCCATTGCAGGTTTAATTGCCAGAACTAAAATATGTCTAATATTAACTTAGATTTACATACATACATATGTATTAAACTTGATGGTATTATGCAATATCGAAGTCTCAAGATGTGGATTGCCGAATGTCTAAAAAAAAATAGGTCGACAACATATCTTGTTTAGAAATTATATGGTTACCTTTCATCAAGTGAACGTTTTTTACAAAAAAAAAATGCTTAATCGTTTAATGTAATATTCTATGAAGGATAAAAATAGGGAGTCGTCATAAATATTCAAAGACATAATAGGCCGACAGCGCATCTTCTTTTAATGCTATGTATCCCCCTATCAACTACCATGAAATTAACCCGATGTTCTCGTTTTTAGAGCAACTACTTGAAACACGATGTTAATGTTTTTTATAACTTTTGACGATAAATTTGAACTACTATAGAAGGAAATAATAATGTCAAACGTATATTTGAAAAGATTATCTACTGTTTCTTTCTTCTACATGTTAACTTTTAAAATTCTACTAGCTGTGTCAGCGACTTCGTCCGCATAGAATTTGTTTTCTGCAAAGCAATCTTCTTTATAACTCATGGATGTTACCCAGGACTTCGGTCGCTTCGTTCTTGCAAGATATAGTGTCGCGGTGATGTTTTTTAGATCATTTAAAGAGTCAATCTTTAATTTATTTTTTGGGTGTCTTGAACCATTTTTGCAGCGTAGCATCGGAAACTCACAGAAATGCACGATTTCCCCCGTTTTTATCCAGAATTCCCGCTGTTTCTTCGCTTCTATTAGTGACAGCGCGATTTAAAGATAATGCTATACCAAACACTAAAATAATTTTTCAATTCAAATTAGCGCGTTCAAACAAACAAACTCTTCAGCTTTATATATTTCTGTTTTTGTATAGACTATTCTCTTATTGGAAAAACTGTAATATTGGTGATTCTTTTCAGGAATCGGATACGCTGCTGCTGTTATGTCATGTTGGATGAATGTATACTACATCGTGATTCTGGCGTGGGCCATATTCTACTTCTTCATGTCAATGCGTTCAGGTAATGTGAAATTCCGTGAATCTATGGGGCATACGGCGAACACATTTCTGTGTTCGTTTCACTGATCGGATAGAGGCAAGTAGTTGATCAGACTTCTGTGCCCTGCCCTAGTAAAACATTGTATTGTTTCCCATTGGAATTCGAACCCGAGGCCTCTTTAAACCGTCATTTCAACCATTTCCTTTTAACTTTTCTTTAAACCATTTAGCTACAGGTAAAATAATATTTAATTGTATTAATGTAATTTAAAAAACATGTACTTTTTGTCTGTCTGTGATGATCTTCGAAAGCACTGTACGAGTCTTTCAATGGTATTAGAGAACATGTAAGGCTTCCTCTTAGTCCACGATATAATGTTCTAGGAAGCTTTAACCACTTTAATTCAACTACTGCAAGTTTGTCGAGTTTTTTCGCATGACAGTTATATAGAACATTACATTTAAAAATAATTACCAACATAATTCAATTGGTAGATCAGTAGCACTGAGTGCGTTAGTCTTAGGTTTGACGCCTGCCTGTGTATTTTAATTGCGATGATTTTTGAAGATGTGCCATGGCGTAACTGCGACAACTACTGGAATACGGAGACCTGTGTGAACCCCTACGACCGCAAAAACCTGACTTGCTGGTCATCCATGGACATGACTACCTATTGTACCTTGAACGGAAAGAATATTAGCAAAGCCATCCTTTCCGATCCAGTTAAGGAATTTTGGGAGTAAGTCAAAATTAGTTTTATCTATGAATATAAATAAAACGCACGTATGGTATATTTATAAAGCAATCACTACGATGTATTTAAATGTTCAACTTAAGTCAAACTACTTACAATGTAAGGAAGTTAACGTTTTAAAGCGCAACATTCTCTTCGTCAGACATTTCGGATGCAGCAGCAGTAACAATGGCTGCTAGAGAGACTCCGTAGACTTCGAAATAGATTTCGCGTTTTAAACCGTTAAAATCGTTTCATTTGTATGTGCACTCATGGAAACTATAAATAGTATTCAATATAAAGATGTCGTGACGTGGACCTCTTCCCGTCCCGTTTTGCTTCTCAGCAGCCTTTTGGAAGATGGTCTTCTCAGAGTACCATTATCATCCTTTCCTTTTGCCATCACGTGGATATCGTTCTGAAGCCTTTGTCTATTCATCTTTTAACATCATTTAGGATCTTGTGTTCCGTCAGGTGTCATCATAAACCAGTATTAATATTGTACTTGTGTAGCATTACTCCGGTCCTCAACAGATCACTTTATCATTTGTCTAGTGATAAAAGTCTTATTGATTATTAAATTTTCAGACGCCGAGCCCTTCAAATTTCAAGTGGAATAGAACACATTGGTAACATTCGCTGGGAGTTAGCCGGTACTCTTCTCCTAGTTTGGGTGCTTTGTTACTTCTGCATCTGGAAGGGAGTGCGCTGGACTGGAAAAGTTGTGTACTTCACTGCACTGTTTCCTTACTTCTTGCTTACAGTTCTCCTGATCAGAGGTAAGTGTAAATAATTAATCAACATATTTCCAATCAATTTATTCTTCTGAAACATGTTTGGCTCCGTCTGGAAACTTGGATATATAATAGATGGTAGCAATATAAGGATAAAATACCCCTGAAGTTTAATCGCGTTATAGTTTCAGTTTGCGGATTTCTAGAATATGGGTATTTCACCTTCTATTTAGTGAACTTCATCTTGTCTGTCCTCCTCTATCATACAAAAAAGTATTTTAAGTAGAAGGTAAAGAGGCATTCATGAGATGACATGACATTAAAACTATGTACATTTCAGGAATCACACTGCCTGGTGCTATGGAGGGTATCAAGTTTTACATTATGCCCAATATGTCGAAGCTCCTGGAATCCGAAGTCTGGATAGATGCTGTCACCCAGATCTTCTTTTCGTATGGTTTAGGATTGGGAACTCTCGTCGCTCTGGGAAGTTACAATAAGTTTACTAATAACGTTTATAAGTAAGTGTTTTCTATATATTGTTATTTGTTGTTGATGTATCTTTCGTACAAAGATAATGTCACGACTTAAATTAAGGAATAAACATTTTTTAAACTGTTATCCAATAACATTATAACAGAAAACCCGCTTTTCTGACATGGGATTTAAGTAATTCATTAAATATAATACCTTAACATATACATTTTTAAAAGACTTTTATAAATGTCTTGTTTACCATAGACAAGATAGTAATTATTTTAGTAAGAATCGTGTGTTTGGTAATCGAATTTGTTCTTCCGTAGAATTCGGTTCCGGTATATTTATTTGAATTTTTTTTTACAATAAATATATATAAATTTGGTTTAAGTTTGAGGTATATACTTCATCACTTTTTTGTCGAATTTAAGAGTGAACTCATCTGTTTCATCTTCCAGGGACGCACTAATAGTCTGTTCAGTAAATTCGAGTACATCAATGTTTGCTGGCTTCGTCATATTCTCTGTGGTAGGTTTCATGGCACATGAACAACAAAGACCCGTTGCTGAAGTAGCTGCATCAGGTAAAGTGACATATTATCTTATATTATAAAATTTCCAAACGATACGAAAGAACGAAACGAAACGAACGAAAGATATTTTCTTTTTCCAGGTCCTGGTTTAGCCTTCCTTGCATATCCATCAGCGGTTCTGCAACTCCCTGGAGCGCCTCTCTGGTCTTGTCTCTTCTTTTTCATGCTGCTCCTCATCGGTCTTGACAGCCAGTTCTGTACCATGGAAGGTTTTATTACTGCTGTGATCGACGAGTGGCCCAAGCTGCTAAGACGGAGGAAGGAGATTTTCATCGCTATAACTTGTGTTATTTCTTACCTGGTCGGGCTGTCTTGTATATCTGAGGTATTTTATTCACAACTACAGTTAATTTTGGACCTAAAACATTCTCTTTAATAATATTAAATTTGTATCTTCTAAAATAATTTTTACTAAAAATGTAGGACTCCAGAAATCTTTTCATTTTCATTCCATTTTCATATGTTATCATTATGTGTTTTATTCTCTTTCAACGAAAAAAGTCTACAAATGTAAATGTCTATATATTTCAGGGTGGTATGTACGTCTTTCAAATATTGGACTCTTATGCCGTATCTGGTTTCTGTCTTCTCTTCCTTATCTTCTTCGAATGTGTGTCCATCTCTTGGGCATTCGGCGTGAACCGTTTCTACGATGGCATCAAGGAGATGATTGGTTACTACCCTACCATCTGGTGGAAGTTTTGTTGGGTCGGCTTTACACCTGCTATTTGTATCGTAAGTATTTTACCTATATAGAAGTTAGTAGTATCTTTATGAGAGGTTGATAGAACCAAACTAAAACAAGCATTTGGTCAAGAAATTTATAAATAAATGAAATTGTTTGATACCATTATGACACATTTGTAACGGTTCTATTAATTTTGTTTTTGGTAGAGCGTGTTTATCTTCAACCTGGTGCAATGGACTCCAATCAAATATATGAACTACGAATATCCTTGGTGGTCGCACGCATTCGGCTGGTTCACAGCCCTGTCTTCGATGCTGTGCATCCCTGGCTATATGGTGTACTTGTGGCGGGTTACTCCCGGGACCCGAATGGAGGTACGTAGAGCTTTTGTCAATTCTTATAAGATCCCTATTAAGGTATCATTTTGAAAAGCTTGGCGGGTTTTCGTCGTATTATCTTGAGCTGTCATCTGTATCAAATAATGCTTGACAAATTTAAACGATTGTTGTCTCTTTCACACGCAAATGTTGGCGTGCGAAAATCTTTCTTTCAAGTGCCACCAGTAGAATCTAATAGTAACGACATTGAAGCGACCTAACGCATTACGGTTTGCAGAAATTCCACACGATCGTTCGCATTCCCGAGGACGTTCCAGCCCTTCGGACCAAGATGCAGGCCGAGGAACAAGCGAAGCACGGAAAAGCCTAAACGATCTCGTCGCAAGATTCGAACGTACTTTGACGCATAGCAACGTTAATAACGATGCCAAATATATAGAATATAATCATTTATTAATAATTTCGCTATTTATTTAGTTGTGTAATCAATGTGCCATAATGATTATTATTAAAAATGTTATTAGTCAATTACAAATGGAGTTATTCGTTTTGGGTGTTTCGCGACTCGTTCATGTATGTTTGTTGTGCGCTATATTTTCAAGTTAGCTTAAGTAAGATTAAGATAATTATGTAATTGTCTTCCAATTAGAATGCTTTAAGTGTTTCATATTTTACGCGTACTTTAGTCGTAGCGTTTCGCATAATCAATTTTATTACTATTTATAGATATATTCATTATTATATGTAGTTTTAATGTGATTAAAACAAATAGGTAATTTGATTCAATTAGCTTATATATACAAAGCGCTATGGGACGCGACGTGGCAAATTTATATATTCCCTACTAATATTCTTTAGGAGAAATTATATTAGATATTGTAAAGATCTAGAACTGTTTAAAATTATTTCTACTATCTCAACTGTAGTAGTCTACAATGATTTATTGATTTATATTACATTTCTTTATTATTAAGTGGTTATCAATATAGACATGGGCGTATCCAGTTTTGGTCGGGGGTTGGCCTCGGGAATCCAAAAAAGTGAATATCCGAAACTAACCTTAGTGAATTCCTAGTAAACCTTTACTAGGAATACTTTTCATATATTTTGACGGGTTTGTTGGTCAAGGGGTTGCAATGTATGGCTTATAATTAACAGGTGATGGGATGGATCCCCAGCCTGGTTAAAATTAGCCCCCAGCCGAAACCAGAGTACGCCTATATTAATAATAACATATCTTATTAGTATTTTGGTTCAGCTTTAATAGTTTAAGTTAAACTTAAGTTTTTTAAGTTAGTTACAATAAATGCATTTATAATAATGATACGTAAAGATTTGTGTTCTAACGAGACCAATGCACACATTTACGTTTCTTAATCGATTATATACTGTAGAATTTAAAATTGTACACGCCGGCCTAGATAAAGAGATCCTTATAACAATGATTATTTTTAGAATCTTGTAACACGATCGTGACTTACGAATAAATATTCAAATCAAAAATTTACCTTGATACAAAATCTTTACATTTTATAAACTGTTTTTAATCTTATCTGGAAGTTAAGTGTGGATTTCAAAAAAACTAGTGTTTTCTACTGACTAAAGGTAACATATGAAGTGATTATACATTTAATGTCAATTTTCATAAAATTAGTGAACATTCGTAGATTATTCTTATGGCGTTTTAAAATCGTGTAATTTTAATGTTTTTGTGTAATCTTTATGTAATCAAAAATCGTTGTAAGAACAAAATATATGTCTGTAGTTACCATTATCAATTACCAATATTATAATTATTATCAAAAGTTATAAAATTACATAAAATCAAGTTTAATACAGATATACATTTAATATAGTTAAATATACAAAATCATATAACTGAATTAAATGTAAAATTAATTTAATACTATTAAAAACAACGTTTTGTCAAAAATATTTACAAATATAATCCATGCGTTTGATCTTATTTATAATCCACAAATCTTATATGGGAATAAAAACGAATGTTTATCTAGACGTAAAGAGCAATTATTTAATTAAATGTTTTAAAAATTACAAAATGTCGTTTTATTTACATTTTATATTATATTTTTATTTCGTTATGAAAATATACTCTGTATTATTAGTAGAACTCATTGCGTTAAGCGCTAGGTTTGATTCCTGCGGTAACTAAATCGGCCTGGTCGGGTACAAAGCTATTCAGACACAAATATAAAACTGATAAGAGATTTAGACAGTTTTATGCCATATATACCTATACCAAGGAAAGCGGGGTTTTATTTTAACGGTTTGAAACGCGATATATTAGTAGCAACTAATATATCGCGTTTTAAACCGTTAAAGTGTTTTATTTAAAAGATAGGAATTTAAAGATTTTTAAAATAAAGACAATCACCAAGCCTTTAATATTTCCCACTGCTGGGGTTCAAGTTACCTTTGACGTACGTAGTCTTAAAAATTAATCGGCCAATTGGACAGGGGTCACCGGCCTTGCTTTGGCATATTTTAATGTGTTATTGCACATGGTGGCACCGTACTATAGTAAAAAATATACGACGTGGACAGGACTTGAACTGGCATCCACAATGGTTCGTGCTTTAACCAATTGCGCGAAATGTGCATGTATCTACATGTTGAAAATTCGACGATGCCCTATAGGACTCGATAGCTCATTTGGTAAGAATAACAGCACGTAACGTTGTGAATGCCTGTTCAAGTATGACCCGTGACGTAAGATTTTTTCGATCTACAATCGATTGATTTAAAAATAACCTTTAATTCAAGACTATCTGTAGTTTACGTGAGTAGTACACATTTAAATAAAACACTTTGACGGTTAATTTTAATTAAACGTGACCAGAGCTTCCGCAAAGCATCCGAAACGTCGGGCCGTAGTTGAAATAATTTTCAAACAAGTTTAACTAAAATATAAAGCGATTAAAACCGTTAAAGTTTGATTTTTGTATTTTTGTCGTATAAGGCTTGTAGTTTTATGAAATCTGGTTATATAACTCATAAAGCAAGAAGCGAAATATTTTTTTGTGTTATCAATGAATACACAGTAGCACATTAGATAATAAGCGAACATAAGGCCCTATCCATAGTGACTACGACGATTAAATTTATGCAAATTCGGTCGATTAGGGCACAGATGACTCATCGACAAAAGGCGAATAGTAATTTAAGAAATTATATTACTTGCGTTTAAATAAAGCATCTTTAACGTTCGTTAATTTTTTAACATGTTTGCAGAAACCGCTGATCACCACTGTTAAGTAATATATTTCGCATTTAAATCGTTAATAATATTTATATTGATGTGTTTTATAGCTTACAGACAACAGACTGTTCACAGTACAGACAATAGTATCAGTATTAGATTAGATATCACTACTATATTATTGCAAGCCTTTCTATAAGTAATACCTATAAAGTGACCATGGCTATAGCAAAGCATACGAATCGTTAAGTTGTTAACTAATATAATTCGCACTATAAAACGTCAAAGACGTTTTATTAAGAATCAATTATTACATACGTGCCATAACCGTGCCTCCGTTTAACTAATCTTATTATATACGTTTACTTTTTAATAAAAATTAACAGAATATAATTGGGGTTTTGAGCCGTTAAAATACGTATTTAAACATATTCTCGTTTGTACTGCAGTTAAATAAATTACAAGACTGCAGACAACTTGCACAAACAATATTGAGTTGCTCATGGGCAGATCTTAATTGCATTGATAGGGATCTTAAATTTTAAAGATGACGGCATGACATACTTTTAAATGAAAGCCGTCATGGTGGCCGTAACACGTCCTATGAGTCATGTAAGCAGAATGACAGAATTGTGGGAGGCCTATGTCCAGCTCTGGACGTCCAACAATTGAGAATAAGATACTGGTGTGGACGTTACGTCGTTATACAAATTTGTATATTGATTTATTTGCAAAGTTACACAAATACAGTGACGGGATCGTTGGTGCAATCGATTACGAAATGATTGGGCATCGACTCCACGGGTCGTGGGTTCGATGCCCAATCATTATGTAATGGTTTTAAAATATGTTGAACTTCGTCTAGATATTAAATACGTGGTAGGGATATCGAAATTCGGTCCGAGTCACGAACTTTCACAGATGGAAGTTTAATCGCGTTTCGGTTGCAGTCTGTAGATTTCCGAATATCCAAAGCCAAAATAGGTCGATAGCACATCTTGTTTATATATGTTATATGGCTGGGCTATACCATCCACCCTATGCTCATCCATGTATATCACAAAGTACCAAAAAGACCATTATGAAACAACCTTTACACCGTGCTGTAGAAATTATCACGTTTCGTTTTTATTTTAGCGCCTTCAAGTAAATCTTTAAGCTAACAACTTTAAGTAGCGGTGATGTAACCCGAAGATTATGTAGTTTGCCTTGGTGGCTCGCAAAATTAACGTGTCCATAACATTACTTGAACAATGGCCGTTGAGGTAGAAATCGATACTTTACCGACTGAAATGTAAGGCTTTTAAACTGGATTCGAGCGTCGTCGCTACATGGCCGTGAGAGCCTTTAACAATAAACTAGCAGCTTTGCCCGCGACTTAGTCCGCGTGGAATAGTTATATGGGCGTCCAAATTTGTTTATGCAAATCTTCGGCGTCGGACGTCGGCCGCGTCCGTTAGTTCTTGTCGTGGACATTTTGTTTAGATTCTTTTAAGAGGAACAATTCTTTCATTAATATTTTTTGAGTATCTTGAGCTGTTATCGCAGCGTACGACGGAAACTCACAGAGGTGAATAATTTTCCCCGTTTTTCCACATTTCCCGCTGTTTATTCGCTCCTATTATTCACATGTGTTATAGCGTATAGCCTTCCTCGATAAATGCTCTAAACACAATAATATATTTTTAGTTCGCACCATTCGTTCCTGAGATTAACGCAAACAAACAAACTCTTCAGCTTTATAAATTAATATAGATAGCTGTCAAATTTAAATGAAGCTCTGAGATAAAATTTTGTTAACGGATCACGGCTTCTGCAAATAACAAACTTTGGGATAGTATCTAATCATACAACAAAGTTTAATTGAGGTACTCGTGTATAGTAACGGTTATAAGACGCCGTTGATTTAAATAGTTTTAGCAAAATATTGTTTGTAACTCACTTAACGGTTTAAAACTTGTAAGAATAAAGTACCCTAATGTCGTAGCTGGTTTTGTCATTACGGACACATTCCATCTTCAGTCCCCCCATGACCACGACTGCAAAGGATTTGAAACGTCGGGTAGCACTTAAAATAAATTGTAAACAAGTAAATAGGCGATGGTGTTTTATTTTAGCTACGCCATTATAGCATGATATAGCGCACATTCCACGTTAATAGGAGACGAAAGCCTAACTTTGGCAATATTACGTGGGCTACACTGGCGATCTAATATCTTCGCCCACACGATAGTAAAATAAATTACATAATAAGAATGCTGTAAATCCATCAGATCACGTCAAAATCTGGCCTTGAACGCGAGGTTTAATGGAAACTCATCGTGAATTAAAATGGTCGTAAATATGACATGGCCGTACTGTGCATATTAATGAACTGTGCCCTTCCGTTTCGTGGCCTTTTAACTGTAAGGTTCACATTACGTCCAAGAATGAACGTTTTGTTTCGCCTTGCACATATCGTTTTCTCTATTTTTCCTAAAGTTTAGGTTGCTGAAAGAGATTGCTTGCTACCGATAAGGCACTCCATTCTAGCATATAAATTTTATCTGTATTATTATTATCTTATATCTCACGTGGCCACGGCTGCTGCAACGCTGAAGGCTTCGTCGTCGTCGTCGTCGGGTCGTAGTTAAAATAATTTTCATATAAGTTTAACTAATATAAATCGCGTTTGAAAACGTTAAAGTGTTTTATTTAAATGTGTACTATTTGCCTAAACTACAATATTTATAACTACTGATTAAAATATGACTATGCAAAATTCATCGCTAACAGAAAACACACTCACATCTGCCAAATAATTAGTCTTTATTAATTAAGTACTCGTATTTGTCTAAAAAATTAAGAACTTCTTTGAAAAAAAACTATCAAGTGAATTCCCGTATCCCCGTGATCTGATGGGGCATGGGGCGAACATATGTTTAACTACGTTTCACTGTTCGATTTTATAGGTGACGAAAATATGTGTACTAGTTTACTTAATTTTAACCACGACCCGACATTTCGAGCATAGAAGACCTAGACCATATTGGCTGCAGAGCCTCCAAAACGTCAGATCTTTTTTAAATATAAGGTAACAATAATATTTCTCGTTTTAAACCATTATCCATTTAAACACTCTGAACGCAGGACCTTAACGCAATATCAGGCAACACTTTTAACCAATAATGGTTAAAAGTGTTGCCTGATATTGCGTTAGCGTGAGATAACTCATAAAGATGGTTAAGTCAACTTGTTATTTCTAGCGAGTCCAATAAAAAATTAATTCTTTGAGTTATTCAAAACCAAAATAGGGGACAGTACATCCTGTTTAGATGTTATACGACTGGGTCTGGGACTATTTTACCTTTCATTAAGTGACATCCATGTTTGTGTTCTCCCCTCTATCGTTAAAAATTTGGTCTCTATAAGACGTAGGAGAGTTTGTCGGTCTTTGACGCGTTTATCGGTGTTATAGTAGAAATATATGGCTAATAATCGACAGGTCGTGTGTTCCGTACCCAATGGATCCAACGTGTTTCTAAGTAATGATAAAATAAAATATACTTGATAATTTTAAAAATTATTTAGATTTGTCAAATAAAATTTAAAAATGTTTGTCTGTCTGCTCGTCGCGATTCTACAGAGCGTTCAATAGAGCAACATAACTGAGAAGAACACCCATGAATGAGTTTCTTGGGTGTTCTTCTCACGTCCGGCTTTTTGCAACATATCTTATAAACTAATACGTTGTTGTGAATTTATTAATCTAAGGAGCGATTACATATTACTGCCATATGTTTGTGAAACACGTTGGTCTTCATCTTGAAATCTGGACATTAGATGGGTGGTGGGAATATCGAAATTCCGTCCATTAACCGCAGTCCACAGATAATGCCGTGAGGTATAATTGTGTTTTGATTACAATCTGTGGATTTCCGAATATCCGAAGTCAAAATAGGTCGACGGCGCACCTTGTCGAGATGCCATATGGCTAGAGTATTTCACCATCAACCCTGTGCTTGTCTGTCCCATAAAAAACTCTGTATAAATTGCTTTATTAATAGAGAAAGCATAAACAAAGCGACCATTAACTAAATTTTCAAATAGACTAGAAATACGGAGAGAATGTAGTGATAAGGTCTATTAAGGAAGTCTTATCTCTTCGACCTTGAGGTCACAGTACAAGCGGAGACCAAGACCTCTCCAGACAGAAATAAACAAATACACATTCCTCGCAATTCCATGAATCGTATCTGATCTTATCTTTCTTGTACCATCGTACTAAGCGAGTATGTTTGTTTGTAAATTATAATCTCATGAACCACATTTATATGTAGACGCAAATTCTCTCTGTTTAAATAAAACACTTTTATCGTTTTAAAACATAAAACGTATTAGCTTAACTTATTTACAAATTATTCTAACTTCGGATGCAGTAGCCGTGGTCACGGAGACCCAAAGATGAAGGGCGTCTAATGTCAAAGTTAAGTTCTCTTTGTTTGGTAAACGTCAAGAGATACTATATTTTAATAACAATTTCGTCAGTGGGGCATGCGGCGAACATATTTATATGTCTGTTGCACCGATCACCGGTTCATTTAATGTTACATGCAAGTTGATCAGACTTTTGTACCCCGCTCGTCCGAAACAACCTTTTTTCCAGGATTCGAACCCTGGACTTCTCACGCTTAATATTAGGCAACACATTTAACCATTAGCGTAATTATACATAGGCCTAATTATAAAGTTATTAAAAATTACTCTTAAACTAGCTTAACGTATATTTGAAGTAAGTTATAATTTATACCTGTGTATTTAAGTAAAACATCAATATATAACCAATAGATAATAAAATCGCGTTTTAAACCGTTTAAGTGTTTTATTTAAATGTGTACTACTCGCGTAAACTATAGACAGTATTTATATACGTGTATACAAAAAATAATTTAACAATTTTATATAAGATCAAAATTTTTAATTATAAACACAACAAAGGGCCGGGAATTTTAATTAAAAATCTCTAGATACAAATTAATGTCCTGTCTCGCTTGTCTTACATTCTTCATTATTCTGTTGGAGGGAGAGTGTAGATTAAAGAATTAAACAGATGCGACATAAAAGTTACGGACGCTACCAAATGGTACTGCTGTACCTACTGTCGAGTAAAAGTTCTTAATATTAAGAATTCTTAGAATCATAATAAGTATATAATTAGTTAATTATGTAAGGCTTTCACGGTCATCGTTCAGCATATCTTTCGGGCTTAATTCCTCGAGCAATCGAGGAGGAACATCTCCTGATGATGCCGTCCGCACGTGATGGCGAAACGTCGAGAATTCTCTAGTCGCTCGCGTCGGCCGAACAGCCCGGAAGACAATGATATGAAGTATATAATTGTAAAAGAAAAACACTTTTAACAGTTTAAAACGCGAAAAATAACTTTACTTATGTTTAATTTAACAACGGCCCGACGTTTCGTATCCTTTGCAGCACCCGGGGGTCACGCGGGTATAAAAAATACGTTAACTAATATAACTCGTGTATTAAACCGTTATAAGTGTTTTATTCAAATGTCTACTAATCGCAACTATAGCCAATAATTAAGCATATGTATGATAACTATTCAGGTATTTACATTTTTGCTTTTTCATTTACACATTTCCCCCATATGGGACATGGGGCGGTCACATTTGTTTGTCCAATCCACTGGCTGATTTTATCATTTACAGGCAAGTACCTGTAGACTTCTATGCCCCGCTGGATCTAATCAATTGATTGCGATTCCGGAATTCGAATTCAAGCCCTCTTGTACTTCACGCAATGCTAGGCGATACTTTTAACAATTAAGCTGCATAAGCAGTACATTACAACATATATTTACACATATAAAAGTAATATATTTTTCGTTTTAAACCGTTAATTGTACAATTAAATTTAATATTCACGTTTATTTGCACCAAGACCTGACAAATGAAATTGATGTCAATTGATTGACAGTCTGCTATTAAGTATTATATTTTATAATCTTTGCCTTAAGAGGCTGACAGAGACGGCTGCATTGAAGCAAGACCGAAATAGATCGCGTTGTGTACGCAGCCGGCGCAGACTCCTGCGCATCGCGAAGGATTTATGGATTTCTTTCGATTTAAAATATCAATTAACGCGATTTTTTTATCTCTTTCACACATAAGAAGACGCACTGTGATGGAGAGATAAACTTTTGTGTTCTGTGATAAATTGTTTGTTTATATTGGTGATAATGTGGAGATATCTAGTTATAGTGCAAGTAATTGCATTTTACACTTGTGCAGTTAGCGGTAAGTTCAAAGCTCAGTTTAGATATTTTACTAATAGAACCGTTATTTTTTGTTTGAATTGTCATTTTAATATTCAGTGTATTTTATTGTTGAATAATATAGACCCCACAATATATTTTTCAATGCACTAAGTTGAAAATCATTCGCGACATTTCCCTTCGTGTAATTCGCCTAAAAATTATTTCTGAGACATAAGCAACACATTTTCATTATAATTTTGAAATAATATTAAAGAGGGAATATCTATATTGTTAACAATTATAAATTAAAATAAAAAATATTTACAAAAATGTAAATTTATGTTTTAATGCACGAGCGATAGTAACTTTAAAACTTTTAATTAAGCTATGTAGTACACAACAGGATTGAATGTATTACAGTGTGTTAAATATAAAAGTAGGTCAATCGTTTCTGAATAAAATCTGTACCAAGTTTGATCAGCCTTCAATGAAGCTGTTTTATCCTTGTAGTGGACATTTTAATAAATACAGTTTCATTTCTTTTTATAAACATTTAAAAAGAGTTTATCTAATAAACCTAAAATCGTTTGTACGGTACAAAATAAATAAAAAGCAAACGTCAAAAAGGTACGATCTGAAAATGTGTACGATACCTATAATAAATAAAACACTTTTTAATTAATTTCGCGGTTTACGTCGTTTCGATGTTAATGGCCTTCCTCGATGAATATTTTAAACAACACAATAATTTTTAAATTCGAACCCGTAGTTCCTAAGGTTAGCGCGTCCAAACAAACACACACACTCTTCAGCTTTATATATTGGGCAAATAAGGGCTTCGTTCATTAAGTAACATTAAAACACTAATACAGATCTTTGTATTCGCTACTTGTTGCATCGTTAAATTCAATTAGGTTTTATTTTTAAACGTTTTTTATCTATCTGTGCCTTTATAATTTTTTGTAAAGTCATTTTAGTTCTAATTCTACGAAATTATAAAGCTATTGACATTTCCTTTAGATGAAGTCGCGATCGACAAATTATTAAAAAAAAAACATAATTTACACAAATCTATGATATAAACAAACACTTAACTAAACAAGATGCGCTGTCGATCTATTTTGGGATTGGATATTCGGAAATCCACAGACTGAAACCGAAACGCGATTAGGTTTTTTGGGTTTTTTCATGATTCGTGACTAGGTATTTCTATATTCCTACCAACCATTTAATATCCAGATTTCCAGACGAAGTCCAACATGTTTCGAATCCACGACCCGTTGATCATTAACCGTACATAGCATTAGACCAACAAACCCGTCGAAGTTCATTGTCAATCATATTGTCAATTAAATATCGTCTATAGTTTACGCGAGTAGTACACATCTAAATAAAACACTTTAACGGTTTAAACGCGATATATAAGTTAAACTTATTTGATAATGATATTTAACTTCGACCCGACGTATCGGACGCTTTGCAGTAGCCGTGGTCACGGGGAGTTTCAAATGTTTGTTATTATTTCTAATTGTCTCTGTAAAAAGTATTATGACATCCAAATTTTACAGGTTTAGGTTCATTGTCGCAACAATTGACCGATACGACACAGCTCTGTTGTAACCAAGGAACGACGTACGCGAGGAACCACACTTCAGATGACTGCTCCTCGTCCATTCCACCAGATGTACCATCGGCGTTTGGAACATTATGCATTTTTGCCATGGACCAATGCTGTAAAGAATATTTTCAGTAAGTTTGAAGACTTTTTAGTAAAAGGCTAGAACAATGGCCAAATCGCACGTTAATCTCTCAACTACGGGTTCGAATTGAAAAATACATTTTGTGTCGGTTAGAGCATTTATCGAGGAAGGCTGTAGTTGTGTTCAAGATACACAAAAAATATGTATGAAAGAATGATTCCTCTTTTAATGATCTAAAAAAAAGTCCACGACGCTATATGTCTACCTCTTAAGATTAATTAGCAAGAACGACGGGAAGAGACGCGACCGGCGTTGTGATGCCTAAAATAACGATTCTCGCGGACGAAGTCGCTGACACAGCTAGTTTGTTATATATGTATATCAAAAAATCCGATATATATTTTTTTTAAGAAATAGTATAATGATAACTAAAAAATATAATAAAGCCAAGAAAAAAATATATGTTTTTTATCCAAATATGGTTTTTTTTTAATCTGTTAGTTCAGAAAGTATCGTTAGATTTCGCGTTATATTTTGTTAGTGGACGCGAAAAATTATAGACAGGACCAGTATCTATACAACTTTGGCCATTGTTCTTTATAATCAAGATTTTCTTATACAACAATTTTAATCAGTTTCCACCATGAATAAATTTAGTTAATTTATATTTAAATAGGTACGACCAGTGTCTCGTGTTACGTTCTATCGTGCAAGCACCTATAGTTACGTCATTAGCGGGTTTAAAACCGTAAAAAAAATTTTAATGTGTATTACTTAAAGCGACGAAATTTTAAACTAAATATAATCAAGCATTGAACTAATAAACAAAATGAAGCAATTTTGACAGTTTAAAACGCGAAAATTCAAAGTATAAGAAAGAGAATTTGACATAACTTATATATTTCGCGATTTAAGCCGTTAAGTATTGATTTGTAAAATTGTAAATCAATTGCTATTTATTTGTAAGATTTAAAAATATAATTCCCAGTAACAAAGTACTTAATGACCCAAATTGCGAGTTTATAAACACTTGCACATGATTCGGGCAATTTGATTTATTTGTATTAGGATAGTGTTATGCAAGAATGATCTCTATAGCTTACAATTTAAGTTTGATACTTCACATTAAGTTAAAACTAAATCCTTGGGAGTTATAAGGAAAAGCTTAGTGGGTCAAGAGCACGTACAAAGTTATAAATAGGAATTGACTCAATTATATCAGTAGTTGTAATGTTTCAGGAAGAAGAGGGATTGTGAAAAGGGAGTTGATATAGCGAAGAGTCATAACTACTCGTGTTCGTCAGCATCGGATTCTTCTAAGGTAACATGTTGTATTATTATTGTAAAGCTAGTCCGCTAGCTAACAACTTTTATTGTTTGTAAACTAGCCGTGTTAGCGACTAGTGTATGCGAGGGCGTTCTATAGTTATTTTCCCCATTAAAATTTGGATTTCCTTCTCATCTCTATAAATTATTGGTGTTTATCACGATTTCGTTTTTGCAACTTAATCTTAAAAGATAGACATTTAGTGTCGTGGAATTTTTTTTTAGATTATTTAAAAAGTAATCATTTTTTATTACACACTTTCGGTTGTCTCGAAGCGAAATCCGCAAATATGAATCATTTTCCCAGTCTATTCCACATTGCACGCTGCTTTTTCACCCCTATTAGTGAAACAGTGGAAAATGTGGAATAAAACAGGAAAAAATATTCTTGCGGGTTTCCGTCGCGTGCGCTGCGAAAACGGTTCAATATACCCAAAAAATATGTATCAAAGAATGATTCCTTATTAAAAGATCTAAAAAAATGTCTACCACAGTATATGTCTATGTTTAAAGAATAACCTGCAAAAATACGGGACGCGGACCAAGTGGCGGCCACAGCTAGTGATTTTATATGTTGCCAATATAAAACATAATAAAATAAATTTAAGGATGAGGTAACAAAAACGCAGCGTTTTCCTGTTTCCTTGATATCAATAAATAAAATTGTAGTCTTGAAATATTAACATGTACATCATACTCTTACACTTTATTAGCTTAAATTATATATTTAGCTTAATAGTGTGCTAATATTATTAATTGACACTTAAGCTAAGTTCTCATGTGCTCATGTGTTTATCCAAACACTGGGTAAGTGGGTAATTGGGTATCCTTGTTATCTTAAGATATAAAATTGGGAGATAACATATTTTTGTAGAGAGAAAATTGTACCTTTCGTGTAACGAAGGTACACTAATTTAGTAATACTTTTATAAATGAAATACCTAAAATAGTGTGTAAAATCCCGTTTCCCCCTCGTGGGGCATGGGACAAACAAATTTCTGTGTCCGTTTCACTGATCCGTTCTTTAAAAGGCAAGTAGGTATCAGACTTCTGTCCCCTGCCTGACTGAAACAATTTTTTGTTTCCCTGGGATTCGAAGCTAGGACCTCTCGCGACAAATTTTATATTAAAATGTAGTATAAGGTTTTACTATCTTCTATTACATTTTATCGTATTTGTAGTCTATATTCCAATTTAAACAGTAGTTTTAGCAAGATTAACTTGCATTATATCATCCAGAACTACCTATGTATGAAGTCTTTATGACAAGTTTATCTTTACATGTCTATTATCTTTCTAACGTATCTCTAGCCAAGACTACTTCTCAAACACCTGTTTTAATGTTGCATAACATCATCCAGAATTGCTGCGAACAATGTGCTGCGGGCGCGTCGGTCGGCAGTGCGCATGCATGCTACGTAGCTGTCGACGGCAAAAGTGCCGAGCAGTTATTAGCTACGGACGCGTTTTCGGAGTGTTGTAAGGTATGTTTATGATTTACAAACAAACACTGGAGTTTACTCGAGGACTGATGCAAGTTTTAAGATGCCAATATAAAAGTATATGTTTAGTTTGTAGATACGTTGTTTCAGTCACTTACCCCCAGGGGGCACTGAAAACTAAGGCCGTTGCTGTCTCCCATTTTCAAATACAATACAAATTTCTTTACTGTTTTTTTTTCAATCGAAACCTAGTACTAGAAAAAAACTGAAAAGATCTTTAAAACTAATTACTTTAATTAGTACTTTAATTAGAAAAATGATAACCCTTGTCTTTATATTATAAAGATACTAAAAAAAATTACATAGATAGTAGTATCCAATTCTCGTTTTGTATGTTTATTTTTTAAACATAACTAGATGAAATACTGTCTATAGTTTACGCGAGTAGTATACATTTAAATAAAACACTTTAACGGTTTAAAACGCAATATATTAGTTAAACTTATTTGAAAATGATTTTTAACTTCGGCCCGACGTTTCGGATGCTTTGCAGCAGCCGTGGTCACGTGGTCACGGGGATAAAAATCATTTTCAAATAAGTTTAACTAATATATCGCGTTTTAAACCGTTAAAGTGTTTTATTTAAATAACTAGATGATTTGATCGTTGCATTGTAGCTCAAGCAGGCGATGAAGCTAAAGACACTGTCGTTCATACTTTTGGACAAAGAAATGTGAAAATTAATAAAAACGTCTAAAGTTGAGAATCGTCAGCGCATCGTGTTTAGATGTTATACGGCTCTATTGCAGGTGGTATTTCACCTACGATTAAGTGAATCCCACGCATGTATCTCCTTCTCCATCATAAGAAAGTATGTTTCTTTTAGGAGGAAGCTGAAAAGAAAAAAGATAAGCGACCAACGCAGCCACCTGTATCAGTTTTCAAGAAAGACGAGGGTAAGTACTTTTATCGTAATCAGCTCGTCAACAACATTTAGTTTTCAGAAGTAATCTTTGACGCCCTACTTCTTCTTTTTTGCCCTATTTCAGTTTGTAAAAAGCGCGTTAAGAATGTATACATTTAGTAAAAATAATTTAACGGCTTAACGAAAAAATATAATTATCCCGACGTTTCTGGTTGCAACAGCGGTCGTCACGCGGTGAGTAGAGATGGAGAGACGCTAGCAAACAATAATTTATATCAAAATTATTGTTTGTCGTTTCTTTCAAAAAGAAAAAGAAAGGAAGCAAGAAAGAAAGGACTTACCAAATTTGGTCAATTTAGTTTGATTTTGATTATAGTAATTTTATAAAAATATATAGAATATATTATATATTTTTGTATTCTTCACAGAAGTATATTCAGTGTGCGAGGAATATGCTCCCAATGAATTGTGTGCTCACCACTGCATACCTATTCCCGGTTCTTACAAGTGCGAATGTAATCCCGGATTCATGCTCATGTCTGACGGGAGAAATTGTAAAGAGGTAAGTCAATAATTCTAATTACCATAAAAAACATTTTCGCGAGTTAATCTTAAAAGATATACACATATAAGTACTGCCGTGTTTTTGTTTTTAGATCACAAGAATAGTAGTAGTAGAATCATCCTTCACATATTTCCTGATGTCCTGAATCGTTTTCGAAGCTCACGCTACCAAAAAGTCACAATGATGTTTTTTTTCCCCCTTTTTTTTGCACACACTTCCCTGTTTCTTTGCTCCTATTGAATTTAATAGCCTCGATACATAGGCCATAAAGAATAATTCAATTCAAACCAGTAGTTTCTGAGATTAGCAAGTTTAAAGAAACAAACCTTTAAAATATTAGTTAAGATTTATTTAGTGTATTTATTATGTATCAAGACAACAGTATCACTACAGGCAGTAAAAGTAGTGCACATTTTAGATTAAATTAAATCAATAAAAAATAAAACAATATAAATCTTGAAATTTTACCTAACTTTTTATTTTTTATTTAAGTGAAAAATTTTTAAAAATTTTCACATGGATTTGCACATGACGCCACTATATAATTTAAAAACAATTATAAATTGAAAAAAAGTACAACACGGATAGGACTTGACACGGTAGCTCAAATGGTTAGAGTAACAACACGGAACGATGCCGGTTCAAGTCGATTTAAAAAAATATCTAAAATTCATACTTGCAGCTTGAACTTAAAATTTACATAGTATGTAAGCGACTAGCGAAAGGTAAAAGATATGGTTTTTATGTTAACATTGCAGGTGACAAAAAACAGGTGTAAGCCACATAACCCTTGCCAGCATAAATGCAATGACAACGGAGTTCAAGTCAAGTGCTCCTGCAGACGTGGGTACCGGCTGTTGGACGACGGGAAATCTTGTGAAGGTAGATAAACTTATTGGATATATACAAGATCTAGTATTGTCTATAGTTTATGCTAGTAGTGCACATTCCAACGAAATAGTTTAAAACGCGAAATATATTTCAATGGAAATAATGGCAACAATGGTAAATGAGAGGATTCTATAGGAACTTAGCAAGTTTCGCCAAATACCAACTACGACAAAAGAGATGGCGCTAGCGTAGCAAATATGACTTTGACTTTAGAAACACCCTCCTTTAGCCCCTTCGTCGGGCTATACTTAAATAATTTTAGTTTAAGTAATATACTACGCGTTTAAAATCGTTAAAGTGCGTTATTTGTTTCTGTACTATTCGCGAAAACTACAGACAGTATTTGGGTAACTTGCCAGTAAATAAAGTCGATGATGGCCACGCAAAGATGTGTTGGCGGCATGTGTAACACTGGGATATGGGATTCGAAACTTGTTAACTGGGCACGCAATGTTTTTAATTTCTTTTTCTTGTTCACAGATATTGACGAGTGCTTGCTGGATCCACCAGTGTGTTTACCAAACACGCAATGCCACAATATTTTGGGCTCCTACAAATGTATACCAACCAAGCACCCAAAATCCCACGACGTGGGAAAGTGTCCACCGGGTTTTTCCAGAAATTTCGCGAATAACGCTTGTGATGGTATGATAAATCGAAAATCATTTATTAATAATCATCGGCGTATGGGTTCAATTCCCAATCTCTTTTTAATACGAGAATAATATTTTTCTAATCTATTCATATTTTTTCTGAACATGTTGGAAATCTGGATACTGAATGGTTGGAAAGAGTATCGAAATACCGTCCGGACTACGAACCATAAATGAAAAAGCCGTGAAGTTTAATAGTGTTTCAGTTTCAGTCTGTGGACTAAATATACAAAGTCAAAATAGGTCAACAGCGCATTTTGCTTATATGTTATATGGTTAGGATATATCCTACCATCGAGCGAATCCAATGCTTGTCTTTCTCCATGTTAAAAAAATCCTTATCCAAAATTATATATTCCACTTTTAACGTCTCTGCTAATCTATTTAAATAAACTTTTTATTTCCAGATATAAATGAATGCGCACTTCCAAACCCTCCATGTCCATTATATCTCTGCGAGAATACAATCGGTGGCTACAAATGTGGTGGGGTTTCTGGTGATCCAAGTAATTTGTCGAACAAACGACCTCCTGAGGATAGATGTCCGCCTGGTTTCATTATGGACTCCAATGAGGAGTGTAACGGTAAGATCTGTTTAGATCATGCTTCTCCCTTTAATATCTGATGAGGGGTTCAGGGTCAGGGTTCAGGGTCAGGGTTCAAAACACTGGTTTTTATAATCATATTACATGTAATAGGCAAAGAAATACGTTAACCTTACTAATCCATGTAACCTGGATAATTTATTTTGCTGTATACTTATTGTAGTTTGCGCGAGTAGTTCACATTTAAATAAAACACTGCAACGGTTCAAAACGAGTTATATATTAGTTTACCTCGTATGACAATTATTTTTATGTTTCGGATGCTTTGCAGCAACTGGGGTCATGAGGAGACGTCGGAACTTCTAATGTATATGGTGTTTTTAACCGTTAAAGTCTTGTATTCAAATATATTGCTGTATACTTGATATAAATAAATCTTAATTATACTAAGAAAATGATTCCCTTCCAGATGTTGACGAATGTGATGCAAATAAGGATGACTGCAATAAAATGTCCCAGTTCTGTATCAATACGCGTGGATCATTCTACTGCCAAGATAAAGTGTCCAAACATTGTCCACCTGGATTTAAAACCAACCCAAGAACTAATAAGTGTGAAGGTGGGTAACACGTTAAGATTTTGAAATATCCCAGCCATATAAGATGCGCTAAGAATTTATTTTGGATATTCAAATCCACAGACTAAAATCCAACATGTTTCCGAGAAATTATAAATTGATTAGATGTTGGACCCTGTAGGATCGTATAACCCATTATTAGCCAGACATTAGTAAAAATTGGTTAGAAATAGACAAATATTCGTAAAGTCAATTATTTTATCAAATACACTAACTTATTCCTTTTAATATTATTAATACATTCCTTTTCTCTTTCGAAAACAGCTATTTCTATCTCAAAAACATTAACTAGGCTTTCTCCTAAATTTCTAGATATAGACGAATGTGAAGATGGCCAGGATATATGCAGACCTGATCAGATCTGTGTGAACGTGCCAGGAGAATATGACTGTAAGCCAAGACACAGGTAAACTGTTATACATACACTATATGTTATAACCTGAAAGTTTTGAATAACCTTTCGTAAAGTAAAATAACGTCATTATACTTGAAGAACATTTCTCTTTTCATAAAATGATTATTTTGATTTTGCAGTATAACGTCAGCTGTGTGTCCTGATGGAATGAGAATAGACCCCCACAGGAGAACTTGTGAAGGTAAACCTCTAAATTTTCTAAAAGACATTTTTATTTCACAAGCAATGCCTAGTTTAAAGACGAGATCGTTGGTGCAATAGTAGCAATGTATTTAAAAATAAAATGTATTTAATAAAAAACAACACGTCGTCGGTTTGATCCCCACCGGATAAAACTTTCTTTTAAATCAATTGATTATTATCTTAAGCTGGACTACAGCTGGAAAATCTGGACTGAAATTTCGTCCGGATCTCGAACCGGCGTTTACAGGTGAAATAACTTTAAAGGGAATTGTATAATAGAATTGAATAAGTGAGTTTTAGCCGTGAATTTATGAATGTCCAAAGCAAACATAGGCCAACAGCGCATCTTGTGTGTGTTGCGCGATGTCTTGCCTCCTCCTGTTATGAATAAATGTGTAGCTTTGCCTGCAGCCAAGCCAAGCAATCTCAAAGAGAAGAAAGATTGTCAAAAGATTAATTTATATAACTGTGTTTTATATATTTCCAGATATAGACGAATGTGTGGAAGGCACCCATCTGTGTGACCAGTATCAAAGCTGTTTAAATACAAATGGGAGCCACGAATGCCGATGTAAGTTAGGGTTCGAGCTGGATCATACAACCGGAGCATGTGTTGGTAAGTCTTTAGTCTGTACACCTTTATACATAGCATTTTAAGCTGTTAAAGCTGTACTGCTGGTCTTGATAGGTTTTAGAGCTTACAAGTTGCTTTAGAGGTGGAGGGGCGAGATTTAAAATTGTAACTAGTACCGCCACTAAATTGATACTTATTACTATGGCTGCCTGTAGATGTGCTTGTAGATTTTTTTATATTAAATACCAAATGTCAAAATTTCAAACCCTGGACTTTTAAGGTGTGCTAGGTAGTTTTATAAAATTTCAAACTACATCGCCATTTTACAGTATAGTGTTCGTAACAAAGGTTTTATTTCACACTGAAAGAATATAACATATTAATAAAGGTTTATAATCCATATTACAGATATCAATGAATGCGCAACCGATCAAAACGACTGCATTCCGCTGTCTCAACGTTGTGACAATACTGTCGGGTCATACCTCTGCATTCGTTTTATTTCCTGCGGGACTGGATATATTCTGCACCATTCTTCAAGCACTTGTGAAGGTATTAAAATACTTTTTATACTGGATGACTACTAAATAACACGAATTTTCATCTCTTATGGTCTATAAATAGGATTATTATCAAGAGGGTAGTTAAATTTTTTTTTTTTGAAATTTTAGATATTGACGAATGTGCTATTGGAACACATAACTGCGACCGTGCAGGGCCCGAATATCATTGTGTTAACATACCTGGCTCGTTCAGGTGTCAGAGAAAGCCCAAGGCTACCACTCAGGCCACACCTACGCCGACTCCCAATCCAGACTATGAATATATCTATTATGATTCTGAGTAAGTTTTAGAGCTTTAGAAATGTCATTTCTAGAAATAAACTTATTTATTTTTACGATAAGCATTGTATCTGTTAAAATTATACAATTTTTAATTAGAGAAGAAATAGAAGAAGAGAAAAATACAACCACCTCAACTACGACAACTCAACCAGAGACAACTAAAATCACCACACGAGTAACTGAAGAGCAACCTGATCTAAAAGAAAATACAATTGAAACAGATAACAAGTCAACTGAAAAAACCAAAACAGAACCAACAAATAGAGATTTATACAACATTGATAACGAAAACAAAATTGAACCAAAACCAGAAATTGAAAATCTACCGGAACCTACAGAACCACCGAATACATCACCTAAAATAGTCGATGTTGAAATCGGTGAAGAAACAGCTATCGTGAAAGGTGAGAAAAAAGGTGACGGATCTGTCGAAATAAATACAGGTGATATACCTAAAAACGAATGGACAAAGATACACGAGAAACCGTCTAATTGTCAACCTGGCTTTGAATCAGATGGAGCTGGGACATGTTATGGTAGGTTTTTTGTTTAATATTGTACATTTATGTTGTGGTTTTGTATTTATGTTGTTGTATGCATTTGCAGATATTGACGAATGTGCTATCAACAGACACACATGTTCAGGCTTGACAGAGACATGTAGAAACACGATGGGTGGATATTTATGTGAGTGCGCGCATGGGTTCAGAAGAGATTTAATAACGGGGGCTTGTGTTCACATTGAAACACCTACATCGACGAACAAACCTTTAATAGTACCACCGATACCTCTAGACGTTCCCACAACACCGTTGCCAGTTCCAAGCACTCCTGCAACAACACCAAAAGTAACAACTTCTTCTGAGACACCTTCATTACTGACTACCCCATCTACGACTCCAAAAACCTCAACAATATCTTCTACATATACCTATCCCACAACTCTGTCAACCGAGTTGACAACTGTATCAATACCAGAAACCTCACCTTCAACGGAACCATCAACCACTTCTACAACAACTACAAGTTCAATTCCATCTTCGTCGTCAACTAGAAGTAAGAAAATTACCCAGAGAAATATTATTATATAATATATTATATCATAGATTATCCAAAAATGTAAATTATCCAGATATCGCAAGCCAGATATCGAAAAGAAAAATAAAGAGAACGAAGTTATCATTTAGCAACCTTCTTCTTTTTCAGAATACTTTTGGGGTTATCCAGATTACCAACGATTCAATAGACGGCCTTTTAAAGCTATGACAACTTGTGACTCCGGATATCATTACAATTCGCAAACCGGCCAGTGTGAAGGTAAGGCTTAGCTAATACTGTCTCTATACCGTAGTCGTGGAGGGCATTGAAGATGTAGGGTGTCTTTATGTTAAAGTTAAAGCTCCTACACTTGCGCCATATGTTCCCTCGTAGGTGGTATTTGGCGAAACTGGCCGGGTCCTTGCAGAACTGAGAGGACGCCGTGAGTTCTGCAAGGATCATGCCATCCACTAGTCACGGAGACACGTCAAGAACCATGACATAATTTAATGCCATTAAAAAACAGCTCGATAACCAAAAGAATCGGGCTTTCGGCCTAGAACATATATCATGTATATGTTTTTTTGGTTTTGACGACTAAGTCGTATATATTCCAGATGTAAATGAATGTACGAATGGTAAAGCAAATTGCGCTTCTGTGGAGATCTGCGTCAATACTGAAGGAGGTTACCGTTGTGAGTGTCCTCCCAACTGGCGGCTGGATCCAGATCGGCATAGGTGTTTGCCTCTCAGAAGTAGCGAGAGATTTCCAGCAGGATATGGAAATAGGCCACGGCCTGGTAAGTATACCCAGTCCATTGTAGAATGACATTTATGAATTGAAGTTACGCACGGAGTAATAATATAATCCCGTATTCTTACATTCGCACATTATTTTTCAGTTTATATCGACCCTCAAGAAATAATTCCTGAAACGAGCGGCAGTGCAGAAGTTGCAGAACCAGAAGTAACTGAACTGGAGCGGGGCGGCTCTGTGTACAAGTGCCCGTGGGGTATACGGCTCGCTGATGATAATACGTGCAAAGGTAAAATTTTTTTTTAGAATATTATGCTAATTCTATAAAGATTTTGGTTTGGCTGTTTTTCTAGGTTTTGAATTAATATTACATTATGATATAAGTGCGGTAAGTTGAAAATTACAGCCGAGGCAAGGGCTATAAGAAAGCAGAGGCTGTAATTTTCAAAGCGCACGTATGTCATACAACGTTTTATAACATATTTACGAGGAAATGATGACATTTTCAAATAAAAACAATACAGCGAGAAGAAAAAGCGCGCGAAAATATTTTGTTGTAATTTTTTTTTTAGGCAAAGGTATAAAAACAGCCAGTATTACTAATAAAGTAAATTAATATTTTTGTGTTTTGTTATAGAAAAATGGTTGTAATTTTTTGTCAAAATTAATTAAATTAAAAAATTAAATGTTTATTTGTTATATTTTATTTCTCAAAGTTAATTTTATTCATGAAATATTGACTACTTTCTTGACATAAAACCTCTTTGCTAAGAAAAAGAACACGTGCCTTTTACATTACATTATCGCACAAGTACGTAATGAGATACATTACGATATTGAAATTGGTGTAATTACATCCACTTTACGAGCAAATATGTTATAAAGATTATTATGATCAATTTCTCGTGGCACGGATTAATAAAGTCGTGGGTTCGCGTATCTAACTATCACGTATAAAATGAAGCCGCTAGAGGCAGTGTAGCCAAACTTCAATTTCATGACTTGTGTTATTTATATAGTCTAAAAATGTTAATCTACAAGAGCACAGTGACCGAAAATTGTTAAGATAATTTTTACGCAAATTATAGTGCAAATTCATTTTCACCTAAGTCAGTTGCGCAATTCTATTTTCCTCCTTTTTGGAATCATGTTTTTTGATTAGGCCACTCTGCCTCTAGCAGACTCGAATGATGACTCAAGTTATTAAACTTAAGTGAGTAAATATTTGGAAATTGTTATTAAAACGTAAAACAATATTTTATTGTTTAACAATATTTGGTGTTTGGTATTTGTAAAAACTGTACAATAACACTCGGCGATAAAAGGCGTAGCAGCAAGTTTCTTGCCAGTTCTTCTCGTTTGTTCTACGTCTACGTACGAGACGTTTATAAATATACCTAATTACCTATATTAATATAAGTTTTTTGATAAAATACTGTCAGTAATTTACGCGAGTAGTACACGTCATTTAAATAAAACGCAAAGCATCCGAAACGTCGGGCCCTACTTAAAATAATTTTCAAACAAGTTTAACTAAAATATATCGCGTTTTAAACCGTTAAAATGGTTTTTTTCTTAAATGATAGAAGAGGTCAGATAAGCTTGGGGTTCCTTGATGTTAAGTAGAATACCCCAGCCACATAACATCTAATGAACTTAAACTTATATATGTATGCAAAAACGTAACCAGTTTTTATCACCATTTTCAGATATAGACGAATGCGCGACCGGTGAAGCCAAGTGCGGTCCCCTTCAGATCTGCACAAACCTTCCCAAAGGTTTCATTTGCAGTTGCCCCAAGGGTCATAAGCTAGTTGGTGATCACGAGTGCGAAGATATCGATGAGTGTGACCTTAGCGGCAGTGTGGTAAGCAATCTATATTTTGTCCAAAAAGAGATAGGGTACATAAACCTTTGTAAATCGATTACATTGTTAATTTATTATTTACTAGAAGTTTAATTAGTACTTTAAAGTATCTAGTAATACTTTAAAGTACTGTCAGATTAGTAATCCAATATTAGAAAATACAGGCTGAGCCCGTGACTTCGTCCGCGTCGTTTTTTCGAGTGAACAATTATTTCTTACATATATTCTGGTTTCTTGAACCGTTTTCGCAACGAAAGTCCATACAGTTGAATAATTTTCCCTCTTTTTTTTCACATTTTCCACTGTTTCTTCGCTCACATTGGCCTAAAGCCTTTATCGATAAATGATCCAACCAAATCCAAAAATAAATTTTTATGAAAATTACCGAGTTCAAACAAAGAAACAAAATCTTCAAATAAGGTATAGGCCCTTATTCTACCACTTTGCCCGACGTGGGCGAGCTTTTAGATCATTTAAAGAAGAATCATTACATTTGTACATATTTTTTGGGTGTCTTGAACCGTTTTCGCAACGTACGCATCAGAAACCCCCAGGAATCAAAAATTTTCTTGTGCTGTATCTTCGATTCTGTTAGTCACAGAGCAATGTTTTATAGCCTATAGCCTTCCTCGATAAATGCCCTAACCGCCACATCAATTCGAACCTGTAGTACTTGAGATTAGCGCGTTCAAACAAACAAACAAACTCTTCAGCTATAGAAGAATAGATTAAGTAAATCTAATTTGCTTCCAGCCTATTTGCTCTCAAAACGCTGACTGCATCAATACGGTTGGATCTTACAAATGTCAGTGCCATGAAGGCTTTCAAACTGCGCCTATAAATCAACAGGTGAGTCATAAACCCGTTCTAAGTTAAATATGGAACGTTAGACTAAAATACTACGTAGAATAATAGGTTTAAATAAAACACTTTAACGATTTAAAACGCAATATATTAGTTTAACTAATATATCGCATTTTAAACCGTTAAAGTGTTTTATTTAAATTATCCACCCTTATTATCGATCGTAGTTTTGATTCCCATACATACTAATAAGTTAGATACTGTTGTCCTTATACTAAGGTTAAATAGTTATATAATGTTTATGTACTTAATAAAAAAAAAAATTTCGTTAACAGGTGTGTGTAGACGTGGACGAATGCGTAGAATCTCCTTCTGGATCTCTGTGTGAGCAACGTTGCAACAATGTGTGGGGGGGATACCGCTGCTCTTGCCATAGAGGGTATCGACTCAATTCAGATAACAGGTAAAACAAATTATTTCCTCATTTACAAATTAAAAATATAGTGGAGGGAAGGTAGAGTCAACATATAACGCTAGTGCTGATTTGCCTTGACTCCTGTTACAACTAAGCTAAGTTAATTTGATAATAATATAATACCATACTTTAAAAATCTAAAATAAACTATAAAAAATTACGACTCGGGCAGGACTTGAACCGGCATCGTCAGCGTTCCGTGCTATTGCTCTAATCAAATTTTCTAACAGACTTTAAATACATAACAACTTAGTAACAATATGTTTCAATTACACAGGGTTTATTTTATGTATAATAGGCTCCCAATGGTTCTAACATTAATGCAACATTTGTATCAATTATAGATATTAGTTTTATTAAGAAGGTGGTACAAATATTAAAATGAAGTCCAGGAATCACCGTTTACAAAAAAAAGAACAGTGTTTGGTGTGGTGTGTTGATATGTGAATAATCAAACCTAAAATAGGCCGACGGCGGGTCTTATTTAAAAATTATACGGATAATTGAGTTGTCATAAAAAAGTATATTGATTTGCTGTCATAAAAAAAACATATTAATGCTTATCTTATGGTTGGGAAGTGTTAATTTATACCCTACATTAGACAAGATATACAATCACCAAAAAAAAACTACGTCACTTAAAACTTGCCCACTATACAATAAAAAGCCAAAATTCCTGTAATATTATTTTTCAGAACATGTTCAGATGTAGACGAATGTACAGAGTTCAAATCGAAGAATTTGTGCGTGGGCCGCTGTGCGAACGAGCCGGGCAGCTATCGCTGTTTCTGCCCCTCTGGGTACAGACTGTCTGAAGACAAACGCAGTTGTATTGGTAAGATGATAGATGCAAAGTGCGAGTAGTTTGGTTATGTTTCAGTTAGGTACACAAATGGTATTAATCATGACAAGGGAGCTATATGGATTTAAAAAAAAATGAACGTAAAATCCCATTTTACTGAGAAGCACACATCACACCATTTTACTAATCGATTATTTTCAGGCAAGTAGTTAATCATACTTCTGTCTGATTGAAAGAATTTATTATTTCCCAAATTTAAAACCAGAACCTCCTTGATTCAAGTAAGTATTGAGTTACAGAGGCAGTTACATCTCTTTATAATGACCGAAATATATTATTTAACTTACTTTATAGTTACGGCTTGATGTTTTTGGGGGCCCCGTAGCTTTACGTAATCGACGTTGCAGGTTGTTTCCCAGTGACAGCTGCTGTAAAGTATCCGAAAATTTCACGTTTCAATGCGTTAAAATGCTTCATATACATAGAGAACTGACATGATCTTCCTTATAGATATCGATGAATGCGAAACGGGTGCTGCGCCGTGCGCGAATGGTGGTAAATATGAAGGGGCAACCGATGTCTGCCTCAACACCAGAGGGGGATACAGATGCCACCGTATTACTTGCCCCACTGGATATCGCCTGGAAAGCAAGCAGTATGTATATACTTACTTATAACATAATTAATAGCTTCTTTACACACATGTGTACACAAACACAAAGCTTGCTCGTAAAACGTAACCAACTTAGAAAAAATTGTTTTCAAATTAGAATTTTTTAAAGTACAGACAAAACTATTACATTTCGCCTAAGCTATATTATAGGTTTTAAAATATATTTCCAGTCGCTGCACCAAAATCCAGACGTACTGCCCTCCTTCAGATTGGGAGTGTGCCCACCAGCCCAGTACTTACTCTTACAATTTCATCACTTTTGCGTCCAAACTTTATATACCAGAAGCCAAGGTAAGACCACAAGACTACATGTAAGATGTCACTTAAATATCAGAAGCCAAAAATAGCCTGACAGCATATCTTGTTAAGATGTTATATGGCTGGGATATTTCAGCTTCAATCGAGTAAAACTCACGTTTGTCTGTCGTCTTCGTATCATAAAAATATCACTTACATTCCCTCTATGGCGTCTGGGGCTCACACACACTTGTGTCCGTTTAACTGATTTAATTTACAAGCAAGGAGATTAGACAACTTATCGTTACTACAAGATACGAACTGAGGATATATGCGAAAATAGTCACACACACGCCCCCCCCCCCCATTAAATAAATACAGGGGCAATTAAAACTTACAGGTTGATCTGTTCACAATGCGAGGTCCTAACTGGCCATACGCAAAAATGCGATTTAAGTTGCGACTGGTCGACGTCAATGCCCCGCCCTCGGTTAGCGAAAAGGCTGATATAAACTCATTTTTGTAAGTATTTCATTTTCATTTCTTGAAACCAAAAGTTTGAAGGAACCAATCTCTCTTACTCGTAGAAGCGTCGAAGAAAAAATGGAGGAAATCGCCATAATGTACACTAAGATTACGAACGGTTTAAAACGGCTAAATTATTTCACTATGGTGTATTTGTCTAACTTGGCAAAATACCACAACAAATACAGTCTACTTCAAACCATAGAGGCCCAGTGATGACCAATTACTCTGACACATTAATCTGACGTTTCTAACGCTTTTTAGAGATCGTACATGTTCCTTACCTTCTATTGTCGTTGACTTTGCTTATATCCCATCCTTATGTAAATGTCAAACTAATGAAATTTTTATCTGTCCATTTACTTAAATTCATTTAAAGCAAAACTGTGATTTCTCCTATGTGAATTTGTGATAGTTCATTAGTTTAATATATAAGCTTCAAGGTTTTAATTTTAGTGTAAATCAATATGTAAACCTTGTGGGACAATCTGGATTTCACGTAAATTATGTGTTTGTGTACTAAAAATGTCAAGTTAGAAAAAATACACTTTATATTATTTTTGATTCGTTTGGAATAGAAACGTTATTTCTGCTAGAAGTAGATGATTTACCTCGTCACAGTCTCGTGTTGGTTATAGCTAATTAAGGGCGATAGTAGTTAAAGCCCATCAAAGCCTACTGGCACAATGATGGGTCTTGAATCGATTAAGGTTTTACTGCTGGTCTTAGTGCTAAATTGAACTTATATCAAATTAACCTTTATTGTGAAATATCAGTTAACATTCTAACTCATTATTACAGACTGACACAAACAAGTAACCAAGCGGTCATTTCGCTAGTCCGCTCTCTGGAAGGGCCACAGAGTATAGAGCTAGAGTTGTCTATGGAGTTGTACAGTCGCGGCCAGTTTGGAGGGATAGCTGTTGCCAAGATTTACATTTATGTCTCCGAGTATGAGTTTTAGTGTTTAATTGTACTTGAATTATAAATTTTGTTGTATGGCGTACTGTGACGTTATGTATGTGCAATTGTTTTTGTGATATGAAAAATTTGTTATGCGTGGAAACCATATAAATATTAAATAAAGATGCGTACACACTAATTTTTATTTATTTCATTTAAACGGACTGTTAGTTGTCGGCATTCGTGATTCAGAAGTTTCGCCATTACTGGTGGATGACGTCATCGGAAGATTAGTAAAAGCCTCAAACATGCCTTGTTCTTGATAGTAAGGCTTTGAATGATAATAGAATAAAATTTATTCTTTCGGCGGTTGAAGGTCGTTGACATTTCTCAATTGGTTTCTTGTTCTCTGCAGCGGTTCGTCTTTTGGATGTTTGCTGAAAATATGACACAAATAAGTCGACGTCAGCATGTAAAAGTCGTGTTCACTATTCATGACAAAAGGGGGGGGCTCAAAATAGTTTAAAACTTCAAGACGTGACCGTCACATCTGACAAAAAATAATAATGCCAGTGACAGCTAAACACAATTTTGTCTATGGGTAAGAATTTTAGTTTCAACCTACTATTAAAATTAAAACCCTATGGTTATTTTTTATAGACTTATCAAGTTTATAGTAGGTAGTGAAATCTGCCGCCGCCAGTTGTGTTATTTACTTAAAAACAAAAAATTAAAAACAGAATAGGATCGTTATAAGAAGAAAACTGTGAAGTGTTAACTGAAAAAACTTTTAAATAAAACACTTTAACGGTTAAAAACGCGATGTATGTACTTAAACTTATTAGAAAATTATTTAACTACGGCCCGACGTTTCGAATGCCTTGCCGCAGCTGTGGAAACAGAGAGACTGCCTCGCTGTGAGTACGTATTAAACCGTCAAGGTGTTTTATTTGAATGTGTATTATTCGGGTAAACCACAGAGTGAAAATACTTTTTTTATGTGTAACAATAAGGCTTGGCTGAAAAGTCCAGTTACCATATATTAAATAAATATAAAGTAGTTTTAAAAAAAATAAGTTTCAACTTTATCACATACCTCACTGTGTGTCTGTTGAGAGCGCTCTGTTGTGAAAATGCCTTTTCACAAATAAGACACTTGTACAGCTTCTCATTTGTATGGGTGTTCTGATGAATTTTCCAGTTGTATTTCTTTGCGAATGTTTTGTTACACTTTCTGAAAGAATAAGTTAATAACGTTTTGGGCCGTTAAAACTTGGTATTTTAAAATACTAGCTGGAATTTGAAACCGATTTTTTCCTTCCCTTTTCGATTTGTCTTCCCCTATCATTAATAAAGTATATTTACTTCCTCACCCACACATGTATGGTCGCGCTGTACTGTGCTGAAGTTTATGAGCAGCCAGACGCTTTACATCCTTCAGCACTTTCCCACACTGGTCACACAGACAGTCATTTGTTACTCCATGCTCCTATATAACAAATTCTTTATATAGGGTGTTGCCAGATTATCACATCAAATTTACCAGTTTTAGCAAAAACAAAAATTGTATTTCAATCAAACTTAAATTAATTAATTTTTATAGAAAATAAATAGTGCACCAATCGATCAAATTTACCACACCTTTTATGTTTACATTGAGACTTTAAAGTTATCATTGATTGTCATTTATTCTAATGTATGTAGTTTAATATACTTAATACAATATACGGACCGCCTCTATAGCCAAATAGTTAAACCTATTGCCTAGTAGGGCATCCTAGGGAAACAAAACAGAACTGTTTCAGTCGGGCAGGCACAGAAGTCTGATCAACTACTTGCCCGTTACAAGAAACGGGTGAGTCAGTGATTCAGTGAAACGGGCTTTCACACATGTAGTTTTAGTTCTCTGTTAATTCAAAAAAGGGTTCCGGCGGTTAATCTACTATGCCGATTTTAATGAAATTTTGCGATATGCAGTAATTGCAAGTAGTGCAACTCTCTGTTTAAAAACAATATGATAAGTCTGAAAGCACCTCGCAATATATTGCAGTATCAAATTTAAGAGTGGCATATATATATAATTATGATATATAAGAGACTAATATTTGCTGGAGGCATAAAATAATTTTATAGATCTCATAAGCTCCCCCCTCCCCCCACATACATCACTGCCACTAACTAAATACCTTTAAATGCAAATTAAGTTGTCCTCTTGAGGCATACTCCAGCGCACAAAACGGACAAGCATAGCGTTTTTTGGTCAATGATTCTGGGTGAACTGATGTTTTGTGTGTTGAAAGATATCTGTAAAGGGCAATATACATCAATATTCTTATTAATAGGAATCATAATTAAAACAATCTGTCTCAGAAAAAATCTCCGTACAAACTGTATGACAATAATTTAAATACAAAACGGTTTATAACATGAAATAAATTAAGTTAACTTATGTATGTAAGTTCAAGTCACAACAATTACAATAATACAGTCTACATAACCCTTGGGCGAGCTTGGGAGAGCATATGTACAGTAAGGTTGTGGATTCTATTAATGCTTGGGTCTAATTTCCTTTCAATCTTAAAGATTATTACCATTACCTTTTCACATGAAAAGCCGCTCCACAGATGTTGCATTTGAACTCCTTGATGCCTTTATGTATGTTTTGGTGTTCTTTGTACCAAGTTCTAACATTAAACCCTTTGTTACACTCCTTACAAGTATACTGTAACCAGAATTGTTAACACATTATTAAATATTTATAAATATAGACTGCAGATTATAAGTAATATAATTTATACATTTAGTAAATGTATATGTTTAAATTACTAACATAATCTTAGCTTACTAACCAATTTTGTGTTTAATGAAATACCAATAACTACTCTAGAAAAGCAATAAAAAGACTTATTATAATAAATATATTTTTAATAAAACTGGTTTAAACGAGAAATATATATTAGTTAAATTATTTTTGTAAGGCCCAAAATACCAGATACAACAGCCATGGACATGGGATTCACTACATCTTTTAAACCGCTAAAAGTCTTTCAATTAAATTAGAACTGTTGATAAATAACAAACAATACTTAAATATTGCCATATTTACCTTATACTCCCTTGTATGGGATTTTTCATGGTTCTTCAGTCCATTTATATAACCGGTGCTGTACCCACATTTAAATGAACAGAAAAACTCTTTCAGACCATGAGATCTCTGGCCATGGTTTATTAAAGCCATTACTTCTTTGTACATTTTTCCTGAAATGAATAGAAGAACAGATTAGAGCTACATTGATCATGCGATTGATAACATAAATTAAATTTTCTAGAAAATCTCTTAAGACCTCGACGGTTAACGTTGAAGAAAATCAATCAAGATGATCAATTCCAACATGTTTCTTACAGCAATTTATTTATTTTCTTGAATGTATAAGGCTGTATGGAAAATCTGCATATTACTTAAACGGGAGGTCGTAATATTGAAATTCTATTCTAGTCACGAAAACAGATTAAAAGAAGATATGTGCACTTTAGTTCTGGTCTATAGATTTCTATATAATTTAAGTTTAAGGTGAAATAGGTTGCCAGATATATTATGTAAGTTTGTTATATAGCTGGGGTATATGTGGATAAAATATACAATAGAAAGCATCTTACCACAAAGTTTACACGAAAATGACATTTTCTCATCATGCTCACTACAAATGTGCTGCACGATTTTATTTCGAGTTTTAAATTGTCTTTTACACTTCTGACAAACAAATTTACCGTCTGAGTTTTCGAGAATGAATTCAGCTACTGATGTTTTAACTTCTTCATTGAAATAATGGTCCAAAAGACGTTTTTGCGAGCCAAATATATTAAAACACATTAGACACATCAACTTTTGTCCATTTAATACCTTTTGTATATCAACTAAGTCTTTTTTTACTTTGCATACCCAGGAAGCTGTTGCAGGGTTGAGGTTTTTTACATATGTGTGGTACGTAGATAAACTGCTTTGATTTGATTCACTATTATACTCAACTTCTTTCTTTGACTCTGTTAAATGATTGTGGTCTAAACTTTGTAGCTTACTAAGTAACTTTTTTTCATTTTCAATTATTCTTTCTCGGAATAAAATCATATCTTCAATTTTATTATAACAAGACGAACATACATTCTTCGGTAAATTATCCTTAAATTTTAACTGTAAAAAACAATCGTACTTATAAAGTGCTTTTACATTGTTCAGTTACAAAAAAGTTAAGATTATATTTTGCTTACCTCAAATGAAAAACATTTAAATATGTTCTTAGTTAATGCAGAATCTTCACATATTTCGTGCATATATTCGGAGCTTTCATTTAAGCATAATCGGCAGGTTTTATTCATTCTGAATATTAATAGTGTTAATTAATATAATTAGTGTTCAGAGTTGGATAAGATAAGTCTGTTATATTTCCAATTCGTAATAAGTAATGGCCTAGGGAAATTGACTTAATTTTAGATTTAAAATAGTTGTTTATTATTGTAAGCAAAACAATACAAGGAGACAGTATGTCAATTGTCAGTTTCAATTAGTTTCAACTAATCTGTGGTTTCAGCCAACCAAAAAAATAGGATAAATAGCATGAGATAAAATATAAATAGAACTAGACAAACAGACAAGACTCTCTACAATAATATCTCCAAACATACATAGGGATCTGAACTAGAACAGCTGGACGACGAGCACAAGGGTTTGTGTAGAATAATATAGGGGACACGCGACTGGCAAACATGGTAAACGAATAACGGTAGTTAAAAAAAAAAAAATTGTCTGCTGACATCACAGTCGAATAATTAGCATTCTCATAGCTTATTATTATGTCAATCACTTCTACTTAATTGCTAACTTAGTACAACTTCACTTATAACAATGAGACAAAATCCGAAAAATTACATAATACTAATAAATATTAAAATATAATCATGTTGATTTTTACAGTTATGTTTATAAAAAATCGACTGAACTATTATACTATATCGCACCCCTAGATGAAAACTCCGGCCATTCAAAAAAACGTTTTTTTCAGAAATGACTAAAAACTGTTTTCGGAGTATTTACTAAAGATATCGAGTATACTAATAATTATTATGATAGGTAAAGTTCTAGAGCCTTTTTAATGACCTACTTTTTAATGCTATTGTCACAAAAGTTTAAAAAAAACTCATTCTTAGTTAGTTGTGTTTTCTTTAGGTAATATGAAATTTTCGGTGGAATTTTTTTTTTATTTTTTTCGATTTTTTTTTTCAACGGTCGAAGTTAGCGTTACCGGAGTTTGAACTCCGTGTAGGTATTCATGGCGGGATTTTGAAAACGCCACTAACTCAATTTAAGTATTTTTTGAGTTAGTGATGTTTTCATCTAGGGGTGCGATATATGTATTGCCAAAAACGCAAAATAATATTTTTAACTAAAAAATACCTTGTTGTCGCCTATAAGCAAGCCTTTTAACAAAAAATATATTGTCGACTGTCATGAGTAAACGACATCTGTTGGGTAAAAACGACAAAATGTAAAATGGCGCTAATGCTGATTGCGTGCAAAATTCGTTATAGCGGTATAAATTAAAATTCAAAATATATTATATTTTAGTCTTAGCATGAATTCTCAATGCCTAAAAACTAACTAACCTAACTATTGCAGTTTATCAAAGCACCCGGAACGTCGGGTCATAGTTAAAAATAAATTAACTCACCTATTTTTTGGGGCTTTGAAACAGTAAAAGTGTTTTATTTCTAGTTATAATTTGCCTTATACACTTCTGACACAACAATTTACCATCTGAGAATGGAATCAGCTACTGATGTATTTAATGTCATATAATTTTCGAGTACATCTATATTTCTAGCTATTGATCATTACTTTCTAATGTAAACACACATGTGTTTACATTAGAACAACAAGGGTAACAAACGACTCGAAGTTAGGACTCTTTCAATACAAGGAAACTTGGTACAACTAAACCACTACTGATCTTGAGTCATATTATGATTAACCGCTTCTTTTAGTATGTTTGTGAATCAGCAGGAGTCCACGATAAGATAATATTATAGAGCTTTTGTTAATCTGTTTTGACAAAACTTTGGCTGATAGCATTGATGGTGATGGTGGAAAGTCCGCTTCCTCTGATAATGAATGGCGTATTCCGTTTATGGCAAAGATTAATTAATAGAGATGTTTCAATATTTTTTTTTATAATAGGCAGACAAGCAAGAGGTTTACTTAATAGTAGGTGAAATATCTCGACTAAATAACGTATAAACAATGCGCTGTCATCCTATTTTGGCTATAGAAACGCGATTAAATTTACCAACTTTTTCATTTGTGGACTTTTTCATTGGTGGTTCGTGACGAGGACGGTATTTCGATATTCGAAGTCTAGCATGTTTCAGAACCTTTATTTAATTCAGTTCTTTTTCACTTCAAAATCCATGGGCCATCATTTTATTTTACGGGATTTTTTTAGTTATGACCATCAGTAGAGTTGTACCTATATTACAAACTGAAGGTATTATTGTAATAAACAGAAGTAAGAACTACAATAAACAAATAAACAATAATTAATAATGTCTGCTTCGCTTTATTGTTGGTACCCGTTTCGCTTTCTTACTAGTTTTAAAATAAAAAGACATCGATTTAAAAACCGAGATTTACTAACTAAATTAGTTTAACTAATATTTAAACCGGTAAAGTGTTTTATTTGAATGTATACTACTGTAAATCTGTACTAAATGGCTACAGGCTAACATACTTTAGAACCATAATGCACTGTCGACCAGTCGCCGGCGACTCAGTCTCTCGGCGATCAAAGTCTGTTTCGCCACTACATCGCCGAGTTGCTTTGGCGATCGTGCGTTAGCGCCCATTTAAACCATAGAAACTTACAGTCGCCGGCGACTAGTCGACAGTGCGAAATATCGTTTAGTGTAGCATCTGTTTATTTTATACTCTTTTCATTAAAAAATAATTCATTAACTGTATTTTAACATAATTGAACTTCAGTACACACTCTAGTCCCAATGGAACAGTTTCTTTTAGTTTGACGGGACTTATTCCTTTTTTTTAATTTAAGCTATTATATTCGTAAAAATGTTGTTATTCCATAGTGCACTTGTTCTTTTTATTTTGGAATTTCTCGATGGTAAGCCGACATTTTATTCAGTATTTAAAATTTATAAGTGGCCTTTCCGGTTATACAAATACCAAGTAGTATTAAATATTTTTATAAGTAGTTTTAGTATTGTCTGCAGTTAACGCGAGTGATCCCATTCAAATGAAACTATTTCAACGGTTGAAAACGCGAAGTATATTCGTTAACTTGTTTTTAATTTATTTAATAATAATATTTCTCGCACTTTGAACCGTTGAAAATGTTTTATTACGTAGTTACAAGATCATTAAAAAATCTATTAAGATGAAATTAAAATCGATGACCTGTTACTAAGCTAATGTCATTCTTAATAGATTTTAATTTATATATAGCGATCATGTGCTGTTAGAGTGTGATCATCTTCAACAAAGGTTTTTACTAGCTGTGGAAAGCCGAGTAAATTAGTTTCCTTTAGCTCAGGCAACTTAGTTAAAACTTGTGTTGTTTCAACCTCCTAATATCCTGCTCGGCGTAGCTCTTCAATCCCTTTCCTCTGCGACTTCAAACCCACCATGCTGTTCCAGTGTAGATAGGTGGGCTTTAACGATTACTGCCTCTAAGTGGTGACAACTAGGATAGTTGAATTAACGTGCTTAGAAGTATAATCGACTTAGATTTTAAGCACTATATAATATTTGTTCTGTTCTGTACCCAATATTGGTTTGCTCTTCTTTTAACTATTGATGATATACTAATTTCAATGTCGGCACTAGCATTAGTAATAATTATTGAGGACATAAAGATGATGGTGTCATCATTAATTTATCACTTACGGTAGTCTGAAAAACCAGCTAACATAATATTTAGACGTGTAATACGGTCTAAGATCTGAGTTTCTTCTAAGTGTAAAGATCTACACTGTCTCTTTGATTTGATTTGATTTACGCGTTTTAAACTACGAGTAGTATCTAACTCAGAAGTATCTAAAAGTCAATTTGTAGAATTAAGATTAGATGGTGACATTGTATTGATTGAATAATAAGAAAAAAGGTGGCTCGACGAAAATTGGAGCAGCAATCGAAAAATAAAATTCGGGTTTTCGAGCTGAGCAGCCGACTTATTAAGAAATGGTTTAAATAAAACACTTGTAAATTATTTTACCTACGGCCAATAACGGATGCTTTGCGTCACGTCACATAGCTTTAACTAATATGTATCACGTTTTAAACCGTTGAGGAGTTTTATTTAAATCTGTACTACTCGCGTAAACTAGAGACAATATTTAAGAAATGGTTTGTCGAATTCCAATTTCGAAAATAAATTTTGCAAAATGGCCGCGAAATCCTTACAAAATTTATTCGGAATACAAATCGATGTAGTTTAGTGTATATTGTATCTGAAAATAAATGTTGTAATAAATAAATATTTATCGGCCGGATGCATGGTTGTCCTCGTGTCATATTTCCGTTTCTCAAGCGTAGGTGTGACCTATCGACCCCTGTAGTCACCAGTGTACGCGAGATTTTTAGGAATTCCACCTCCAGGATCATTGGCCTTCTACCCAGGAATAAATTCATTGGTTCAATGGCTCGTGGGACGGTTCCCACCGGATTTTCTAAATACAATTCAAAGTAATATTGAGTAGGTGGTAGGAATATAGTGAAAAATTTCCCCCGTTTTGTTCACATTTCTCGCTGTATCTTCACTCCTATTAGTCACGTCACAATGTGTTGTATATATAACCTTCCCCGATAAATGCTCTAACCAACAAAAAAATAATTTTTCAATTCGAACCCGTACTTCCTGAGATTAGCGCGTTCAAACAAACAAACAAACTCTTCAGCTATATATATTAGTATAGATTAATAGCTTATAGCTCTTTATTTATTTCTTATGTCAATCTATCTTAGTAAGTACTTTGTAGTCACAATACATTACAGGGAGCTTTTGGCATGGAGCCCAATTACATACGTTGAACAACAAATTAGTTTTACATAATTCAGTGCTCTTCAGACGAAAACAGGATTAAAACCTCTAAGCTCTGACGTCTGGGGTCTAGGGTCTAGGGTTCTCAACTTCGACCTTTCGGAGTACAACAGTTTCTGGGTATTCTAAAAAATACATTATTTAAAACTCTAAGCTTCTGATTCAAGTCCACAAACATTAGATACTGGTCGAAAATGTTGCTCAAACATATCATTTTCCTGGTCCTTTTTATAAGTTGTGAAGCCAACAAATGGGTAACTTACCTTATATAACTTGACTGTTATCTGAATTTAACATCTTGGTAACAGTACTAAAAGAATTACATTGTAACTACGTTTAAAGATTTAAATTAATATTATTGACCAGAAAAAGAAAAATTTTTATATGTTATCATATAAAAATTTATCTCTTAAGATAAAAATATATTTTTAAAACAATTCTTAATTTAAATACTGTCTATAGTTTACGCGAGTAGTACACATTTAAATAAAACACTTCAACTGTTTAAAACGCGATATATTAGTTAAACTTATTTGAAAATGATTTTTAACTCTACCCGTGACCACGGCTGCTGCAAAGCATCCGAAACGTCGGGCCGAAGTTAAAAGTCATTTTCAAATAAGTTTAACTAATATATCGCGTTTGAAACCGTTAAAGTGGCTTATTTAAACAGACTTATCTTTTAAAGTAAATAAATTTAAAAGCATCATTTAAGATATCGCAGCCTCGACCCATCCCTTAGCAGTACATTGTCTTCCAGCGAGCACGCAACACCGTATTTGTGACTTCTATATTTATGGGATCAAACTAATGAATTCCTTATACACTTTGTTTTAGAGACCGCATCGCTGTCGTCGTGCGTGATCCCGCGAATACCTCATGGCCGCGTGCGCTCCAAGCAACGAGCGCGGATAGCCAAATTCGAATGCCTATCCAGGTATCAGCTAGTGGGTAACATGTACGCTGCCTGTCGTGATGGCGAATGGGACGTACCTTTTCCCGTTTGTATTCGTAAGTACTCAATATCTATACTAATATTATAAAGAAGAAGACGAGTTTGTTTGAACGCAAGGAACTACTGGTTCGAATTGAATATTTAAAAATATTTTGCGTCGATTAGACCATTTAGCGATATCACGTTTGGGAAGCGGTGCGAAGAAATAGTGGGGAATGTAGACACGAAAGCGGTTCCAGATATCCAAAATATATGTGTCAAAGAACGATTCCTCTTTAAATGATCGAAGTATGTCCATGATAGTACATACATATATATATACATATATCTTTTAAGATTATATAATAACGACGGGACGTGGTCGACGTCGTGGATAACAGCTTAAATTTATAGGGATAGAGATGTTAATATAGGTACATATAGATAGACGTATTTTATTGTATCCTTTTAACAAAATGTGATTTATATGATTTTATGTGACTTTTTATTTATGAAATGTACAAACAAACTGATGCTATCAAAGGTAAGAAGGAATTTTCAATTTATTTTATTTACAGGATCTGGTTGTGCAGTACCTTCAATTGAAAATGGGGTTAAGATGAGTTTGTTTGACGATGCTTGGATTACATACTTCTGCATGCCAGGGTATCAGCTGGTTGGATCACAGGTCATCTTCTGCGATGGTTTAAAGTGGAATGCGACAGCGCCTACTTGCGTACTTGGTAAGGAATAGATCTTTATATTATACAACACTGTGATCCTGGTTTTAAATCCCGGGAAGACTATAAATTGGTGCGATCGCAGACACAGATATTTGATCAACTACTTGCCTTAAATAAAACTCTTTTAACGGTTTCAAACTCAAAACAATCTCTCAAAATATTTAAATACGGCTCGAGTGCTGTATAGCCTTTGTCGGGCTGTCGTATAAGTCAATTTGATACTTAAGTCATACATTTCGTGTTTTAAACCAAATAAAGTATTTTATTAAAATGTGTTCTATCTGCGTAAACTGCATACAACTATTATCAGTAAAACGAGAAGGAACGGAAAAATAGGATTCTACTCTAATGTTAAAAATAAAATAAATAAATAAACAATTTACATTTTTCTGAAACATGTTAGAGTTGCATGTCTAGAAACCTAAATATCTAATGTATTTTAAATGGATATTTCTAATATCTAAGCGCTGTCCGGGTCACGAACCCCCGTCCACAGATGAAAAAGCCGTGAAATACCTACCATCGAGTGAACCTTTTGCTTGACTGCCCTCCTATCATAAAAAAATAAACAAATAAAAAATACTAATTTACATTAAAAATTTAATTCAATTGTAATCACAAAATAATAGAAGATTTGATAAAAGATGTTAGTAATTTAATTTGCTTTGTGTGCGAAATCCCTTTTCCCCCTCGTGGGGTATGGGGCGAACGCATTTCTGTGTCCGTTTCACTGATACGTTCTTTAACAGGCAAGTAGTTGATCAGACTTCTGTGCCCTGCTCGACCGAAACATTTTGTTTCCTTGGGATTCGAACGCAGTACCTCTCGCGCGTAACGCAATGCTAAGCAACACGTTTAACCATTCGGCTACAGCCTACTTAATTATAATATGTTTTCTAGAGAAAGAATTTCATCCTAACCTCAGCTGTGACTTTGAGGACCCTGGTATCTGTGGTTGGAGACAGGATGAGCTTCATGACTTCGACTGGATAAGATATAATGGGCATGCGCCGCGGACATTCCTGCTAACTGGTCCTTCGTTTGACCATACCCTAGGCAAAGGAAAAGATGGTATGACATTTTAACTTTTTATTTTTTTGGATAACCCAAAGGGCAAGGACTGGACTAACCAAGAGTAGCATCATCACACATCACATTCACAGATGTTAAAATAAAACATTTTAAAACGCGAAATGGATTACATAAACTTATTTACAACTCATTTTCACTACGGCCCGACATCAAATATCAAACCTTTAAGTGTATTTTATGTCAATTGATCTCTTGTTATAGTGTAATCGCTCAGATTGCCTTTTTCAATAAATACAGATATTATAATGAGGATGATAAAAACGATAATATAGTAGATTTAAATGAATCATTTTTAACAGTTTAAAACGCATAATATACGAGGGGACTGGAGATGGAGAGTGTCTCTGATGTAAAAGTTAAACCCGCTACGCTATATGTTTCCTAGCCTTTGACATTAGGGATACCCTCCATCTAGGGTCCCCTGTGTCCGCTGCAAAGAATCCAAAACGTCGAGCTGTAGTTAAAATAAATTGCAAATAACTTAACTAATATTTCGCATTTTATACCGTTAATAAGTGTTCTATTTAAATGTAAACTACTCACATAAACTACAAACAATACGTAACTTCTGGTTGTATGTAAGAAATTAATATTTTTATGTACTGAATATCACAGGGAGTAAATTTGGGTCACACATTGTTGATTTGTGTTGTTAATCTATGTGTTAAATAAAAGTTAAAATTAAATTAGTCATTAAGGATTTATTTTTTGTTTTAGGTCACTACATGTACATTGAAAGCTCGTTATCGATTCAGAATGACACAGCTCGGCTAATTTCCCCACTCTACGATAGCTCGTACGCGGAGAATGGATGCTTTTCTTTCTTCTATCACATGTTTGGCGAGTATGTAAAGTCATTTTTTTTTATGATAGAGGATGTGAGACGAGCTTTACTTGATGGTAGGTAGGTACCACAGCCACGTAAGCAGGATGCGCTGTCGATTTTATTATTTCTATTCTGGCTTATGGTGTTCGGAAATCCACAGACTGATACCGAAACGCGATTAAACTTCACAACTTTTTCATCTATGGACAGTGAATCGTGATTGAATTTCGATATTTCTACAGCCCCATTTAATATCTTGATTTCCAGTTCAACTGGTTTCAGAGAAATTAATTTATATTTTCTCTGAAACCAGAAAAATGTTGAAGCCTTACTCCTATGTTGGAGGAACATAACACCAATGACCCCGTCAAAATGTTTAACGTCACTTTTAGTGGTCCGATCCCAATGGTTGAAACGTGAACCTTTTACAAACCACTTGTCTATCGCCAAGCTAACAACAAATACTAAGAAGGCGTCACATATAAAAACGAGAATTGATCTCCATTTTTGCTTGAAATCAATAAATAGTAACGGCCTACTTGTTGACCCATTTGGCATGACAAAAAGGTTACAGTACGTTTGTGTATAGAGTATGCTTATTTGTCCTCCTCTAATAGTCCAATTAATATTCTTTTTTCTGAACGTCTCTTTTGTTCGATATTTAAATTTTCTACTGTCTATTGGAAGTTTCTAATTTCCATTTTCTTTTTAGAACTTGCGGAGAATTGAGAGTGTACCAGAAGCCAGAAAACATTGACATCCTCAGTATGTTGCGGCCGGTGAACCGAGAAAAATATTTATTATTTGAAAAGTGGGGTAATCTAGGCGACGTCTGGTTTCAGTCAGTGACCGATCTTAAGAAATTCGGAGGTAGTTTTCAGGTAAGGAAAGAAAGTAAATTCATGAATCCATTATTGTATAAAAATTATTAAAATAGGACCTACAAACACACCGATAGAAACAAATCAAGACAAGAGAAAATCAAATCAAAAATACTTATGCCTTGTCTAAAATAGGCTGATAAGTTTGACAAATAATATGAAGATTTACTGTAAAATATGTATTCAAGGAAAATAATAGTATACTACGTGGGAATTAAATCCTTGTTTAAACCACGTGTACCATAGGATGATAAGTTTGACAAATGACAAACGATTGTATCTAATGTCGTGTTATGGTACACTAGCTGTGTCAACTTCGTCCGCGTAAAATAGTTATTTTGGGCAATAACATTTGTTTTTGTTAACGTCCTCTTTATAAATTTAAAGCTGTTACCAACGATGTCGGTAGCGTCCCGTCGTTTTTGGTAAAAAAAAATGTTGTCCCGTTGTTATTGCTAAAAAAAATTTTGTTCCCCTGTTCTTGTTTCTTTATAAAAGGTAGACATTACTGCCTACATTTTTTACGGAGGCCCTTAAAGATAAATTATTTTCCCCGTTTTTACTGTATCTTTACTCTTATCGATGGCATCGTGATGTTTTATAGCCTTCCCCAAAACCAGATTTTTTTTCAACTGGAATCAGTAGTTTCTTCAAACAAACAAACTCTTCAGCTTTATATATTAGTATAGATGTCATGCCTTCTAGATCTTGGTATATTAGACAGTGTATGAATTAAGCAATATGTAGGTATGCATGATTTTCTTACAAAAAATATATATTTCCGTTATAACAACTGCTTTTGGCTGACTAAATGTTATCTCACAGATTATAATAGAAGGAATCCATGGCGCAGGCTACACGAGCGATATAGCAATTGACGATGTCTCCATCATGCAAGGAGAGAATTGTACTAAAGCAGCTCTTAAAGCATTGACACCCTTAAAACAATTTAATTCAGGTAAGAAAGACTTAGTATAGTCTGTAGTTTACGCGAGTAGTGCACAATTAAATTAAACACCCAAACTCCAGAACAATGTATTTCCCCATGGCCACAGCTACTACAAAGCATTTGAAACGTCGGGCCGTAGTTAAAAGTTTAACAAACGTATATCGCGTTTTAAACCATTAAAGTGTTTCATTTAAATGTGTACTAGTCGCGTAAACTACAGACAGTATTTAAACTATTAATTTTAAAACACATATTTGTATGTTTTACTATTTATTAACTTATACTTAATACTTATAACAGTAATTGACTGTATATTTTTCGCATTGTCAAAAGCCCATTTGTAAACTTTAGCACCTAATTGTATCTATTTCTGGATCTAAGAGCGAAAACTTTTAATTCGCGCCCTATTACGTATTCTGTCGACTATTGTATTAAATATTGTCTACTACTACTACTACTAACTACTAGTTTACGCCAGTAGTGGACAAATAAATATAACACGCGTTACATGCGTTTAACGGTTTAAAACGCGATATGTAACGCGTATATAGCTGTAGTCAAGGGGAGACTACGACCACACGGCTGCTGCAAAGTATCAAAAACGTGGGCCGTAGTTAAAATAATCAAACAAGCTTAACTAATATATATCTTATTTGAAGTTAAAATGTTTTATATACATGACTATTGTTTTGACTGTTTTTCATTGTAAGTATATAAATACCATTTTCAGATTATTCGTGTGCGAATCGATGCTCGCTTATGGACGAAGAGATAATTCCGGCTTCGAGGTGCAGCTGTTCCCTGTCTTGTTTCGAACAACACAACTGCTGTTCTGACTTCTACACCTGCTTATTTGCACCAAGTAAATCCATTTTTCTATCTATAAAATGTCATCTAGAAAACCTCTATTGTATCTATTGAGAAGATTGGTCTTGTCAATAGAAATAATAAAGTCTCTCATACTCTTGCTAGCATATTACAAAGTCCTGGATTCAAAGCGAGTTCAACGGTATGAGGGTCAGCACGTATAAGAAAGACGTTTTTAAGCTAAACCATTCGGGAGCAGCGTGGTTGAATTCTGATTGAGAGAGGAAAGATTGGAACGATGATAATCCATAATTTGTTTTTACAGCTCTACAGACAGTTGACGATAACATAGCAGCGAATAGTTCCAATGACATAGTACCTCAAACGCAAAAACTCGTACAATCAACACCATTGACAACATCTTCAACGTCTACATCGACGAGTACATCGACTAGTACATCGACGAGTACATCGACTAGTACAACGACTAGTACATCTGCCACAACATCAACTACGACATCAACAACTCCAGCTACAACAACATCTACAACAACAACCACAGCGAAACCAACAACAGTCAAAGTACGCAAAACAACTCCTAAGAGAATAGCTACAACTCGAAAGTTGACTACTAAAACTATTCCAAGCACCACTACTACAGCAATTCCGACTATAACTAAAACTACTGCAGCTACTGCGGCTCCAACAAAATCTTCGCATGGAGTATCAAGGACGATAGAGAATCATAACGTCTACCATGAACTTGTTGAAAAGGCTAAGAAGGAGCAAAGTCTTGAAGCGGTGAAAATAAAAGAAGCAAGTGCCGGTGAGAAATTTTTACGCCATTTTTAGGGTTCCACACTAACACAAGACTATCTGTCATCAGATTTACGATAGAGTTGATATTTCAATTAAAACAATACAAAAACAATTTTGACGTGCTAGTTGGTGTTATGGTAGCAATGTATGGCTAATAATCATCGAGTCATGGGTTCGAACCCCACCGAGTCCTACATATTTCTTATAAATTTTTCCGAAACATGTTCGACTTTGTTTGGGAATCTGGGTGCTAAGTAGGTGGTGGAAATATCGAAATTCTGTCCGTGTGACCACCATCCGTCAAGCCGACCAGTTCAATTGCGTTTCGCTTTCGATCTGTGGATTTTCGAATATTTAAATCCAAAATAGGCCGATAACGCATCTGGTTTAGATGATATATGGCTGCGGTATTTCAACAATCATTAAGTGAACCCGATGCGTGCCTGTCCTAACTGTCTAACATAAAAAAATAAAGAGCCAAATAGGCTAAAAAAGGTTACAATATGAATTTTTAAACCTATTAAATGCTACGGAACCTTGTGTCAGCATAGTACAACTCGTACTATGCTGGTTTTACTTATTGGCCATTTAATAAATAAAAACCCGCTATTTTTATTCCAGATTCAAAATCAGGTAGCGCGTGGAAGGTACTTTTAATTCTGTGCAGTGTGGCGCTATGCGCTTGCGCCGTTACGTGGTTAGGTTATACAGCGCGATCCGCCAGAGGTCGCTTCGCAATCGTCCGGCTACGTTGTCGAGCACAGAACGACCAAGAAGTTCGATATCTCTCGAGCGATGTTGATGATTGACAATAAAGTTATTTTCCTATTGGTGATTATTTTATTTCCTACTTCTAAAGGGGTGTAAAAAATATTCAGTTAGGAATCGTACCACGTAATCCACGACGATTTGAGTCCCGATCGTGCTAACAATTTTTTAACTTAAAATTAAATTTATAAATCTTTATCAATCTAAAGTCAGTATTAAGATAAAAACTTATAAACGAAGGTTATAAAATAAAAAAATTTAAGCTTATCCAAAATATTCTTCATATCCTATCCATTTTAAATATTTTACTACAGAGCTGGAAATATATTATGTATTATTTTTCCAGTTTCAATTTAACGCTAGATGGCGTTAATTTGCAGACCTATATTTAACTGTCCTAGTTGTTTAACCCGCAACTGTATACAATTCAACTACACGAAATCGCTCCACAGATTCCAGAATCGTCATAATTCCCACACAAAAAATAGCAACACCGCCGAAAAAAATCAAGTGCCCGACGCAAACCGGAAACGCGGGCTTATACGAATTGCTGACCTCGTTTCCACACATTACCCCGTTTTTACAATGTCACCCGGCATGAGGGCGCAGCCTTCAGCGATACCTTATCACCACTATCGACCCACAAGCGGTACTCCGTTCCGCGCACGCGCAAAATGGTTGCGGACAGTATGACATTTGCCTACCGCACAGAGACACGGCAGAGACCCGACGGAGCTGTAAAATTGTAAATAACTAGTGTTTCCAAATTCGAATTTCAAATGTCCACGGAACGGATTGTGCAAAATTGAAAAGCGGAAACAGGGGATAGGTGAGTTTTCCCGTTTATTGGATTTGTGCATTTTTAGAGATCGGATAAAAAGAAGTCTTCTAAGTAATGTGTAATCCCTAATAATAATGGAATTAAAATATATTTTCATTTATTCTAACAGCATTAGAATGCTTACATAAATGTGTGCGACGTTTGTTATTGGTAGGTACTGTACGAAACGGTATGGAGAAAATACTAAAAGATAACGCTATGTCGTGTTTAGCGTTCTTGAATTTAGTAGGATTACGTCATTCAGTCTATGAATTATCTGAAAACAACACATGAAAAATATGTTATTACAAAACGTTATGGCTTCACTAGCCTTTAGTTATCTATATATAGCTCTTAGTTTCGCGAATAGGAAGAATCTTGATCTTACTTCAAAATAACTGAGAAACGCATAACATTTACTACCTTCGTTACATATTAACTATTTCAGGTTTCCAACGTAAAACTGAAAAAAATAACACTGCTAAAAAATTTTCTCAACTAACCAAGATGTCACTTGTTTTACTAAATTTTATTATGAGTCTCATATATCAAACGTCTGTGTTCTGTGCGAAGGAAATTATTATAAAGTTTCCCCAGGATTCAAACCCTGGACCTGTGCAATAAACACCTCTATAATCGATTTGAATTCAACGTGTTTTTGTGCTATTCTTTAGCAATTCACAAAAAAAAAATATTACAAGCTTTTAACTTCTTGCACATTGTCCAAATTAATTTATTTTATTATCTAACTAATGTTACTTAAAGGAGATTACTTGATAGCTATAAGGCCCGTTACACATGACAGTTTTAATTTCCTCTTTATATAATTGTGTTAAATAAATATTTGATAATTGATCGTTAAATTAAATAAAACATTATTAACGTGAATCTCTAAAAGTGAAACGGTTAGAAGTTCATATTTCATTTATTTTAACAACGCCCTGACGTCATATGTTTTAGAGCAGCCGTGGTCAAGGGAGGAAACGTCATTTTAACTAAAATATTTCAAATTATATAATTAGTCACAAGTGTTTTAATTAAATGTATGTTACTCGCGTACATTTCAATTGTTTTTTTTTTACTTTTTTGTGTGTTTTTGAACTATACACATATTATATTTACCTTATAACATTTTCTATTACATCACTAATATACAGAATCGAATGTTGCTATGTGTTCTTTGTCTTTGTCACAGATTTTTCATTCCATTAGTTTTTCGTAAAAGAAAGAAGAGAAATTCAAGATATTAAGTGGGTGTATTGAACTACCGTCAGATGAATATCCCGTGAAGCTTAATCGAGTTTCGGTTTCATTTTGTCGATTTTCGAATGCTCAACGCCATAGGTCGACATCACATAATATTTTTCATGTTACATAGCGCGGATAATTTATCGTGTAACTACATGCTTGTCTATTCTCCTCAGTCCTAAGAGAAAAAACACTTTATAAAAGAGTCCACAAAAAGTTAACTTAAAGATAATTTAACTAATACATTTCGCGTTTTAAACCGTTAAAAGTGTTTTATTTAATAAGTCGCACAAAAATACATTTCTCATTGTTAATCTTAACCAAATGGAATCAGCGGTTCCTTCATAAACATACTTATAGCTGAGTAAGTTTTGGCTTCATTCCAATTGTTCTGAGCGCTTACTTCAAGGCCGCGTTGGTTACGTAATAAGTAAGTCTTCTTACTCAATATGATCAGATATCAAATATAGACTAAATGGTTTAAAACATGAAATATATTACTTAACATATATTTTATGTTTAAAACCGTCGGCCTGACGTTTTGGACGCTTTCAGCAGCCTTCAGCAGCATTCTACTTATTTCGAGTTTTATACCGTTCACAATGTTATATTTGATGTGTACTTCGAGTAAACTACAGGCAGTACATAACATAATACATGAAGTGACATCCCGTTTCCCCCTCGTGGGGCGTGGGGCGAACACATTTCCGTGTCCGTTTCATTGACCCGTTTTTAACAGGCAAATAGTTGATAAGACTTCTGTGCTCTACCCGACCGGAACAACTTATTTTGTTCCCCTGGGATTCAAACCCAGGACCTCTCGCGAAAACTTTTAACCATTTGGCTTCAGAGCTGGAACATTACACATACAATTAAAATAATGATAAAAAGAGAACAAAAAATAATGATAAACCACTCAGTTTTAACTTAACTGGATTTAAACGTCTGAGAGAAAGACTTCGACAGGATTAAAAAGAGAATTATAGTAGTTAATTTATTTTTAATATATTTCAACTATGGTTCGACGTTTCGAACGCTTAGCAGCAACCGTGGTCACGGGGGTGGAGATAATAGGTCAAATGGTCCCTAATGTCATAGTCAAATCTGCTGCGCTAGCGCCATCTATATTGTTATGTATACCATATAGTGGAAATCAATATTTTGTTTGATGTATTACGATATGTCTATATTTGACTTGATGGCAGGGGAAATACGTCAGCCTATAGCATCTAAACAAGATGTACTGTCGACCTTTTATGGCTTTGGATATTCAAAACTTCACAGACTAGAACAGAAACGTGATTACTTCACGGTTTTTTAATCTGTGGACGGTGGTTCGTGAGCCGAACGGAATTTCGATATTCCTACCACCCACTTAATATCAGATCCAGACGAAGCCTAACATCTTCAGAAAATACTGTCTATAGTTTACGCGAGTAGTACACATTTAAATAAAACACTTTAACGGTTTAAAACGCGATCATTTTCAAATAAGTTTAACTAATATATCGCGTTTTAAACCGTTAAAGTGTTTTATTTAAATCTTCAGAAAAGTTATAAATTGATTAGGAAAATGTTGGACCCGGTGGGAATCGAATCCCCGACCCGTTATGAGCCGTACATCGCTGCCGTCACACCCATTCGCCCGTTGAAATTTATTATTGCAATACATCCTTATAAGGCTTTATTGAAGTTTGACAAAATCCACTTGCCTATTAGGGGTAAAACATTGGGGTTGAAATTAGGCTTATCCCCGGGGAAAACCGACGTATAGTTGAATTAAAGAGGGTTGGCTGCCGCTTGACTAGTTTTCATTACTTAAACAATTTTCATATAAACTAGTTATTTCTTTCTTTCCATTTTGCGATCTCTTTCCCCATTTAAAGTAATTGTATTGCAAAATTTTAAAGTAAATTGTTGTCTTCTTCTTATTTTCTTTCTTTCTTCTTCTTCTAAGTCATTAAAAACTATCTATGTATTACATACAAAGAACACAAAGAAATCTAACACGCATATGCTGTAGCGGACATTTTTATTATTATTTACAGTAAAATAATTAATCTGTACATATTTTTGGGTATCTTAAAACGTTTTCGCACGCAAGGAAAACTCTCAAAGATGACCAATTTTCCACATTTCCCACTATTTATTCGCTCCTATTGGTGGCAAAAGAACTTTTCAATTTAAATGAGTAGCTCCTGAGATTAACGCGTTCAAACACACATACTTCACTTTTAGAATATTAGTATAAATTAAATCAATTTAGTCAAAAACCAAATACAACACTGCTACTAGTGACGGACAATAAAATAAACACGTGAAATATTAAAAAAAAATTATATTATCGGTGTAAATATTATATTTGTGTAATGAAGACTTTTATTATTAAATACTGTCTATAGTTAACGCGAGTAGTACACATTTAAATAAAACACTTTAACGGTTTAAAACGCGATATATTAGTTAAACTTATTTGAAAATGATTTTTAACTTATATATCGCGTTTTAAACCGTTAAAGTGTTTTTTTTTTTAAGTTTTATTATTATTAAATTTATCTATTTTTTAACGATGGACGTGAAAGCCTTACACAATTTATTATCTATTGTTGTTCAAATAAAACTTGACGATTTAAACGGTTAAAAATTAACTATGGTCCGATGCCGACGTTTTGTATGCTTTACAGCAGTCGTGGTCACGGGGAACTAAAATAAAAATAAGCTAAATTTTCGCATTTAAAATAGTTAAGTGTTTAATTACAAAGATCTACTCGCGTAATCTTTGCCGCAGTAGGATAACTAATTGATGTATCACGTGTTTTAAACCGTTAAGAGTGTTTTATTTAAAAACAACCTATATCATGCGTTTAATTAGTCTCGTTAGCTTTGTCAGTTATCTCAAAAGGCGATTAATTTTCGATAAGATAAATGTTGTAATGCTTCACTTATATATCACGCTTTAATTAATAACCGAAAGCCATGTTGTCGAAAGTTGTCGAAAGCGTTCATAGTAGGTCACTTCGAATAATTATTTTTACAATAATTCTTCTGTAGTTGACGCGAGTTATAAAAAGATATTCAGCGCAATAGTGTTCTAGCTAGCTGAAGAATTTGTTTGTTTGATCGCGCTTATCTAAGGAACTACAGTTTCGAATTGATAAATTATTTCTCTTATACCAGTTATCGAGGATGTACCAGTTATCGAGGATGGCTTTAAGCTATAAAACATCAAGCTGCAACCAATAGGAGCGAAGAAATAGAATAGAAGAAGAAAATGATTTATCTTGAGAGCTTCCGTTGCGTGTGCTGCGAAAAGGTGAACCGTTTTCGCAGCACATGCAACGAAGGAACAAGAACAAAGAAATCACGAAAACGAATCAATATCAATGAAGTTTAAAATAATTATTCCTTAAATGAGCTAAAAAATGTCGGCGACAGTATATGTCTGTCTATCTATGTTTAAGATTAACTCGCAAGTACGATCGGACGATTTCAACGTCGTGGGTAACATCTATAATTGTGATTGTTTGTGAAACTAAATACTATTTAAATAAAACACTTTAACGGTTTAAAACGCGATATATTAGTTAAACTTATTTGAAAATGATTTTTAACTTCGGCCCGACGTTTCGGATGCTTTGCAGCAGCCGTGGTCACGGGGAAGCCCTTTCAAATAAGTTTAACTAATATATCGCGTTTTAAACCGTTAAAGTGTTTTATTTAAATATTATTTAGTGTCACAAACAATTTAAATGTATACTACTCGCGTAAACCATAGACAGTATTTAAATAAAACACTTCTAACGGTTTAAAACTTGTTTAGAGTTTTGAAAGCGAAATATATCAGTTAATTGACTACGATGTTTCGGATGCTTCGCAGCTCATATTTTATTTGTTATCTTGGATATTTTCTCATCAAAATATTGGTGAATCTAATTATATTTGAGGGGATATCATTGATGCCGCCCAATAAAATTTAACGGCGTGATTTTCGCGGAGCTAAGCCATAAAACCGAGATAAATGTAATAAATATTGCTTAATGCTTAATAAATATCGCCTTAAGCTAAGTTCATTATCTACACTAATATATAAAGCTTGTTTGTATGTTTGAACACGCTAATCTCAGGAACTACTGGTTCTAATTGAAAAACAATTGTGTTTTCATTTATCTTATTTATAGGAGCGAAGAAACGGTGGTAAATATGGAGAAACGGGGAAAATAATTCATTTGTAATCCGGTTTTTTTCTCTTCGTTTTTTATCCGTTGCCTGTGATGTGAAATCGGTTTATACATTTTTTTTTTAATATTTTGGTCTTCGTCGGGAAATACGGATATTAAACGGGTAATAGGAATTTCCAAATTCCGATCGGGTTACGAGCCGCCGCGCATGATAAAGCCGTAAGGTTTAATCGCGTGTTGATTTCTAACTACATAATATAATGATATATGATATAAACTATATAATGATTTAGAACAAGCCAGTTCCGAGCAAAGACAAGTAAAGTCAAGATCTTCTTAGTTTCACAATTTTCAAAGGAAATCGAAAGATTAGGAGAACATCTCAGCGATATCACGAAGTGACTATTCTTTGAGTCTTCGGCCTTGACCGAGGAAAATACCTACTTCTTGCACGTGTGAAGATTCGACCTTAGCACCTTGATAGCATCTACCCTCACACATTGTTTATATTCTAAATTAAATCTCAATAACAAATTATAACTTTAGTCTGTATTTAACGCGAGAGCAAAAATTTAAATAAAACACTTTTAACGGTTTAAAAAGCGAAATATATTAGTTAAATTATTTATAATTTCTTTTTCCCGTGACCTCGGTTGTTGCAAATCATCGGGAGTGTCGTCGGGCCGTAGTTAAAATAAATTGTAAATAAATTACCTAATATACTTAACTTTTTAAAACGTTAAATATTGTCTGTAGTGCGCAAGTAGTACACATTTGAATAACGCTTTAACGGTTTAAAACGCGATATATATTAGTTAAACTTATTTTTAACCCGTTTCTCCCCGTTACCACGGCTGCTGCAAAGCATCCGAAACGTCAGGCCGTAGTTAAAAATTATTTTCAAATAAGTTTTACTAATATACATCGCGTTTTAAACCGTTAAAGTGTTTTATTTCAATGTTTTCAACAGGTTGAAGCGTGAAGTGTGTTTTTATTTAAATTAGTACATTATTACTTGTGACGCTTGTGCATAACTGCAATGTACATTGGAACAAATAAAAGCCTTCGTCTTCCCGTGACCACGGCTGCTGCAAAGCATCCGAAACTTCGGGCCGAAGTTAAAAATCATTTTCAAATAAGTTTAACTAATTTATCGCGTTTTAAACCGTTAAAGTGTTTTATTTAAATGTGTACTACTCGCGTAAACTATAGACAGTATACAAATAAAAGCGGCAGTAAGAATATTGAAATACCGTCCGGGTCACATCGCCGTCTATAAATCAAACATTAAGGGTGTTCAAGCCCATTAAATAGTATAAACAAATATTAAGACACATTAAGTTCGAACAAGTTACAACTTAAAAAATACTTTTAATTTAAACGGTTTTATTTTTTGTCCACTGAAAATTACAAAAAAATATAAATTTGACATAATTATCGTGTTTTACTAAAGTAGCCATTTCATTGAGCAATATTGAGGCGTTTAAGGAAAAATATGTAATCCGCCATTTTGTATCGGCAGCCATCTTAGATTTATAATGTTTTTGATTTTATTATATTGTATTGTCATCTAATGTAAATTGTATTATAAATAAATTAAATGAATAAAATATAAATTTAATTGTATTATATATTATATTGTATTCTTATCTAAAATGCATATGACAACGAGAAGGCGCTTTTTCAATTTCTAATTTTGACCCAAATAAATAAATTCTGTACGAGTCGAGCTAAATAAAACCGTTTAATAACACCGACATCGTAACGGAGCAGCCCAGACATAGTTTTTACTTGATAAATGAAATTAGGAAATTCTTTCAATTTACATCCATACAGATTCCAAAATATAGTAATAGAATCGTGTGTTTCATGAGGGTTTACTGAAATGACTCTAGGCGGCAGCGCTGCGTCGTCAAGTTAAGAAACTTGTCAAAAAGTAGCATATTGCCTATCGTTATTTTACATATATTCGTTATTATTGGTTCAGAATTTAGCCAAATTGGTACAAACTAGTGGCGTAAATGTTCGTAAATACTGTCACTAAAAACCCATTATTATAAGCCATACATTGCTACTATAAATCCAACTACCCTCTAGAATTGTGACAAGATTCTACAAAATGAATACATAGAACAGCCATAGACCTTATTTAGAAACATTTACCGTGTGTTTCCTCAGGGAATAGCGAGAAATGTCTATGCTCGACTTACCGACCTTATTTATAATAACACAAGGTACATATTTACTTACAACATCACTCGATTCAGTTATCTTTCGGCGCGAAGCTAGTTTTCTCTGTATATTAGCTATAAAGATAACATAATGACTTATATATCCTTACAGATATACTAGCTATGCCCGCGACTTCGTTTGCGTCCTTCATTCTTGCAAGTTAATCTTAAGTCTATGTTAATTTGGAGATGAATCATTCTATCATTTACTGGTTTTCTGAAGCTTTTTCGCAGCCCACGCAACGGAAGGCGTAATATTAAATAGCGTAAAGCCATGAGGAAAACCAAAACGATTAATTTATCAGATCGAACCGCTAGTTTCTGAGTTTTTTTTTTATTATTAGTATAGATTTATTATTACATATATCGAATAAAGAAATATTAGCTGTCTCATCAAAAATATCCTTGTTTCAGAAACAAAATGATCGACCCGAGCTCATCGGAAGAAGATAGCGACGATGAACACAAGAAACAGCCTTCAAAACTACCAGGTATTCATAACTACATACAATATATATTTTTGCTCGACTAAGCGAAAACAGTCTGTCTTCGTGAACGAGCAACATCTGTCGATGATGTCATACACCCGTGATTGCGAAACGTCGAGAGTTCTCTATTACGACGGCCGAAAAGGTCGAAAACCCAACAAACTTTACTAAATGACCGTAATCCATAAAATATTACAAATACTTATATTAAAAATGTTTTTTTTTTTATTGAAAAAAAATACGACAGGGGCGGCTAAACAATTACGTTAATTGGAAAGAAGTTTGATAACCATAAAAAACGGTTATTTATATAACCTTAAAATTATAAAGACTTCATCTGTAAAACGTATAATCCAACACAAAATATTTTTTTTAATTTAAACCAGTTGTTCCTGAGATTAACGCGTTCAAACAAACAAACTCTTCAGATTTATTGTATGTATTAGTATAGATTAGGAATTAATCTATATCTCGACTTTTTTTTACCATTAAATCAATTACAAATGTGATACTTTAACAACACGAAATCGCACACTGTCGTCCCTTTTGTTCATCATTGTATATAGGCACATACCTGGAAACCCCAAGATCCTAATACTCTCTTGAATCTCTCTTTACATATATTAAACGAAAAGTTAAGAAGTATATAATTATATGTCAATTTAATTGATGACATAAACGAGCTCAGGCCGATTTCCGTCTGCGCTGAAAAGAAAAAAAAGCAATTGACAGTGTCAACTGTGAATAACAGTCCGCGAGTGGTCGATGGCGATAAGAGTCGCGTCGTAACGTGAAGCTCAGCGATGGCTCTACCTGGTTGCTCCTGCAGTAGCGGTATATTGGCGACGGCATTGGTAGCGCTGCTGCTGCTGCCCGCTCGCTACTATATACCCGAGTTCAGCTTGAAGCAGCAAACGCTCGATCTGGAGCCACGCCCATCAACCCATGGCCTAAATCCATGGCTGCTAAACTTCCCCCCTTTCGATGAGTTCCTCGCTATGCTCCTGGTCCTTTGGGCTACTATCACCCACTTGTGCGACTGGATCCAACGGAAACTGATGGAGAGGAGGTTCTTGAAGGTGAATGAGCATCTGCGCGAGTGCTTGGAACGTCTGCGCTTGTGGGACAAACGACAAGAGCGAGTGGAGGCGACCCTGCGGCTAGTGCAAAGCGCGACGGGGGAGTACAACCTCCTCGCGTGGATGCTGCTGCGCCGGCGGCGGCTGCTGCCCTCCGCCTCGCCCAACCGCTTCTTTGAAAAGGACCTTGACGATATAGATTTCTTAGACGAACTTGACTCACGACGACTGAACGGACTATAGTATTATTAGTGGTTTTGATAAACGTTTATATTAGAGCACTTGTTTGTTATACGCGCGTGCGTATTTCCTCTTGAACTCACCCTTCTATAGTGTATTTTTTCTAACTTGGCATTTTTGGTAAACATAGACATAATTTACATGGAATCGTGATTTTCTCTCAAGATTTACGCTGAAAAACACTTTGAGAAACTGGATGATATATGTTCAAGTAATAAAACTGCCTCAAATTCACTTTAAAACTACAAATTCATGCCAAATTTATACAAATACTAAACATTAATGTACCTAATTTAACAGATTAAAACTTCTTTAGTTTGACATTTCCAAAGGGATGGGATGTATGCACTGTGTCTAGACGAAGGGAGGTAGATGTCCCACTCATGCACGATCGCTGAAGTGTTACAAATAATAATAACATTTTTTGATAGGTGTTATACAAGTTCAAATAAACAAACTCTTCAGCTTTAAATATTAGTATAGATAGATATAAGAATAAGTCTTTCAATAACGTAAACAACATGAGTATTTTATACACAATTCATTTTTATACTCGAAAGAGTTTAGTACTCAAGTAGGTACGGTCGTTATAGAAAATTAATAGCTTTATTGATTTACATATACAAAACACGCACTGCTGACACCCTCTTTGTTACATGGCGCGAGCAATCAATTTAAAATTATTGCTTGTGTTTGGTGTTTTGTACAGGACTTAACCATTTTATACATATATATAATACATATATCCAAATATATTTCATTGTTACTACGCCAAGAATTTTTTTTAAATGAAATTAATATTATTATCTCTGGGTTACGCGAAAATTACAATTTAAATAAACCATTTTTAACGGATTAAAATACTAAATATATTGTTGGTGACATGATTATGATTTATATACTACGACGAAACAGGTGCCACTAGCGTAGAAGATTTGACATTGACATTAGGGATACCCCCTCCATCTTCAGTCCCCCCGTAGTCATGGCTGCAACAAAGCTGATTGTCGTAGTTAAATTGAGTTGACCATTATATTTCGCGTTTTAAACCGTTAAAAGTGTTGTATTTATAAAATTATAACTATTTCAGTATTTACATTACGTTTTCTAAGATTTAAATTTGTACAAAATTCAAAGGTTTTGATGTAGCAGTTCCTGAGATGGCTAGTTACGGACGGACAGACAAAGTCTGCGGGCTCCCGTTTGTATTCTTTGTATACGGAACGCTAAAAAGAAAAACTTTTGACGAGCTGGTTGGTCCAATATATGGCTAATAATAATCAACGGGTCGTCGGTCTAACATGTTTATAATTTTTCAATTTATAATTTTCCTGAAACATATTCGACTTCGTCTGGAAATCTGGATATAAAATGGGTGGTAGGAATCGAAATTCCGTCCGGGTCACGAACCAACGTAAAACATAGGCTAAAACTAGTAGAAATTACACAATGAAGAAACAGTCGGGAAGTTATATTAAATGTCAGAATTAACTTCTGAAGAAATATGAGCTATATTAGGAACAACAGTGTAAAGAAAAACCGGAAACGGAGATCGGATTGTGTACATGCAATGGGACTCCTAGTTCCAGGTCCAAACTAGGTCAACGTATTATATACGGCATAGTATGAAGTATTAATAGTAATAAATTTATTTAGCAACACGTTTACGGGTTGTAATAAATAACTTGTCATAAACAAATGTTACACAATTACATACGTATGTTTCAATTCCGTTATTATATAGTAATAACTACTGTCTGCAGTTTAAATTGGAAATATTAAATTAAAAATAAATAATATAAAAAAATATAATAATAACTCTTTATTGCACAAACACCCGCGGCAATATATTTTAAATGATGGACTTTTAAGATGAACTAACAAACACCGTTAACGGTTTAAAACGCGATATATTAGTTAAACTTATTTGAAAATGATTTTTAACGTTTCGGATGCTTTGCAGCAGCCGTGGTCACGGGGTTTTCAAATAAGTTTAACTAATATATAGCGTTTTAAACCGTTAAAGTGTTTTATTTAAATGTGTACTACTCGCGTAAACTATAGACAGTATTTAATTAAATGTTGGTCAAATTTCTTCATAAGCCAATAAAACTGTTTGCCAGGTCAGCTAAATAATATTCTAGAACTTATCTGCCGTGTATTAAACTAGGCATATAGACTGTGTTATTACCAGAACAGTATACGTCACAGGAGATGTAGGTATCTCTTGTACCGCAGACAAGCCCTTACGAGCGAGTACTCTCAACTCTACAAGGCTCTTATGCCCTAGTACATGTCATCTTCAAGGTAATGTTACATTTTCCTGGAAAAATATTTGAAAGCCTTTAGCCATGTCCCTTTATTAGGCGAGGAGACGCTAAGCGTCGTACCTTGAAGTTTTCAATAAATTTGAGGCTGCTAGAAGCTAGTGGCCTAATAGAGAAACATAATTCCAATAAGGAAGAAAATGAATTTGTCCCATTATTTGTGTAAGAATAATGGGAACAAATTTCGGTCACTGTGCTCTTGTGGATTAACATTTTTAGACTATAAAAATATAAATAAGCAAGTCATTGAATTGCAGTTAGGCTACTCTGCCCTTGGCGGCCTTATATTTATATATGGAAGGTGAAATAACCCAGCAATATAGCATTTAAAAAAAATGCGCTATGTACCTATTTAGGCTTTGGATGTTCGGAAATCCACAGACGGAAACCGAATCGCAATTAAATTTTAAGGCGTTTTGCTTTGAACGGTGGTTCCGAGCCTGGATGGAATTAACCAACTATTAAGACCAACATGATTTAGAAAAAAAAAATCATTAAATACATGCCCCTTTACTCTAGCAGATGTTTACTTATTAGTTATAACAATCATCGGACCAAATTCAAAAGTTTGAATTTTCGTTAATTATTTTGTCTTGTCGGTTTGATTGACCTATACGAGAAAAGACATACACCTGTTTAAAGTTAGGCCTTTATAAAATGGACGTCTACTGTCACCATTTCATGTCTACATTTTACATGTAAGATGCTAAAAAACAGCAAAACTCTTCTTAATCAGCAAAAAAATAACGGTTTAAAACGCGAAATATATTAACTAACTTGACTTTATATTTATTTCAACTACAGCCCGACGTTTTAGAAGCTAACGCTTCACGTTTTAAACCGTGAAAAGTGTTTTATTTAAATACTAGGTCACGCGTGAACTACAAATCAATTATTTCATGTCTGTATTGGTTCAAAACTACCCGTGCTTTTTAGTCGATTTTAATTTGAAAATAAAAACAGAAAATACATAATTTCGTCTAGTCATCTAGGGCAGGAGGCTTCAGCGAGAGATCATTAGCGCAGCAGAGTGGCTGCAGGTATAAACATTAAGAATTTAATACATCGCATGAATAAACGAGCTGCTAAATAACGTAACGAATTCAGCACGGGAATTGTAATTTTAAATCAGGGAGTAACACTTCTAAATAAAACACTTTAACGGCTTAAAACGCGATACATATTAGTTAAACTTTTTCGAGAATAATTTTAACTACCGCCCGTCGTATCGGATGCTACATAGCAGCCATGGAGTCTCGGACTTTAGTTAAAATTATTTTTAAATCGAAAAAAATCGACGACGCGCGGAACCCTGTGAATGCCAGTTCAAGTCCCGCCAACGTGGTTATGTTTTGATTCCAGTAACGACATAATGATCGTATGTATTCGAAAGTAAGCCAAAACAGTTTTTACACTGGAGGTCGTCTACCAATATAATTCTCAGTATCAAATTAATTTTGCTAAGTTTAGCAAAACAAGATCAAAGATTCCACCAAATTTCTAATTAAAACACAACGTAATTAATATTCTGTTTACATTTACTTTAAAATAACCGACTCAGTCGAATCGTAAGTAATAGTGTTATAATGTTGTTAGGTTGTAACCTTCTTTGTACAGTCAGAGAAAAAATAATTCACGACGTTGCGTTGAGATTGGGTTTTTCCAATCTCTACATTAACCGAGTAGGAATATATTATACATATAAACAGAAATGTTTTAAATAATAAAATATACGATATAAATATAAGGGTTGCCTGGAAAAGATCGCTTAATAGCGATAAGGCCGCCAGTTACACTACATACTTTATAGATATTATTATTATGTTTAGTTCATTGTAATTGTGTGCGTGTGTTGTGTAAAAATTATAAATAAATTTCCTGGAATTTAAATGTTGATGTGACGTTAAAGTACATCTGACCTTTATGTAAGCCGTCTTTGCCAGTTGCAGCAGTCTCCATCTATGATTATTTTAATAATAATAATTTATTTGTCAGACCATAGATCCATACATTATTTTAAAATAATACATAATTAATTAATTCTAATGTGCGTTAGTTGGGTTAGTAACAATTAAAACGTTTCAAAAATATTTTTAAACGTTTCAAAAATATTTTTTATTCCACTAAAAAAGTGGTACTTATTTTAAATCAATTGTTTGACGGGCTGGGACGTAGCAATGTCTAACAATCAATGGGTCCACGGGTTTAGATTCCTATCGGATCCAATCCAATTTTTCTGAAACATGTTCTTCGTCTGGAAATCTGAATATTAATCGGGTAGTAGGAATGTTAAAACTCTGTCTGGGTTACAAAGCCGCGTCCAAAGATAAGAAAGCGGTCAAGTTTAATCGCGTTTCGGTCTGTCGATTTTAAAATATCCAAAGGTAAACAAGATGTATGTTTAAATAAAACACTTAAACGGTTTAAAACGCGATATATCAGTTAAACTTATTTGGAAATGATTTTTAACTTCGGCCCGACGTTTCGGATGCTTTGCAGCAGCCGTGGTCACGGGGAGACTGACCATTTCCAAATGAGTTTATCTAATATATCGCGTTTTAAACCGTTAAAGTGTTTTATTTAAATGTGTACTACTCGCGTAAACTATAGATAGTATTTAAGATGTATGTTTATTATGTTATAAAAACAGTCCCTTAATAATCTGTTGTTAAAAGTCTTTTAATATATATGCTGTGTGCTTGTAATAAATAAACTTGTCCAAATAAGTCGACAACTCATCTACATTACATATGGAATGTCTTACCTTCTATCGATTCAATGTGGCAAAAGACTTGTTTGCAGTGTTTGTGAAATGTTAACTACATTTTTTGTTGACAGTTGTACCTCCCGGGACACTGGCTGGTGGAAGACCGTCAGTCCGGGGCAAACCAGAGATCCCCCGTGGTTCCACGGCTGGTCTGCCAGGTAATAAAAGTGGTACTTACCATAAAAAACGTTCAGCACGCGATATATATTAGTTAAACTTATTTGAAAATTATTAAGCCGTAGTTAAAATAATTCTCAATTAACTATAAACAGTATTTACCTTCCACGTTTTGATTTTTTATCCAGCGGAAATCGAACTCATGGTATGACAGTTATTGTTATGCTAACATGAGACCAATGAGCTCATTGCATTACTTTACATATCGTTGATCTATAACAATCTTTTGCTTTTAAAACGTCATAAGGTAATTTTAATTTGAGAAAAGTAAAGAATAGAAAAATTGAGTTTTGTTTGATATCAATTTTTTTTTTAATTTTAAATACATAGTTACTGCTTTTTGATAGAATGAGATTTTTGTGCAATATTTGTTGTAACTATATTATGTCTTTTTATACGTCTTACTTTAAAAATGTTCACCTAAACATTTTTCATACTACTCGAATTAGCTAGTTTTATGTTAAATATATGCGATATACACGTTTAGCCAGATGGTTAACCGTGTTGCATAGAAAGGCGTTAAGCGCAAGAGGTTTTATTATGTTCGAATGTCGGGTAAACAGTAAATTCGGCCAGGCAGAGTACAGAAGTCTGAACTACTTGCCTGTAAAAGAACCGATCAATGAAATGAACACAGAAATATGTTTGCCCCATGTTCGTTAGGAAACGGGTTTTTAGTATAATTATATTACTAGCTGTGCCCGCGACTTCGTCCGCGTGGAATAGTGACTTGGGGTAGAAGAAAGTTTCATTGTTCTACCTTCAAAAACCACGAATTTTCATACAAACTTTCATCCCCTTTTTCATCCCCCTTTTCAACCCCTATCAACCTTCTTTTGCCATAAAAAGTAGCCTATGTCCTTTCCCTGGCTCTAAAATGTCTGTGTACCAAATTTCATTCAAATCAGTTCAGTAGTCTCGGAGCTACTTTCGCATTTATAATATTAGTATAGATAGTATAGGAAAATATAATGAATTCTTAAATAATGCGACTCCTGAGTGCCTCGCATAGACTTAAAATGAAAGCACAACGTTATTTCAACTCAATTCAAACCTTTTTTATTTATAGAGCTTCTATTGCTTAAGTTATAGCGGCACCGAATTTTAAACAGCCCTCACGAGGAAAACGTTGAGACAGCATTTTCCGAAAATTGAACTCTCGAACATTCAAGTTTTTCTTTATTGTGCCAATTCTAGGGACAATTTATAATTTACCGCTGCAATTTTTCATATAGTTCTTCATTAAACTGAAATCCATGATACGAGCGACCTATGAAGCCACGACCCAAGAGTGTTCTCGCTGTTATAATTCCCTTACAGTGTTTCGCGGCGTGAGTTTGTATTTTTTACCCTTTTTTTAAATAGGCACTCATGGTCATGATCATGTAAACATTTTAAATAAACCATGAAGGTTCTAAAAACAGTCTTTTCCTTTTTATTCCAAGTCAATTTAAATTTCAACCGTTAAAAACGCGATAAATTTGTATTAATTTTTTACCTAAAATATTTCGTTTCAGATGCTTTAAATTTACTTCAGAGGGACGTTATCGTATTTGAAATATATTCCACGTTTTAAACCGTTAAGATTTGTGATATCAAAGTAATTTCATTTCCTGTAAAAATACCTGTACGAGTCAACAATAATCTTTAATCTCTGTACGTACTCGTGCTTAATACGTTAATAAAAAATGTATACAGGAGCGAGTCCTCTAACAACGGCCCCCCTAGCCGCCCCCCTCCACCCGGCGACCCGACAGAGGGAGGCACAAGCACTTGCGCCCCCACAACACGCGTAAGTACTAAAGCTAATGTGATACACGAAATTGCCCAAAGGATTGAGAGCTTTGACGCTCTTGAAAGCTCGTGAGAAAACAAAAAACATCCGAGCTCTTTTGTTATTAATCATTCAGGGATTTTCGAGGGGAAGAATACATTATCTGTGTCTAAGTACTGCCTTTATTAAATGGTTTAATTACGTTAAATACAAGCTCCAGAGTTCCATGGGGTTCAAACCCTGATTAAAAAGATCTAGCTTAAACATTAGGACGGTACAACGCCATATGCTTATCCTAACTGCCTAAGAGTCTGTCGCGTAAATTCAGAACCTTCTTAGGACACCCTTGGTTTCCCCCTAGAATAACAAATGGTTTCCCCTTCGGGGCACACTTGGTCTCCCTCTTGGGGCACACTTGGTCTTTCCTTGGGGGCACTGTTAGTCTTGCCGCAAACACTCCAAAAAGTCCGGCTAGTAATAGTATAGTAGTAGTACCAATTCATAAAAGAATAAATTTAATGGATAACTTTGAAAGACTGTGCTGAACTAGGCGCTAACAGACTCTTAATTGTATCTTCCCTAAGGGAAACGCAATATCACAAGAAGTAGATAGATAAAATAGATTATTTCATGGTCATTTCGTCTCACGATACATTCCGTTATTAGCAAAGTAGCTTTATACGATATATACTCTAGTAGTTCTCATAACATAAGCCAATCTACAAACATGGGCCAATAAGCAATTTACCACACGAAAGGACGATTTCGTTTAATTAAAATGTCCAAATGCGGTGGTCGATGTATGTAATGTCATGTTCATCAAATTATTAAACGCTATCGATCGTTCAGATCGTTCTTACGCAGGACGTCGACTGGGAGCGCCAGTTCCGGGGAAGCACCGGCACCGTCGCCAAGTCCATCCGGGACAAGCCATTCGGATAAAGATCAAGATCCACAGGTATCTTTATTATTAAACATCTTCGCTATATTATGTTAAGTTAGTGTATGATAAACTGAAATCCCTCTTCCCCCATCCCCAGGAGTTGGACTTGTTGCCCGCCATGAATTATCATTAGTTTTGGCTCATAGATTTTTTAATTATACGCCTTGCTTAAGCACTTCAAACAAATTGTTAAATACGACCCTCTCACCTTAATCGCTTAGTTGTAAAACTTACAACATAGAGAGAGTTTTTTGAGCTTAACATTTGGGTTTGGTTCGGTCCTTTTCTTTAGCTCTAAAGCTTCCGACGATGTTGCTCCGGTGTCTAGGCCGGAACCCAAGGTACCCAAGTAATAACTCTTACTAATCCGTTGATTACCTTATTCCTATTTGCTAAACTAAGTATGTGACACTTTTAATTTCGCACGATTAATTTAACATTGACAGTGACATGTTGACTTATCTTCTCTCTCACTCAGGAAAAGATCGAGAAGTTGGAAGAAGACAAGAAGAGAAGACTGCAGCTTTACGTTTTCGTGTCAAGATGCATCGCTCATCCTTTCAATGCGAAACAACCGACCGACATGACGCGGCGTCACACGAAAGTAACCATGCACCAACTGGAAACTATACAAGCCAGATTCCAGGTTTGTCATACAACAATAATTGCAGCAGCTGTGGTTGCGGGGATATTAAAGATGGAAGGTGTCTATAATGTCAAAGTAAGACATTATAGACACCTTACTGTTACGTTAGCGCCATCTGTTCTGTCGTTGTTGATATTAGCGAGCCGCGTCCTTGTAAAATGGGACTAACTTTTTAATATGGGATACCTGGGGTATTTGATAACTGGAGGCCATCTTCCACATTGAAAGTTTTGTGCTTTTTAACCAAGGGATTGTGACCACAGCTACTGAAACGTCGGGCCGTAGTTAAAATAAATTCCAAATATGTTTAATTACTATAAATCGTGTTTTAAACCGTTAAACTGTTTTATTTAAATGTGTACTATTCGCGTAAACTGCTCAGTACTCCCTTGATAAAATTAATATATTTATTACCCATTTGCATCGTTTTGCACCTTATCCCTGGTCAGATGTTCATAATTGCTTCTCTTTCAGGCTTTCCTCAAAGGGGAAACCCAAATTCTAGCGGACGAGGCCTTCCAAAATGCAGTCCAAGCGTACTTCGACATCTTTTTAAAATCTGAAAGGGTCGAACAAATGGTTAAAGCCGGCGCTTGCACTCATAATGACTTTAGAGAGGTCTTCAGAAACAATATTGAGAAGAGAGTCAAGTGAGTATTTTTCTTTTGATGAAGAACAAAGAGAAATAAAAAAGTACAGTACAACTGAACGGAGCAAGTGAATATTTTTATATTAACCTATTCTTTAAAGCATAGTTTGATATAATTTATGCCGAAGTTATGTAAAATAATATGACCAATTAAACGCAGATACTTAGTAACAGCTGGAATTTTGGGTTTGGTTAATTAAATATTAGGTAACAATATATATCGTTAACTTGTTTTATTTAAATTATTACTAACTCCAAAAATTAAAAGAAGTAGACAGACTTGCACTCCATCATGTGAATCCCTTGCTGGTCTGTGCTGTGGCATGTACAACTACATACTATATACATAGTATATTTATCATTGAATATTGGTTGTACTCTACAAGGTTGCACTGCCCTTTGTTGCAGTGAATGTATCTTCAAATCGCAAGCAGAAATCGACGGCCTGACAAAAGACACCGTGGTTACCACGTGGCTAGCCAAACTTGACTGCATTATGAAAGGAACCGGTGAGTGTATTGTTTATCAGGATACTTCGGGATTAGTTAAAACATAATTGTGTGTTAACTGGACAAGTAGCAAATAGAAGGATAGAGCGGTTATAACACAGGTTTAGAGGACTTGTGATTCCTTCCGACTTGTATTTGTTAATTGTCTAAAGATTTAGTACTTTAAATGAAATGTCTATATAGCATGAAGCTACTGTGTGAAGTTATGCTTGAGCCTGCAGGCCTGAATGTGTGTAACCAGTAGCGTAGCTAGGCGAACAAGGCCCCCGGTCTACCAAATCCTATGGCCTAAGAAAGAATTGGGCCCTCATGCCCTCTTTCAGCATAGCTTGAATTAAATGAACCTCCAAAATTATAAATAGCAACAAGACAAGAAGACCAGTTTATTCAAATACGTTGATAAAATCCTTTTCTTTTACGCTTAAATCTTTTCAAAGATGAGGTTAAGGGCCAAGTTCCGGGCCCTGCTGCATTGCACCACCTGGTCCTACGATAGCTACGCCACTGTGTGTAACTCTTTTCGTGTGCTAATAGTTGTTTCAAGCCAACAGGTATAATACATAAAAAATATAAATAGATGTAGCAGTAACAATAACAAAAACTAAATCAAAGATAATTCTAATAATCAAAGAGAAAACAATATAGGATTCTTATTTAAAATTTGGCTGTCTCGCACTAGTGTTTGGTTTGATTTCTTAGTATTTGTTTTGCTAAAATTAAAATTAAAAATAATTAGGTTACAAATAATCGTAATGCGGTGAAATGATTCCCTTCTTGGCGAAAACAGAACTACCCCACAATTGTTTGTAGATATCGAATAACGGAATTCCGAATTCAAATCCCATTTAACAAATTTGAATTTGGAACTCAACTGTGATGTTATATGTTTTGATATCAATGTGTGTCGCCTGCATCTGTCTCACTGTGTGTGTTTCTGTCCCACTCTTTCACGATGCCTCTCTCTCACATCCCAGGAATACCAGGTATCACGACATGAAAAATTCATTAATTCCTTTTTTCATACTTTTCGGCTTTTGTCTTGTGATGTTGCTTCGTGTTTTGGATGTTGTAGACAGGAACGGCTTTAGGGGTTCTGTATATTTATACCATAGAAAAGATACTATTCATATCACGATTTTTAACCAAAAGCCCTAACGCCGCATTGTATGTAGAGTTACATCATTATTTACAAAGAATATTCACTTGTCCACTTATATAATTTATTCTTTCTCACTATATACTAGTATTTTTTTTAGTATTACATATTTTTTAACAACAAAAAGCTATCAATTCAGCTTCTGTTTTGAAATATATATCTCTGCTCTTTAAACGTCGATTACCAAATATTTTCGTTAATCTTAAATATAATATAGACATATTTAATACAATTTTAATCTAATAACTTTATTCACTTGAAGGCTGTGGTGTAAGTACTATAATTCCACTTTTATTAAATTCTAATAGACATAGTTATTACTAGAATAAGTTATGGAACAATATACTAAGACATTTTATTACATTTTTGTAATCAACTCTCTTTCTCTCTTTAACTCTTTCTGTACTTATTTGTCCTCTTAACCTTTCCTTCCTTTCGCTCTCCGTCTATCATGAAATATACACTCATCGACCATCAGGCGTACCAGGAGACGATGAATCGAAACGGCCGTCTCGAGCCCAGCAGCAGAGTCTCAACGCCGAGTGCATCCTCAGCAAGGAGCAACTGTACGACATGTTCCAACAGATACTGGGAGTGAAGAAATTTGAGCATCAATTACTATTCAACGCACTTCTTGTAAGTAAATTAATTATTTCCAATAATAGGGATTCGCCGGTAAACAATTTGAGGGTTTTGCCAACAAATAAATCTTACATATCTTACCATATCCGGCATCCATATTGAGTCAAGCACCAGTTTTCAACCAATTACGAGTCGCTTCCGCTCTCTGCTTGATGCGCCCTCTATAGAACCTATCGCAAAGTACAGTTAGTCAGTCTCGAAGTACACTTTACTATTATAGTACTCAAAAATCACCTGGATTCCAAATTTTTATGAACAATAGTATCAACAGTACGAATCTTTTAAAAAAATACTCCACAACGGGCATTTTTGCACCATTTTTAAACCAATAATATTGAGAGACAGTTTTCAGTTCATCGAAAGTTATAAATTACAATCTAATTATGTATTTATAAAGTTTTCTAAATACATGACACATGCCTTTTCATTCTTTACTATAAATTAGAAAAATGATGATTGCTTGTGGGACTTTTATTACTCGAGTCTTGATTTAATTAAACCCCGATCTACTCTTAAACTTGTTTAATAAATTGAAATAAATTTTCGTACATGTGGCATAAAACTATTTTAAACCGTCGTAAATCCGCACTTTTTGCGCGTTTCGTAATTATGCTTTTGATAATAATTGTGAAACGAAAGTATATTGTCAACTTAATTTGGCATATCAAAACGTCAATGTCAATTCTAATAAAACAATTAGGACAGTTGTGAAGTAATGTTGTTATTGTTTATTATTTTACAACATCTATCTGATTATTGGTTTTACATTGCCGTATATTTAAATAGAAATTTTGGTTTAAACGATGATGTTTCAGATGTTAAAGTAAGCTAAATCAAAATGAATAAATCTAGTTATATGCTGTAAGTTGACCTAAAGGAGATAATAATATTGTATTACTTTATTAGCTGGATTCAGCAGACGAACAAGCAGCAGCCATCAGACGAGAACTGGATGGAAGAATGCAGAAAGTTAACGAAATGGAAAGGGTACGTTGAAATTAGAAGTCTTTGTTATTGAAATCCCTACTGTAATACTTGAAGTACTTTTGTTCAGAGTGAAGCACTTATTAACTAATGAAACTGCAACACTAATTAAGTATCAAGTGATCCAAGGTCTGAGAGAAGAGCTCCTCTTAATGTTACATGATTTGATACTTACCTACTGCAGAGCTAGTGTTTGGAAAATAAAATCATGCCATTACATTCTTTCAGAACCGTAAGCTGATGCCGAAGTTTGTGCTGAAAGAAATGGAGTCCTTGTACATTGAAGAGCTGAAGTCGTCTATCAACTTGTTGATGGCCAATCTTGAGTCACTCCCTGTCTCAAAAGGCGGGGCGGACTCAAAGTACGGCCTTCATAAAATCAAGCGGTATAACAACAGGTCAGTTTTAAACAACATTTACGATAATTTAATAAATTAAATTAAAATAACTGATCTTATATTATGGAACACATGTTTACAGGAGGTAGGAGAATGCTAATCACCAAAATGCAGAATAATATCTCTATGTCAACAAAAACATTTCATACAATACGAAACTTTAAAATGTTAATTGGTTATATAACACACAAATTTTCTTCTAAATTACCCTGTGTTTGTTATGTTTACTCTCTTTTTCTACTTGTTCAATTTTACTTTGGTTTTCTGCCCCTGGCACTGGACGGTCTGAAGGAAGTACAAGTAATAAGTCCATATATGATATAATTTGCGCACGTGTCTTGTGTAGCCGGACTTGTGTCACCTACTGATCCTGAATCCGTAACTTTAAATCCAAATGTTGTCATGTTGACCGCTGTAGATTTAGACAATAGAGTAGCTGAATTTAACTCATGCAGATGCATAGACACAATAAAATAGAATATTACCTTTTCAACAATCATTGTATCTGTGTGAGTTCGATGGAATGAAATACATACAACAATAGTGGTCTAAAATTCAAACCAAACAAAATATATTATTCAAAATGACAACAATGGATAAGCTTCCACATCGCCAGAATGCTTGTTTTTACTAGTTAACGATTTAGGTATTTTCAATGAGGAGCTTTCATAAATGCTTGTACAAAAATATAAACAGGAAAGCTAAGTAGATAACAACTTGTAGAAGCACTAACAAATTACAGCCCATATAATTAAATAAAACAGTATTAACGCTTTAAAAGGCAAAATCTATTAGTTCAATTCCTTCTAACACCCAGTTTTTGGGTGCTCGGGGGGGGGGCACTTATCTAAAATTTCGCGTTTTAAACTTTCAAAGTGTTTTATTTAATGTGTAGACCTTGCGTCAACTACAGACACTACTTTACCAGTATTTTTGTATTTCTTGTTTACACTATATTTTTCACAGCTTAACTTTTTTCATTTCACTTTTTTGGTTCTTTAAACTTTTCTTATATATCATATGGAACTCTGGGTAATATCCAAAATAGTATAAAATGCTTGCTTTTAGGGCTTCGCATACACGTAACTACTAGTTGTAAATTTTCTTATATTTCACCCTCAAACACCTTAGTATTATAATAGCTTGTGTATTCCATAATCTATGTAATATTTTCACTTTTCATGCTTAAACATTCTTGGTATTGGTGACGGTTCCACATTGTATGCCACCTTTGTCTCTTGGGCTTGTGAATGTTCCATATGTGTATTCAATGCCCGGTCATTTTGTAATATATTTGTTGTAAAATTATCTGGATTCATATTCAATATGTCATTAATAAACTCATTTTTAACTAAGACTTATGGTTATTCATATTTAATGTGTCACATTTATCAACTATTCAATCAACGAATGTCCCTATTTATGCTTGGTACTTAATACTCTATAACTATCTGGTGGTGGTAAAATAGAAACGCTGGACCAGATCCGAGTCCAAGGTTGAGTAAGCAGCTATGTTTCAGATCACAAGGATCTCTAGCCAACAAACTGACTGGCGAGGGAGACGGCGGTGATGTTGACACGCAGCTTACCAAAATGGATGTAGTTCTCACATTCCAAATCGAGGTAATTTAATGTGAAAGAGAAGACATTTGGGTGATGATTACCAATATATGGTTATTATAACCCAAATATTCTAGATAAGGCTATAACAATCTTTAATTATAGGTAGTTGTTATGGAAGTCAAGGGTTTGAAATCTTTAGCGCCAAATAGGATTGTATACTGCACCATGGAGGTAGAAGGTGGAGATAAACTACAGACTGATCAAGCGGAAGCATCGAAGCCTATGTAAGTTCATATTAAATTGTTTTCGTTATAAACCTTGTACCTGTACTCAAAGAGTCTGCATTCAAAAGGTGGGATACTCAAGGAGACTTCAGTACAACTCAACCGCTGCCCGCTGTTAAAGTTAAGTTGTATACGGAGAATCCTGGTGTACTGGCATTAGAGGACAAAGAGTTGGGGAAAGTTGTTTTGAGGCCTACACCCTTATCCAGCAAGGTATTTCATTGTTAACTAATATTAAATTTTGAACACTCACACAATTTGTTTACCATGACATAGAAGTAATACTGACTTATAATCTAAATATTAGTCGTGCATAAAAAGTAATTATTTTTTGCATTTTTCACTCTAATGAAACTTGTAAAGAAAAACGAAATATTTCAATTACTAAATTTTCTGATATCCCTATTTTGATTACGAACGATACCCCTTGAAGGGTCTTCTGAAGCTCCCTCTTTATCACTTAGGACACAAAAAGATCATTTTGCGAGTCGCCTGTAGGTTTTTATTACTATTAAATTTATTTGTAGGCACCAGAGTGGCATCGGATGACTGTGCCCAAAAACCTTCCTGATCAAGACCTTAGAATTAAAATTGCTTGCAGAATGGACAAGCCACTGAACATGAAACATTGCGGGTAGATACTGTCTATAGTTTACGCGAGTAGTACACATTTAAATAAAACACTTTAACGGTTTAAGCCGCGATATATTAGTTAAACTTATTTGACACAGTCTCCCCGTGACCACGGCTGCTGCAAAGCATCCGAAACATCGGGCCGAAGTTAAAAATCATTTTCAAATAAGTTTAACTAATATATCGCGTTTTAAACCGTTAAAGTGTTTTATTTAAATTGCGGGTAGATACAAACATATTAAAATGCTCGTTATATATTTTAACGGCCTTTGTCTCATGGTAGCAATGTATGACGGTTCCGAGTCCTATGACGTATTAATAGAAACAGTCTTTAATGTTACTTATTCTGGGAAATCTTTATTAACTGGCTAAGAATATCAAAATTCCGCCCGGGTTTAGGAAAAAGCCGTGAGGTGTAATCGTGTTTCGCTTCTAGTCTGGATTTCTGAATGTCCAATGGCGGCATTGTTATATGGCTATGTTATTTCACCTTCCATCAAGTACCACCTCTTTTGTCTTAGAATCTCAAAGTCTTAACTAGGTGCGGGCTGAAACCACGTCCCGTTGATACTTTGCTACCATTACTTCCACGAGCACGTCGAAACGCCAATAAAACTCAGTCTACACTGACAATATGACGACAGAACGTCGAAAGCCATTTCTCAATTACGACGTTCGATCAGGTCGAAGACCAAGCTATGTAGCTTTTATAAGTTAATTATATTAATAATACACTTTAACGGTTTAAAACGCCATATACCTTAGTTAAAGTTTTTTGAAAATTATTCTAACTACGGTCTGGCCGTTTCGGATACTTTGCAGAAGCCGTGGCCACGGGGAGACTAAAGTATCTGTCAAATTAAAACCGCTACGCTAGCGCCATCTGTTCCGTCGAAGTTGGTATCTGGCCGTAGATAAAATAATTTTCAAATAATTAAAATATATCGCGTTTTGAACCGTTAAAGCGATTTATACACAGTAGTTAAGTTAATGAATAAAAATCTATTATCCAGTTACCTGCATGTAATCGGAAAGGCTGTGTGGCGTAAATGGAAGAGGAGGTACATGGTTCTGGTCCAAGTGAGCCAGTACACGTTCGCGTTGTGCTCATACAAGGATAAGAAGTCGGAGCCAGCTGAAATGATGCAACTAGACGGTTTCACTGTGGACTACATCGAATTGGCGAGTGGTAAGATAATTTCAGGCGTTATTTTTTTGTGTATTACTTAATTTTCAAATGAATTCAAGTAAGAGTTAAGACTAAACATTGTAGTTTACGCGAGTAGTAATCGTTTTAATAAAACAGGTCAAGCAAACCGTGAAAGCTGCGATAACATGAAGATATCCAAAAAATATATATGAAAGAGTAATTCGTCTATGCTAATATATAAAGGAGAAGAGTGTGTTTCTTTGATTGTTTGAACGCGCTAATATCAAAAACTACTGGTTCGTTGAATTCTTGTGTTTGTTAGAGCTTTTATCGAAGAAGGCTTATGACTATAAAACATCACGCTAGAAAGAAACAGTTGAAAATGTGCAAAGTGGAATCATTCATTTTTTAGAGTTCCCGTTGCGTTTGCAGCGCACGCAACGGTAAACGGCTCTAAAACGGTTTAAGATATCACAAGTTGTGTGAAATAATGATTTCTCTATAAATTATCAGAAAAATTGTCCGTTAAATTATATATCTATCTGTTAAGACTCGCACGAACGACAGAACGCGGACGGCGTCGTGGATAACAGCTAAAATTTGATGCCCAAAATTACTATTCTACGCGGACGAAGTCGCGGCCACAGCTAGTTTAACTTTGTGTTTTATTTAAATGTGAACTAGTTTCGTCAATCAGTGACAACACTTAATACAAACTATGTTAAATGATCAAAACGTTATACAATACTTTTCTTTTTCTTTCAGCTCAACTAATGGTTGGACAAGGTATGTATTGTAAGAATAGATATTTAAAAAATCTTTTATAGATTGTCTACTACGTTTAAGCACTTCATTCATATAAACGTTATATGACGAAATTTGTCTTTGTATATTACATATCCCTTTTTGAGAATTGACCCCTTTGAATCTAGTTTTATTGAAATTAGTTTTTTAAACACATTAATTATAATATAGAAAAGTATATTTCCTCTTGTGTATTCTCAAATGTATATTGTATACTTCCAGAGCTCGAAGGTGCTAAATACTTCATGAATGCTGTGAGGGATGGGGAATCAGTTCTGATGGGAGTAAGCGATGAGAACGAATGCCACTTGTGGGTTATGGCCCTGTACCGGGCCACTGGGCAGAGCCATAAACCAACCCCTCCGACCACGTCAGATACTCATATCAAAATCATGGGAGGTCAGTTGCTTGGCTTCCAAGTTAGTCCATGAATATATCAAAAAAATAATAGACATCAATGGCTTTGTGACCATGGCTGCTGTAAAGCATCCAAAACGTAAACCGTAGTGAAATAAATAAATACTAGTTAACAAAAATATTTCGCGTTTTAAACGGTTAAAAGTGTTTTATTTAAATGTATAGGTGCTACTCTTGTTAACTATAAACAATATTTAATTTTTTAAGTTTAAATTAAAAAAAAGTTTATTTTCTTTCGAACTGCGATGCGTACACATTTGTGTGTCCGTTTCACTGATCGATTTTTGAACTTCTATACCCAGCCTGAACGAAACAATTTATCGTTTCCCCGGTATTAGAATCTAGGACCTCTCGTGTTAACGCGTTTATCTGAAGGCGTTTAAAATTACATGTAAGTCATTCTTCAGATACTCTTCTTGTCACTGGAACTATGCTTATGTCAATTAAGGAAAAATAAATGATTAATCTAGTTTAATACTTGTGCAAAAACTTGAGCAAATGTAGTCCTTGTTGGGAAAAGACTCCATATAAACGTCTGCATAAGTAGCAGCACGGATCTTCAGCGCTGAACGAGATCTGCGCAGAAGTCAAAAATAAGGTATCGAAGGGACGGAAGCGGGCGCGTTGCGAGTGAACGTCATGTGCGCTAGCGTTGATTGGTTCCCCAGTCTCGAGTACAGTCACGTACAGATGCGCAACTATCCCCTCTACATTTCGTTCAGCGCTAATATGGCATACAACAAGGAACAGGCCCAGATCAATGCACTCTTGTGCCCCTCTCCCCTCCACTTACATTCGACGTACGTCTTGTACTCTGTCATATAAGTTACGTTTCATCTCATACCTATCTCATTGTCTAGATGCAGATAAAGCAAGAAAGCACGGAATGGAGGACTACATACAGGCGGATCCTTGTCAGTTCGATCACCATCAGCTCTTCTGCACTCTGCAGTCGCTGACGCTTAAATATCGGCTGCAAGATCCTTATTGTTCCCTGGTAAGGTATCAACTGCTAAGCTATCTAGGTTAAGCTGTTGTAATTAAGAAATGTTTCAAGACGTTTTTCCACCACGACTGTATGACATCTTAAGATGTTAAGCGGTTTTTGACTCGGCGATGTTTTTGCTATAATTGCCCAAAATGGCCGCCAAAGCTTCATACAGTTCAAAGTTAATTTACTGCATATTCTGGAAAACGTTTAAAACAGTATTTTTATGTTCTCTTGTTGAAAGGTGAAATATAGCCTAGTAACATAACATCTCAACCGAATGCGCTGTTGACCTGTTTTGGCTTTGAATATTAAGACCTAAACCTGGCCTGCTTACTTGCTTGTTTGTCCTTTTGTATTATAATTTTTTTCCAATTGGTTAAATATAAGTTTAATTTCAGGTCTGTTATCACATTTTGAAGTATAATTCATTTTCAGGGTTGGTTCTCGCCTGGTCAAGTATTTGTCCTGGATGAATACTGCGCGAGGTATGGGGTCAGAGGGTGCTATAGACACCTGTATTACCTTTCCGATCTACTAGATGTCGCTGAGAGCGCAACACAGATGGTGGATCCTACCCTCATGCATTACTCCTTTGCGTTTTGTGCCAGCCACGTACATGGAAACAGGTAAGTGTCATGTTTTAGTTGAGGTTGAGAAACATATACCAAACTATTACAAAAATATATTATATTTAAAATTGTGTATTTTTTCTAACTTGGCATTTTCGGTAATCAAACAGACAATTCACAGTAAATCGTGATTTTCACAAGAGACACTGGATTATATATTCAACTCATGATCTACCCCAAGTTCAATTAGTAAAAACCACAATTCCATGCTAATATTAATGGAAATCCTAAATGATTACAAAAATGGACAGATCATAATTTCTTTTTGGTTAAGTTTGACATTTACGTAAGGATGGGATGTAAGCAAAGTCAACGACAATAGAAAGTGCCGCTCGTACACGATCGCTGAAAAGAGTTACAAACGTCAAGTAATAATAGTGACATGAAAAATTTAAAAACAAGGTCGTCATAGAAGTGATTTTGAATATTGGCGTCGTTCGGTCCATATATAATCGATAACCCTCTATCATCTGTGGTACCAACTTCACTGTATATATCTCAAATCATCTAATGTTCCAATCAATATTTTTTATTTAAATAAAACACTTTAACGGTTTAAAACGCGATATATTAGTTAAACTTATTTTCAAATAAGTTTAACTAATATATCGCGTTTTAAACCGTTAAAGTGTTTTATTTAAATGTGTACTACTCGCGTAAACTATAGACAGTATTTAATCAATATTTTTTCAATTCAAACCACGAGATATTATATGAAAATGATGTATCTACTGTGGTTTACTTAATCTGTCGTATGAAGCCCTTCGTGCGCGAGTCTAATTCACATTTTTCTTGTGTATATGAACATACTCTGTATTATAAACCCTCTTACTACAAAATACTATGTCTATTTCCAAACTAAAGAGGGAAAATTTATTTCCTGCAAGATACAATGTTAGTAAGCATGAGCATTTTAATCTACTCTTGTCGATTCCGTATTATTTGTTGATGCTATAAGCAATATTTTAATTATCTGTGTGTAATGTGTAAATAATGATTCGTGCGCATTATCAGCTGCCAAACGATTGTATCGTCTATGGAAAGAATCTAATATAAAACGCGTATTAGACCGTTACAAGTGTACAATGAAATAATTAAAACGAGTTATAAATAAAACCTATAGATCTTTTATGGCAAATATTTAAATTTCGTGCGGGTGACGAACCACAGATTAAAAATTCGTGAAGTTATTAGCGCTTCGGCTTTAGTCTGTCGAATTCCGAATATTCAATATCTAAATAAATTTACAACACATCTTGGTGACATGCTTGTCTCCCTTCTCTGTCAAAAACAACGATACAATTGTTTGTCCAGTGAATCATGCGACCACGTTGATGTAATTTCGAAAAGGCTTAACCTTTCGTCTGTATTGTATGCACTCAAACCTATTGTATGTGCTTGTCTATACTAACAACCTTTGCACAATAATCTTTGCCTGTAATAGGGAAACTGCTGTATTAAGTAATTAATAATCAGATAATATGGATATTACCACAGAATATAATAAATATATATTACTCAGTGATTAGATACTAACGCTTTTAAAACACTACTGGTAAAAATACTTCTAAAGAACAATGGCCAAAATTGTATAGGTATAGGTCGCACCGATGTTTAGTGCCAAACGAAGTGTAGAGGGGATAGTTGCGCATCTGTACAATCGCGCACGTAATTGATTGGAAAACGTGACTGTACTCGAGAAGCAAGCGGAGCGTCGTATTGGTCCGAGAGAGACAACACGACTGGGGAACAAATCAACGCTAGCGCACATGACGTTCACTCGACCCGCGCCGCTACCACTCTATACGAAAACAATTTTTAAAAAGCCAACATAATTTAATATCGTCAAAAATAGACGATAATAGGTTATAATCAATATTGTTGTATATCAATAGAGTTATGTGAAAAGCAGAATAAGTGAGGGAGGGTAAATAAAAGAATTTTAAACCTAATACGTTTCAAAACAAACGCAATTACAACTGCCAGTCATGTGTTACTTATCAAATGTCAATCGATTGAGTTGCAATTACAAATCTTTAACTTTACATATCATATAAACAGCAGAAAAATCAATAAATAAACATTGTATATACGACGTTATTAATGTTATCGAATGATGGATTCTATATGCAAACTCTTAACGATATTTTCTTAAAACATAGATAGAAAAATATCATATTTGAAAAAAAATTATATCGCTTTTTCTGGCTTCATTGTGAGTTATTATTATTATATCCTCGAAAACACATATCTGGTCGCCGTCAGGTACGATTTGGCCATTTTTTATTTTGTTTTAACTCTCGAAATTTCTGATCTCTTAGTACCTTATGAATTTTTCTGTTCTCTTCGAAAATACAGCAGTTTCCTAGTTTCCCTTCCTGCTTGTGCCCTACTAGAGTAAGTCCAGCAAGCCTTTCACAGTACTGCCACGTTGCCTGGCAGGCCCGATGGTGTGGGCAGCATCACGGTCCAGGAGAAGGAGAAGTTCGCGGAGATAAAGGAGCGGCTCAAGACGCTGCTGCAGCATCAGATCACCAACTTCAGATATGCGTTTCCATTTGGAAGGCCGGAGGGGGCTTTGAAGGTGAGTTCTTAAGTGAGACAGTTAAGAAGGAATAAACAGATTTATCATCTGTAAATAAATCACAAAATAAAAATCGATTCTAGACGGAAAAAAATGTTCAATACGGTCAGAATTACTACTATGGTATAAAAAATATTAAGATTTATTATATTGTAGTAGGTTCTTTTCAATATTAAAGCACTTCTGTGACACTTTAGGCAACGCTGTCACTGTTAGAGCGAGTGCTGATGAAGGATGTGGTAACACCAGTCGCACCAGAGGACGTCCGAGCCATGATACAGAACTGCTTAGAGAACGCAGCGCTACTGAACTACCAACAACTTAGTCAGAAGGCTAATATCGAAGGTAAACATCAGGATATATCAACACACTAGACGTGTTCGCGACTTCGTCTGCGAGAACAGTTATTTTGGGCATCGAAATTTAGTAAACCTCTACCTCATCTTTATTGATTTTAGCTGTTACCCACGATGTCGTTCGCGCCCGTCGTTCTTGCAGGTTAATCTTAAAAGATAGACATATACTTTCCCGAACATTATTATAACACAATATATATATTTTGGGTATCTTCAACCATTTTCGTAGCACACGCAACGGAATTTGAGGATTCCGTTGCGTGTGCTACGAAAATGGTGGAAAATGGATGACAAATTTTCCCGTTTTTTCCACATTACCCAAAGTTTATTCGCTCCTATTAGTCGCAGCGTGATATTTTATAACCTAAAGCCTTCCTCGATAAATGTTCTACGCAACACAAAATTATTATTTTTTTAATTCGAACCAGTAGTTCCTGAGTTTAACGCGTTCGAATAAAACAAACAAAATCTTCAGCTTTATGGTAGGAGTATATCAACACACATCACTAATTTATTTGCAATAGCCGTGAAAGCCCATCAATCAAGACTGGTACAACAAGGTGGGTCTAAGATATTAAAGCATTCCCTTTGAAAGTGGAGACCCGCGTTTAGCTGGTTGAAAATACCTAAATTAAACACTTGTTAATTAAAAGTTTTTTTTACGTTTAAGTTTGTTTTTTTTTAACCCAGAGGACCTTCGTGGCGACACCATGGTGACTCCCGCCAAGAAGTTGGAGGACCTCATTCGCTTGGCGGAACTTTGCGTGGATCTTTTACAGCAGAACGAAGAACACTATGCCGAGGTATGCTACTGCCAAACGCTCTTAGACGATATTAATATACGTCAAAATATTTACATGAATTATTTTTCATAGTTTATCTAAGCTACTAAAGTTACTTACTAATAAGCTAAAAAAAAAGAAAAAAACATAACGCGACCTTTGAGTACTTTGCTGATTGCTAAGTATTTGTCCAGATAAAACTCTAACGATTTCAGGTAATTTTTATTTTGAGAAAAGCACACTTCAGTAGATTGCAATAAATTTATGATTCGTAGCTAAAAATATTTCGATTATTTCCTTTCATATTTCTTACAATAAATATTTTTAGCTAGACAAAGAATTATATTTCGTTCTGTTAGCCGCAATACATTCGTATTGTTTAGATCAATGTTTTATTGTATATTCTGTGTTTTGTGTCGCTTTGTCGTAAAAGTGAACTTGTATAAAATAAAAATAAATAATAACAAATTTAAATAAAACACTTCAACGATTTAAAACGCGGTGTATATTAGTTAAACTTGTTTGAAAACAATTTTAAGTACGGCATGCCATGATCATGGGGAGACTAAAGATGGAGGGTATCTCCGACGTCGAAGTAAAGTACGTCGCTAGTCTCTAGTCTCTAAAATAGTTTTCAAATAAGTTTAACTAATATACTTCGCATTTTAAACCGTTAAAGTGTTTAATTTAAATGTGTACTACTCGCGTAAACTACAGACAGTATTTAATTTAATTAATATCTAGTCGATTGTTAGCCAGAGCCGAAACCGAATTTTCTAATACAAGTTCATTTGTCGACACATAATTCGTATAATTCCACCTCTATCTTATTTTCTGTTTCTCCGCAGGTTTATAACGCAAAATCGGAATCGACCGGTCAACAAAATGTAACTACTTTGCCGGCTATCCGATCACTTAATTCACAGACTTGATCATATTTCACTATGGTTGACCACAGACTATAAAAGATTTCACAGATTAGATTTGTGATATCAAACCACTCGCTTGTGGCATAGTTTAGACAAATCTATGGCGCATTTTTTGATTGAAACAATACCATGAGTTCTAGCTATCGTTTTAGATACTTTGAAATCAATTATTATTATTGCATGATATTAAACTTTCTGGCTTCGATGTCTTAGACATTTTGGACATTTATTAGTTTGTGTAGTGTTCATTGTAATTATAAAAAATGCTAACAGCAGCAGAAATTTTAATATCATACTTAACGTTCTTTTTTGTAACCAGCCAAGTTTTTTTTACAATTCGGATTTTTTAATTCGTGCAAAATTCTTACATTTTGATATGATAATTGGCGCGAAAAAATAACAAAGCTACCGTTGATGTTTATAATCGGTTACACGACGATAAACATTAAGTAATAAGCTTAGCATTTTTTTTACTTTTCACGCATACATTTTCGAAGCTACATACACTATATATCTACATTCTTCTATAATGCATAATTGACATTGTAATTCTATAACGCTATATTATATAATTTCACTTAAATTTGCTTTCTAAAAACTATACACAGTTTTAACAACAGTTGTATAAATGAAACACTTTTAACGGCTTAAACGCGGATGAAAATAAATATAATAAAAAATAATTAACTTTTTTAGATAAAACACTTTCAACGGTTTGAAACGCGTAATATATTGCAATTTATTTTAACTACGGCCCGACGTATCAGATGTTTCGGTGCAGCCGTATTCACGGGGGGCTATAGTTAAAATAAATTATATAACTACTATATGTCGCGTTTGAAACCGTTGAAAGTGTTTTTTTTTTAACGTGTATAACTCGTAAAATACAGAATACTTAAAAATGAGTTTAGTTCGGAATTTAAACAGTTAAAAAGTGTTTTATGTAATGTGTTAATACAGTATATCAAAGTTTGAGTTACAACTTAGCGATAAATTAATGCAAGTAATTGTAGCTAGATGCATGTATTTCGTACAGCACTAACCTGATTCAACAACTGAGTAATTCAGTTTTTAATAACCGAGGAGATTCATTTATCCCAAAACTCCACAGCTAATCTAGAAAGAAAAAAATGTATGTCTAAACAAAACAATATAGTTTAAAACGCGAAATGTATTAGTTAACTGATAGACAATTTATTTTAACTACGGCCCGACGATTCGTATGCTATGCACTCGTGGTCACGGGGCGACTGCTGCAAAGCATCCGAAACTAGAGTTAAAATGAGATGTACGTAAATTAACTAATACATTTCGCGTTTTAAACCGTTAAAATTGGCTTTTTAAATGTGTACTACTCGCGTAAACTACAGACAATACAAGATTGTGTGTCTGTCATATTTTTTTGTGGATAAATACCTCCCCCCTATCACTTTCCAGTAGCTCAATTTGGACTGAGCTAACAAGGCTATAAACAAGCGTCCTGAAAATGAGGATAGGACCTGAGATGGAAATGAGAAACAGCTTTAGTATATTTAGATGTATAGTGGTATCATTTGTGCGCAGGCGTTCGCGTGGTTCTCCGACCTTTTGACAGAGCACGCGGAGATTTTCTGGGCGCTGTTCGCCGTGGACATGGACAGGGTTTTAGCTGAACAACCCCCCGACACCTGGGATTCCTTCCCATTGTTCCAAATCCTTAATGATTATTTGCGCTCCGATGGTAAGATGAAAGGCAAGGTCGTTTTTAAGTGAGGTTTTTCGTAGACTAGAAGCCGTAGAGTGTGTGTAAATTGTTTAACATGTATTAAAGCTAAGAAACTACCCACAGAACTTATGTGGGTAGTTTAAAAAAAGTGAGCAATTAAATAGTACGTCTGTGTATTTTAACTATATTAAATTAAAAGATTCATTTTTTATGGAAATAACAAACTAAAAATTAATAGCGGATTGTTTTTTTAAGTGTTAAATAATTTCACATCTTATGTCATTAGAAGTAGATTAGGCATAATTGTAACATCTCATTGTTTTTTTAATTACCACAAAAAAATCTGAGAATAAAATAGAAGTCTACAATTTAGCGTAGAGATTATGGATAAAAATGCACTGTTTTGTGGCGTAGATCACCGAAAAATATTGTTTTTGTTAATTGTTTATAGATTGGCATTAGATAAAAGTTATTTTCTAAATTGTTAGTTGTTAGGAATTCGTTTTAAGCACAATAATATACAATTGAACACCACGTGTTAATAGTATAAACAAAACGCTCCCAACGGTTTAAAACACGCAATATATTATTTAACTTTAAACAATGACCAAGCGTTTTAGAAGCCGTGGTAACGGATATATAACTAAGACTGAGCACCTAAAACGTCGGGTCGTAGTTACAATTAGTTAAATTATGTATTTCGCGTTTTAGACCGTCATAACTGTTTCGAACGTGTACTTCTCGCGTAAACTACAGGTAAAGGTTAAAATTATGTTCGTCTTTGCGAACTATACTTGCTTTTCAGTTTGTATTCTTATAATTTAACAAACTACCCTATTTATATCTCAAAATCGACCACAGCTTATAGATAACATACGCTTGTATCATCGATGTCTGGCAGGTGACTAGTTAACTGAATGGGGCATGAAAATTCCAGAAACCTTGAGGAATGGCCGCTTCCACGAGCACCTCCGGGACACGTTCGCCCCGCTCGTCGTCAGATACGTGGACCTCATGGAGTCTTCCATATCTCAGTCCTTGCATAAGGGCTTTGAAAAGGAACGCTGGGAGATAAAGGGGTAAGTGGAATTGTGGTAGGGTCGGGTGGAAGACACTTTTCCCCACCAGATAATATCCAACTTTTGTTTTTATTCAAATGACGTCAAATATCGCACAATTTACGCGTTCTTTTATTTATATAATACTGCTAAAATTATTTGACTTTTCGTTGCTACAGCCTTGATCATGGAGAGTTAAAATTATATATTTCGCGTTTTAAACCGTTAAAGTGTTTTATTTAAATATTGTGCCGTACCCATGCCAACCGAAAGAATTATTGCGCTTCTCCAGATATTTTACTTTGCCTTCCAATACGTTGCTGTATATTATTTATTGTCAAAATAAAAATATATAGTTTAATGCAATAAAGATATTGTATGATAGATGAGGACAGACAAACATTAGGATCGTATCGTCAAAGGTGAAATACCCCAGTACTCTAATATTTAAAAACTCAAATCCTCCACAGAAATGGCTGCGCCACCAGCGAAGAGTTGTTCTGGAAGTTGGACGCGCTACAGAGCTTCATCAGGGACCTGCACTGGCCTGAGCCAGAGTTCAGGTCACATTTGGAGCAGAGGCTGAAGCTTATGGCTAGTGACATGATGGAGACCTGTATACAGAAGACAGAGGCTTCCTTTCAGGTATAAGAAAGAATAAAGCCTAAATCGGTGAACATCTCTTGTTTATATGGCTGAGGTTTTTCACCCACCATCTAGTGATCCCCACGCTTATCTGATCTCTCTGTCATAAATAATAATTTTGCAAAATTACTCGGAAGTAAAATAATTCATTGGAAGAGTCATTCCCAGCTGTTGTCCATTTTATCTTTTATCAAAGTCAAACGAGGGACTAAATGTCCTACTAATGACATTATCCAAAAGAATATTCAAAGCCATAATAGTGATCAAGTACATTTGAACACCAGGAAATTAGTGGTTACAAGTGGCTTTAAGCTAGAGTGGCCTAATAACAAATGTTTGTAGTATTATTTGTATAAGAACTATGTCAACAATTTTCGGTCACTGTGTTCTTGTAGATACACATTTTTAGACTATAAAACTATAAATTAGTCAAGTCATAAAAATGCAGTTAGGCTACTCTGCCTCTAGCGGCCTCAATTGTCACCCAGCCCTCGAGAAATACAAAAACCCTGTCTCTTTCCAGGCGTGGCTCAAGAAGAGCGTCACCTTCATGTCAACGGACTACATAATTCCAGCAGAAATTTGCGCTATGGTGAACGTAGCTCTGGACGCCAAGAACCAAGCTCTGAAGTTGTGTGCCGTGGAGGGGGTGGATATCGTACGTAATTCAGTATTGTTAAAAGGAACACATTATAATGGTGGGGAAAATAAGTTTGGCGGGCTCTTTGCTGTAATGGTAGCAATGTATATCTAATAAACAACGGGTCGTGGATTCGATCCCCAATCAGATCCAACATGATTATAATCAATTTATAATTTTTCGAAAACGTGTTGGACTGGAAATCTCGATATTAAATGGAGGCCAAATTCGGTCCGGGTCACGAACCACCACAGATGAAAAAGTCGTAAAGTTATAGCTCGTTTGAAGTTCAGTCTGTGGATTTTCGAATATATAAATTATTTAGATACTATAGGATATAAGGTATTTTACCTACCACCGAGTGAACTCCTTGCTTGGCTGTCTTGTATTATAATATAAACAATAACATAACATTTCAAGCTTGGTATTTAATACATTAGTAATCCCACTTCTGTATTTCATAACCTTAACAAAAATATAAAAATGCTATATTGTATTATCTAAAACATTAACCATTTTCAGATGCTAAACGCTTTGTCATTAATTGATAATTCGAATTTAGGGTTGCCATGTCAATTGTGTCATTAAATTGTCATCTCATTCCATCAAGCATCCGAACAGTTGGTTGTTAACATTTTAAAATGCACATGGGCAATTCAGGGGCGGGGCCAAATTTACATACACATCAAATTGGCTTACACATACTGCTACCACCACTAATGCCAGACGAGTAGACGGGATCCTAGCGAAGAATCTTTTATGTCAAGTGTATCGGCGACTGATAATTTCTATGGAAAGTAAGAGCTAGTATTTGCTAATAATGCTTGTTAATAACTCGTATAGCACGAACAAGAGGGGTTATCATGGGGGAGGGAGGAAAATAAGCTATCTCTTAATTAAAAATATATGAAGACATCATGAATCGGATTATAACATAAAAAAAGACATAAGGTCTTTATATTATGCTGTATTATACCTACTAATTGAAGTTAGTTGAAACAAATAAACCTATAATTAAAGCTTATTTAAAGATTAAAAGGAAATAACAATTTAATTAATATTTATTTATTTATTTATTAATTATTTAAAATATTTAAAAGATAAATAATAAAATTGTGAAATTTAATACTTCTCTTTGAGATACTAAAATATTTTGATTCTTATAATAAAAGTCTACTCCTATATATATAAAAACGAGTTTTGAACCATTTAATGTGTTTAAATCCACGTAATGACAGTTATGAATTCCATAGTAATTTTCAGTTGCATAAATATACTCATGTAACTGACTCCTTGTCTAGATCCAGCTTGATAAAATGGCGACTAGCACAGAGGCTGCGATTGTAAAGACTCGAACAATACTGGCAACCTACTCATATAACCTTATTAGTAGGTAGTTATAAACAAACCTTTATTGATCGACAGATTGACTGACTGTACAAATTAGACAGACTAAATTTTCTGTAAAAAAAAACTGTAAATGTCTGCATATCCAAAGCTAAGTTGGCAGCACATCTTGATATTTGGCAAGAGTGCATCACTTTCCATGCCATGTGGACATCATGCTAGTTAGCCCAAAAAAACCTTTTTGAAATCAGCATGCAATCTTGGTCTTTTACAGTTTGCCTAGTCTGTATTTCAGTTTATATCAAAACTGGTAAGTGCTGCCCATCATCAATCGTGAGGCCGACGTGCTGTTGCCGTAGCTCCACCGAACCATAGCTTACTCCACATTAACGCTTGACATTGTAGACATACAAGCATTAAACACTCCACACGGGGTAGCAGCTCCGGTTGAAATGTTAACACCGACCTCTCTCACAGTACCAGTACCATGCTAAAATGGATGCCCAGATCGAGACGTGTCTGCACGCGATGGCGACTGGCATGACGACGAGGCTGTCCGCGGTGCTGGAGGCGACCCTGGCTAAGATCGCCCGCTTCGATGAGGGAAGGTAGCGTGATGTCTGGAGTTTATTGTAGAGCACATTTGAATGGAACACGGTGAACGGTTTTAAACGAAAAATATGTTTTCTTTGTTTTTTAAAATGTACTGAAATTGAAAATAAATAACGACACGGGCGGGACTCCAACGGGCATACATGGCATTCATGCTGTTGCTCCTAACAATTTAGCTGCCGTGTTCTACACGTCAAATTTTTTCAACCTATTGTATACTTCAACCTCTTTTTATTTATTACTTTGATTTATACTACGACCCGACGTTTTGTATGGTTTGACAGAGACATAGTTCACCTTGAACACCTGGCCGGGGAGGGGATTTGTTTAATGATTCAGTCATATATCAATGTGAAATAGTCTTAATCTCTTTATGGTTTGAAATCCCAATGGCTTGAAAGATGAGACCTCGTCATCTCTGTTCTAGAGATTATGAAGAGAGGTAGTCATTTTTTTTGTAACTTATTGAATCCTTGATAAAAAGAAAACTGCGTGTATTGTGCCTTGAATATCGTTGCATGTTATATTTCGTCTATTTTGATTTTACCATCATGATCATCACTTGAATGTTATCTTGCATTTCGGTGTTTGCGTCAATTTGTTGAACACGATGGAAGGTGGATTGGGTTTCGGGTCAGGGGTAGGTGCAAGGGTATTTCACCCTCCATCAAGTAAACTGCATGCTTATCTGCCTCTATCATTAAAAGTGTCCTTGACGCCCAGATGACGTCATCAAGAGATGATGATCGTTTCTTGGTCCAACGAAGAAATTCCTTAATAGTTGTTACTATTATGCACCGTTGTACAAATCGTCACTTTTTTTTTTTTTTTTTTTGTACCGTCGGAAAATGCCTCCCTGGGTACGGCTCTGTGTTAAGCTGACACGTCTAACGACTGCTCAAGCGGCAGCCCATATGTGAAAGCGAGCTAGCCTGTCTCCTTGGCCTAAATGCTGCGCTAACACACCCCAGTGGACACGGACCAAAGGCCGTCGCCCGCCCGTGACCACGTTAAGGGGAGGGGTGCCGCGAGACTGCGGAAGACGATGCCGCCACACTTCGCCAGCGGAGAGACAGCCGAATGGCCGCAGTCCACTCCCGGAGTTTGTTAAGCATACCCCTCGCGGCGCGGTGCAATTGCGAGGGGTTATGTGGGTCTCTCCCACCTCGAAAGAGGTGGGCATACCGCACTAAAAACCGACTGCGCCGTCTTATCGCTTAAGGATGAGCCACGGTATCAGCAGAGCCTTAACCACGTGACCCACCCTGGCGAATGCCGCAGCGAAGCTGCAGCGCTCCTAAAGCGGCCGAAGCCGCTTCCGCGCCTCTCCTTTGCCACCTTGGAGGTAGCACGCTGACTTGGAGTCAGCCGTCCCACGTGCCCGAAGACACCACTGCCCAGCAGGGCAAAAACTACTAAAACGGGCGAAAACGCCCCCACCATTATGCCTCCTGTAGGGTTTTCTGTCGAAAACCAATCAGGAGCTTTCACCTCGCGGTCTTGGAGACACGCCATCCACCGTGCCGAAGCACCACTGGGTCCGAAGACCCGACGACAAAAGGCGCTGAGCGCCCGAGCGATGAAACGCTCCCTTTCTGGCCGTTTAGGGTACGCCCGTGGAAACCCACCAGATTTGGTCCGCGCCGGCAGCCTAACTGCCGATAGTCGCCATTATCTGACGACATTTCCCCTATCCGCCACCTGGGGACGCGCCCGGTGGAAGTCTGGCAACTCCCCCCTGCAGGGCACTCTGACCCCACAGGGTGCCGGGTGTACAAATCGTCACTAGTCTATATATGTTTTATCTCTTTGTAATCTATTAATAATTCATAATACAATCTGCAATATTCTAAGCACAGAATATTTTTTTTGTTTTTTTTTTCTTACCTAAAATACATGGGTTTCTTGCTACCAATGATGTCGTCTAAATATATATTTCAGTTTAATTGGGTCGATACTCACGATTGCAAACGTGTCCGGATCGGGGAAGGACATCGGCCAGGGTTACGTGAACTTCATGAGAAACTCCATGGATCAAATCAGATCAAAGGTAGATATGAAATCATAAAATAGAAACGATTGGGTTTTGGTTTGTTTGAAGAATGTCCAAAATCAAAAAGGTCTATAGCTTATTCTTTTTTTAATCTTATATGGTTAGGGTTTGTATCCTGTACTTTTTTGTCGTTGACAATAATACTAACATTTATTTTTGGTTACTAACAATAGGTTTTATATTCCACTTCTTCCAAAACTATTCCGGAAGAAAATAATGTGGCAGCTAAAATTTACAAAAAATATCCTGCTCATGGTATGTACAACTTTCGCAGGTGACAGACGAGCTATGGATCCTACAGCTGTTCGAGCAGTGGTACGGAGTTCAGATGAACCTCATCGGGAACTGGCTTCAGGAGAGACCAGCGTTACACCCACAGCAGGTGGCCTGCTTGTCGATTGTTGTTAAGGTAAATGACGAATAGAAATAGCACTGCACAGGACAGTGGTTAAATCTTGCTAAAACAAGAACGTATTTTCTCAATAAATCACTTTTAACGAAATGCTTTGTGCTAAATTCGGAGGATACTAAAAAACATATTTCTTCTCAGAAAATGTACAGCGACTTCGAGCTTCAAGGCGTGATAGATGACAAGCTCAACTCGAAGACTTACCAAGCTGTTGCCTCGAGGATGCATACGGAAGAAGCTACTTGCAGTCTTCTGCTGGCACAACAGGATACTGGGTAAAGCATGATGCTTGAAATATAAATAATAAGAAAGAAACTATTCCTTATTATTATACTATAACAAGTAGCTGTTTAAAAGTTTATAAATGTTATGTTTTGGCAACAATTCTTATTATCTATTTACTTTTTGACGGTCACATTGGTATTATGGTAGCAATGTGTGGTTTATTATCAACAGGCCGTAGGTTCGTTCCCCACTGTATCTAGCATGGGTCTAATCAATTTATAAGAAGTCGAAAGCGTATTTTCTTTAAATGTTATATGGCTGGGGTATATCATCTGCCATCAAGTGAGCTCTATCATGAAAAAAGAAAAGAAATATAAGTCATTTTTCATATGTGGCATGAGATTGGTATATGGACTTTTATAATGAGACTTATGACTAGAATGAAGTTTTTGAAGTATTTGTTACGTAAGTACATACATTTTGCAGTGGTGGCGACGAGGGATCGGAAGATGGAGGTTCCAAAGCCGGTAAATCTAAGTTGGAGTCATTGACAGAGGAAGCCAAGCTTGGGAACGTCTCTGCAGTTGTCGGAAAGGTACTTGAACTACAACTCAGATTTACGTATATACGTTTACAAATTTTTATTTAGGATAGCGTCATCTAGTTACAAAAAAAAGATTCAAGATTTTTTCAATTCTAACCCATAGTTCCTGAGATTAGCGCGTTCAAACAAACAAACAAACTCTTCAGCTGTATATATTAGTATAGATATCCAATTGTTATTTCAGGTCGGCAACATGTTCGGAAGAGGCATCGGAGAGTTATCGACAAAATTGGGAGGAGCTTCGTCTTGGTTTTAGCGCTTCGTTTTAAGCTACCCTCATTTTTGCTCCTTTTAGTATCTGATTTCGTAAAAAACTTATTTCAAATAGAGGTGATATATAAACCATAATATTTCACTATATGTCATCCTCCTATATTTTTAAATTTGTTTGTGTCATAATTACGTTAGATTTCGTTCAATGACACCAAATTTCAAATCTACCCACATACTTTATTCGTAACATAGTTTATACACAAGACAAGTATTAAAAAGTGATTGGCTCCGGAATATTCGAATCGTCACAATTCATAATGATAAGAGACCGTAGCTTAGTTTAGAATTAATGTAGACTTTATTTTATAAAGGCTTTATGTACAGTTAGAGAGTTCATTTGAAGCAAATAATAATATAAGTGTAGTATTTGATAACACAATAATTATTAAAAAAACATATTTAGATGGAGGCATTATTAACTTACATATATATCACTGGCAGTGCTAACAATAAAAATACATATCGCTTGTGCAAAATTACGTTGTAATCCATGGCATATTATAAAAAATGTTGACATCATGTTTATAGTGGCATATATTGGGTCGGGGACCCGAATGATTGATTGTATTCCTTTAAAACGTTGGATTTGGATTGAACTATAAATCGACGATACAAACGAGACTCAAATCACGCTCATCACCTACCTAGGGGCCAGGGGGGTAGGTGAGTGCACTTGCCCCCTCCTTAACGTAACGTTAAAACTTTTCAAAATGTAAGAGGTAATAGTGATGATGTCCCCCTATCTCACATACAACCGCCCCCCCCCTTCTTAGGCCAGAAGCAATCCGTGCTGCTGCTCTATACTCCCTATAATACAGTACAGCATCAGCTCGCACGCAGAGTACGTTGGTTTGAGATCCGCCTGTATCGTTGAATTTTCTTCAATTTACAATATATTTAACCTGATTGCATCCCCTCTATTTTCACTATATAATTTTTTTTCGTAATATTTTATCCCTTGACTTATAATTGTTTATAAATGGCAATAAATCCAAAAATGTCTTGCTCATTGATAGATTTAGCTGAAGTTTTTATTAGATAATAACTTGACGGTTCAATATAAATTTTTTCTAATCTATGAAAATAATATTTTTCTATCGTAATATTTCTTAATTCTTTTAATGAATACTAGCTTTACGACTCTTTCGAAATCTTATGGAACTCGTGTACTTTTAAAGAGTAAAATGTCGCTTCACGCAAACCGCCAAACAGTGTTGCTATATAATGAAACGAAAATTGGCATATCTTTTACTTTTAAAACTATACGAATGGTAAAAACGTTTTGCCGTATTGTAAATCTTTATAGTTTACTCTCTAATACTCTAGATCTTGAAATAGATCGATCTAGTCGTCGGTTAACTGAAGATAACCATAAATAGACGTGGGCGTACCAGGGGAGAGGGCAACTACCCCCCCACTTCCACCTGGAAATCAAAAATGCGGAATCCTTTTATGCAAGAGATCTAGCAGTTTTATTTGCAATACCTTCCATATCTATTTACAAAAATTATTAAGGAAACTCATACCCCTCTTGCCCCTAGTTCCCCCCTCCCCCCTCCACCGAGAAGGTGAGTACGCCCGTGTAAAAACATTTTCTAATATACCTATGATACATTGAAATTTGTTAAAGAATATTCTTCTACGCTATTAAAGTTATAGTAACAAATTTGAAAGGGCTAGCTACAAATTGTAAGGATCTTAGATAAAGTTAGTCTTATTAGCGATTAGAAACGCTAAATCGCCTTAAAACCTTCTTTGTGATGGCTCATGGGAGTATGACCTCATCCTTCATTGTGGACATCTAACACATGTTATTAGTAAACGCTAAAAGTCGTTCTTATGTGGGATTACAAATAGCCCGATCGTTCTGTACTCTCTCGCTTAGGACCAAGATATTTTTGATACACAGTAAGACAAATACATTTCACTGAGATATTTTTTACCTCTCGTCGCAAATAATTCGAACTTATTCACGTTTAAACATAGGTACACCGTTCACAGACCCACATAACTTTTTACACTTTGCTTACACTTAGCTATTTTCAAATTTACTAACTGAAATTTATATATATTATCTTATTAAACTTATAAAGACCTTAAACCGTCTCTAATGAGTTACTTAAATGTTAATTATACAAAGTTTATTATTATTGTTTTAGGTTAGCTCTTTAACGGTTCGAAACTCGATCTGTATCTTTAACTACCACCCGGCTTTCTGCATGCAACACTTGTTCGCTGAGGCATGAATAAACAAAAATGATATGGCTTTAAAAAATTAAAAATCTAACCGATTTTGTTGATTTAATCTAAAACGGATTTTTAATTTAACTAGTACATTTTTAAACAAAGCACTTTAACAATTTAAATCGTATATAATATATACGTACGTATAAATTAGTTAAACTTATTTGAAATTACGTATCCCAGTGACAACGGCTGCTGCAAAGCATCCGAAACGTCGGGACGTTCAAATAATTGTATTTCAGTATTGTTTGTTTGTTTGTTTAATTTCAAATAAAATTAGCTAATATATATCACGTTTTGAACGGTTAAAGTTATTTGAATGTGTACTACGTGTAAACTACAGACAGTAGCACATAGTTCGCGTTTTAAACCGTTAAAGGTACTTTGAATTACATAGCTTTGTTTCGGTTTTTAAGGCTTGTTTTTATCATTCATAATATTATCATTATCATTCGAGTACTGAGCTCAATAACTACATCACGAGCCGACTGAATTGAAAACAGATTAAGCTTGTACGACATTAAACTCGCGATGCGGAATATAGGTGAAATTCATAGATTTGAGTTAAATTAAGATCAAAATAACAAGTGTACTATTAATATTTTGAACGACATCGCGAGTGCAAAGATACAATAAATTATTTACAATAAAATGTTTACTGTTGCAAGGCTTTTTATTCACCACCCGGACCTACAGCGATTCAAGTCTGTAAGTTCCACTAATATAGGCCGCGGCACGGCGAAGCGCTGAACGAAGTGTAGAGGGGATAGTTGCGCATCTGTACAATCGCGCACGCAATTGATTAGAAAACGCGACTGTACTCGAGAAGCAAGCGGAGCGTCGTATTGGTCCGAGAGAGACAACACCATTGGGGAACCAATCAACGCTAGCGCACATGACGTTCACTCGCCCCGCGCCCGCTTCCGTCCCTTCGGTACCTTATTTCGCTAAAGGTCGTTGCTTACTTATACCTTCGTTCCTTTCCTAGTTAGGTATAAGACTATGTCAACTAAGGCTTTCACGGGCTGCTCGGCTGACGTGAGCGAAGATGTGATCCTAGCTCAATTTTTCGAGCAATCGAGGAGCTAACGACTTTTCCTGATGATGCCGTCCGCTCGTGATGCGAAACGTCGAGAACCTCTTCTCGCTTGCGTCGGCCGAACAGCCCGGAAACCAAAATTAAGAAGAGGCTGACTTGATAGAAGAACGAATATATCAGCCCTACTATCTATCATTTAGGTTGTACGTATTATTGCTTTGGACAGCGAACAAGTAATACAAATAAAAAAAATCTCTAAATTAGAAAATGGCAGACAGTGTTCTTCGCTTTCCTCTCCAATTATAAAAATGTATCCACAGTAATGCAAATGGTATAATTTTTCTTTCAATAACAAAGTTATCGATTCTTTAATAAAATCTTTTAATTAACAATTTTTAAAATCTCTATTTACCAAATCTAATAACTAGTATGACAAACCATTTTCAACCTTTGTAGCCTAATGGTTAAACGCCTTGCATTAGTTAAGCACAATACCTTCAAGGTTCGAATCTGACGGAAATAATAAATTATTTCGGCCTATCAGGGCACAGAAGTCTGCTTAACTTGCATGTAAGTAGAGTTGTCATTTGTCTTTACAATATGCTCGTCCCACGCCCCACAAAGGGTAAATAAAATTAACACCTAATTAAGTTCTTTGCCAAAAAAATAATTATTATATACCTCACAGTATTGGCATAAAATGTCTTGGATACTGCAAATACCATTACACACGCACACCGAGGAATCGTGCCAAGAGATTTTTAAAATACAGAGCTATTTTTAACTGCATGTAACAATAATAAATGGTAGGTAATGTGAAACGCTTAACTCACACCCAGTTTACAACAAAAATATAGAAAACACAATATTTAATAAAACACTTAAAACTGTTTAAACCGCGAAATATATTAGTAGAAAATAGTTGCCGAATAAAAAAAAAATTAACTAATTCTGCATTTTAAACTCATAAGCGTTGTATTCAAATTTATAAACTACAGACAATACTTACACATATGCTTAACACTATTTAATAATTATACAAATAAATTTAATGTTTGAAAAATATTTCTTGGAGCACAACGAGGTAATTTAGTTTATGACGCTGGTATCCCTGATCGAAGTCGTCTGACAGTCGCATACGCAGTGCAGTGGACACAAATACAGACAGTGAACGTGTGTTGTGCTCTCGAACGAATTGATGTTTTAGTGAATCACAGAAACGTGAGTATTTTTGAATTGTACTCGTATTATCTTCAAATAAACGACACCTTTTTGACTGCCCTGGTTCAATTAATTGAATTATAATCGAACTCCCGTTTCCGGAAATATGAGATAAGTGGGTCTGGAAAATAAAATAAAAAAGCACGAATGCATCATCTGTTGCATTGGTTGCATTCCAATTGCATTGCGTCGGCTCTCCAGAGCTTTATTTGTCCAATAAATATTTCTCGGATTGGAAATTTAATATACAATTTTCAAAAGGTTATAAATAGATGTACTCGGAGCTTTGCAAAAATATTTCAATCGATCTTAGTAGGTGAGGGTTATACCTGGAATGCTACACTTTTACCTTCGCCTAAATTTAAAATACCTTCTAAATATAATCTGCATCCATAGGTCTTGGTTAAACATAGGCATTTCGTTGAGCACGAGAGATCCTGGGGACGAATCCCGAGAGATTAAAAATATTTTGATCTTAATTTATTCTAGGTATATTGAATCAGGAGAGTAGGCGTCCCATGGCCCCGAGAGATAATACGGGATTTTGCAAATAAACAAATTATTCGTAAAACATGTGCATACGTACATAATATATTACCCCAGCTATGATCTAATTAGAAATGTATTTAAACCCAGATATCGGAATGCACTTTATTCGTCCTCAATACGTCTTCAAACATATCAAAGTGGACAGTTTTAATAGGTAAAGCGTTATAAGTAAAAATGAGATTCAACAAAAATACCGCACTTACGATTCACGTAAGAAACACTATAAAACCTAAATGATATATTTATGTAATAAAAAAAATGGACGACGGCTGCTGCAAAGCATCCGAAACATGCGGCCGTATTAATTTATATTGTAAATAACGAATATAATACATTTTAGCGTTGTTAACCGTTACAAAACGTACTCGCGTAACCTAGAGACAATACCCTACAATTTCTTCAAGTATCTATATGAAAAAAGAATTTAATACACAACTTCTTGTTCGGAGAGGAATCTTAAAAAAAAAACAAATACATTTCAACTCGTTAGTTTCTCTCTGATAGCTATAGGTATAATTTGTCATTAAAGATAGCTAAGTAGCTTACAGATAAACCTAAACCATTAGGAGAAAATGTGACATTCCCAAGATAAGTTCGGATAAGATTGAAGTAAGCACTTAGTTATAAGGCATGTCATATCAATTACGGCCATCGGTCGTTTAACTTAACAATAACTTAAATTAAGCCCATGACAATCGCTTCAGAATCGATAATAATCACTGGGGAAGCCGAAGTTCGGTTTAATGAACTCTGAATAACCGAATTTCATTGAAATGAGAAATTGTAGGTATTTATTATACCTGTTATATGAGAAAAATATAAGCTTCATTAATTCTTTGTAACATTGTTTAAGTTTTTAATAATAAATCTTAAACGTCTTAAACGTGACATCAATCATAACGAAACGTAAATAACGTAATACAGAAAAGCAATTCTCTCGTATAAAGTAAAAGTAACTGTTTAAACAACTCTAAACCAAAACAAAATTGCATTTAACATAAATTATTTCTAGCATAAATTAATATTAATTTCTCACTTCGTTAAACCGAATATTCGGATTTTATTTAGTTTCGGTTGTAACCAGAATCGGTCCATCACTAATTACATTGCTAATGAATATGATTAAAATTTCCTTTTAACACCATTTTTGTATTATTGTAAAATACTGTCTTGCTAGTATATTGATTAGTAGACATAATTTAAATAATGACTGGCGAAATGTTAGTTATTGGGAATACTTCTAGTACCAACACTATTGAAGAGTTAACCCCCAGTTACCTCCATTAGTTTAGTGGTGGCATACCGTGGTGGGTCAAAGCTATAACATCCACTGGTAGGGAGAGAAATGTGTCTTTTAGTCTGGCGTTAAAAGAAGATTCTTTATGACAGAGGACAGATAAAGCATGGGGTTTACATGAGGGTAAGCGATATACCCTATAGCATCTTAACAAGATGTGCTATCGACCGATTCGAATAAAGTATTTAGTAGAGGAATTTTGTTTCTCGTGTAAACAAAAGACAGTCGTCGGTACTAATGACTAATTTCTCTATGACCTTAACCTGGTGTCCTCATTTTTATTTCCAATTGCTTCGTAATACTCCAAAATCATGCCAAATTCTTTGCCAAGTCATTCTCACCTACTAGTTGTCGAAATTGCTTGTCACTTATGTCAGTGTCATCAGTATGTTCGTCTAATTTTAGGGGAATACCCCGGATTCTTTTAACAAACGAAGCATTTGAAATCAATAGTAATATTATTATAAAGATGAAGCGATTGTTTGTTTGAACGCGGTAATCTCGGGAACCATTGATTCGAATTGAAAATTATTTTTATGTTGGATAGACTATTTATCCAGTTATATAAATACTGTGACAATAGAAGCGACGAAACTATTAAAAATTGTGGAATATGGGGAACTTTATTCATCATTCAGAGATTCCGTTGCGAAAACGGTTCAAGGAATCGAAAAATATGTATCTAAGATTAACTTACAAGAACCGTTTTTATATTAATCAAATTTGACCAGGTACTGTGTCAATTCTTCAATCGCTTAGAGTATAGCAGTAGAAGGTTTCAAAACCTGCCCGTTTCGTATTATGTATTTTATTCAATTTAAGTAAAATAGGTTTTTAATTGATATAATTACTGTTAGAGATTTTTTCACTTCGATTTTTCTTAAATTACCTAAATAAATTTGTGTTTCATTGAGTACAAAATATACAATATATATATATTTAGTTATATTAAATTTTTACTTATCATAGAGGGAAATCTACATTTAATTCAGCGTTAAATATCTAAATTCTAAATAGATTAAACCACGTCCAAATAAAGTACAAGGATCCTTTCCTAACGAGACAAAAGTAAATATTGATGCATGTTTATCGACCTAATTCAATCAGGTCCAATCATTGTAATTGTACTGAGTAAACTCTTCGATAACTGTTATAAGGCAAAACATCACTTTCCTTTATTCTTCTTTATTTATTTGATTTCTTGTCAATAAGGAATGTAGAGTTACATAAGTTTAATATTAACCTTTATTTGGTTTAGTAATTTTTATTGTAGCGCAATAGAAATACATAAAAATATGAACGCGTTCGTTGGTACGGACTACGGTGGTATTGTATGGTCGTGGGTTAGATCTCTGCCGGGTCCAACATATTATGTCTAATTCATTTATAATTTTTCCGAAATATATTGGACTTCGACTGGAAATCTGGACGTGCACAGATGGGAAAGCCATAAAGTTTAACCGCGTTTCAGTCTATCAATTTCCGGATAACCAATGCCAGGCCAACCAATAGGTCGACAGCGCACCGTGTTACATGCTATATGACTAGGATATTTCACTTTTCATCAAGTAAACCCCATGCTTGTCTTTTAAATAAAACACTTTAACGGTTTAAAACGCGATATATTAGTTAAACTTATTTGAAAATGATTTTTAACTTCGGCCCGACGTTTCGGATGCTTTGCAGCAGCCGTGGTCACGGGGAGACTAAAGATGGAGGATGTCTCTGACGTCAAAGTAAAAAATTGCTACGCTAGCGCCATCTGTTCCGTCGAAGTTGGTATTTGGCGAAACTGGCCGGGTCCTTACAGAATTGAAAGTTTAAAATCATTTTCAAATAAGTTTACCTATTATATCGCGTTTTAAACCGTTAAAGTGTTTTATTTCAATGTGTACTACTCGCGTAAACTATAGACAGTATCCCATGCTTGTCTGTTTTCCTTTATCATAAAAATGTAGGAAACATATATTTACCTTTTTAGTTACCTATTTAATATTGGTTACCTATTTACTATTGGTTACCTATTTACTATTAGTTACCTATGTAATGACTCGTGAACAAGGTTTAAAATATAATGTAGTACCTACGACTGCGTATGTGGCGAAAGCTAGTATTTCCATTTTTAACAACTGGTTAACTCCAATATGTTTGCCAGTTACCACTTTTTATACTTATCTAACAAACTTGCTTATGTTCGTAAGTGAATAGGATATATAGAACGTTGAACACATAATACGATAACAGAGGACATACCAGCAAAGTGTTTAACATGATGTAAAAAGTAATATACCCGCCATATATAAATATTAAACAAGATGCGCTATCGACCTATTCAGGTTTAACTTAAATATTTTTATATGTCGTATAGCAGATGATCGCTTTATATAAATTAAAAATGTATTTAGATTAAAAAAGAAGCACAGACGGGACTTGAACCGGCATCTATCGTTCCCCGCTGTTGCGTTAACCAAAACGGTATCTTAATTGGACAACCTTTTGTCAAATACTGTCTATAGTTTACGCGAGTAGTACACATTTAAATAAAACACTTTAACGGTTTAAATCGCGATATATTAGTTAAAATATTTGGAAACGTCGGGCCGAAGTTAAAAATCATTTCCAAATAAGTTTAACTAATATATCGCGTTTTAAGCCGTTAATATGTTTTATTTAAACCTTTTGTCATTTAATTTTAGAAATATTTAGGCATTGAAAACAGATCAATATATCGCTACCACCGACTTTAAATCTAAATAACATTAAATGATTTACAAATGCCAGAGCCGACATCAAACCTGCGACCCATTGTATTATCACGTTGTCTATAAATTACATACATAAGGAAATTCACAGAATGAACCCGAAAAGCGAACATTACGGCTTTTTGTGGTTTTCAAATCGGACGGTATTACGATACACGCATTTACTATCCATATTTCTCAAAAATTATAAATTGCACAGTGCAAAAGGACCCCGGAACTTAGGGGCCCTCTAACTTATATTTGAGAAGATATAAGCGTAGAAGACAATTATTTTTTAACGTTCTTGTTGCTATTTATAGTTTTGCTATGCTAAAAGAGGGCATGAGGATCCAATTCTTTCTTGAGCATTAGGATTAGGTAGACCGGGGCCCTTGTCCACCTAGCTTCGCTAC